ATTGGGTATCAAAAAAATGGGCAACCACTCAATTGATGATGATGTACCTGTCTGTGTTCTTCCAGAAGTTCCCTGCCTGTTCCTGATCCTGAGAATCCTGGTGCCAAGCCATTGGTCACCCCTGAACTGCCCTCTCTGACCACCTGCCAAATCCAACACTAAGATCGCACAAGGAACCAGAACTCTGTGGGCTGTGCGCAGCCGTGGGAAAACCCTGCAGGGCAAGGTGGGCTGCGCACTGACCAAGAGGGTGGCAACGCAAAACCCACTCCAGTGAGCTTGCCTTATCTAATCTACATGGAATGCAACCCTAACCCCGGCACGAGCATTGCCCGTGACAAGAGCGTAATGCTGTTGTTCTGCTGCTAAGACCCACGGGTGGAACCCGGCATGTGGAAAGCACGGGCCCCTGTGGGTTAAATATTCTGCACCTCGCTGCCGCGAGATCTGTTCGTAGCTCCTCGAGCTACGTCTTGACAATCAAGCCTGCCCGTACCTGACGGAATAGAGCTTAGACTGTAGTTTAGCCCGAATACAATTGTCATTGGATTGTCCGCCTGTCCCGCCGTGACACTGGCAGTAGAGCTCGAATTCGGTCGAGTGGTGGCTTTCGTAGCCGTCGAGAATCAACAACCGGTATTTACCCTTTGTCCGACGCGCCGTATGGTAGTCGAAGTGCTTGATCCACTCTAGGCCAACCGCATTGGTAGTGCAGCCATTGTCAGTAGTTGCGATGCGCCAGTCAGTTGGGAGGTTGCACTCGGTGTACCAATTAGCGAGGTGGTATTGCGCGGCTAAGATACGGATCCGTAATAAAGAGAGGGATAGCCCAGCCGAGGGCATTGACTCCCTAGATCACAGTTGGCCATTCGCGATTGCCAGGCTGGGCCAGTTTTGCTTTGCCATGGCCATCAGAGGTCGTAACTACCATACCCGCGAAAATGATGCCCATCATAAACTCGATCTCGTCGAAGTTATAGACATCATCAATCACGATACCATACTTGGCCATAGTATTCCATACGAGCGTAAACCACTCGCCAATGACCTTTGATCCTCGCACTTGGCCCTCTAGTAGTCATATTAACGCGTGAAACGTACAGAGCTATGGTTGGCGCTTGACAAACCGGTGCGCCTAGAGCTTGCCGACAGGAGGCGCGTCGCGTTCGCGGAGCAGTTGGTTGGCCGTATCTTCCACACCACCTAACCTTGGGGAAGAATCCTCGCGTAGAGAACTCATTTATATATCGAACAATAGCCTCCTCTTCCAGTTGCGTAAGCTTTCTCGAATTAGGCGTAGTATCGCATCGTGCAGGCTTGCCGGCGCGTCGGCGCGCTAGAGTTCTACGGTCGACTCCGTAGATCTTAGCTGCGGCTCGTTTGCTTAGATTCTCATCGTTTGAAGAGCTTGGAGGGCCAAAATTATCTGGCCTTCTTTTAAAGTAGAGGGCATCTTGGATGGTGGAGGAAAGTTGTTGTTGCGTATAAAGGTGTCGCGTCGCGTAGAAAGTGAGTCACTCGGTGATATGGGTCACTCGCTGATAATGTACGATATTGGGTAATGGATGAAGTTGATATAAAATGTAGATGTAGCGCGTCGCGTAGAAAAGTGGCCCACTCACTGATATGGGCCACTCACCGAGAATGTACGTTACTGAAGGAGGAGGTTTGATTTCTATATGCTCCAGGCTCCCTGTTGTTTCGCTGTACGACAAGCACATATCATCTACTATACTATCTACCTCACAAGTGGAACTGATGGTGTACCATCTTCGATGTATGCACGATTATTTGAACGCTAGCGGGTATCTTCTGTTCCTTACGTGAATGCTTCGTGAAGACAATGCTTGCACAGCTGTATTGCCTTCCCTTCCCTTCACTGGTCTCACAGATCCACGTCATGCATTCTTCCGATCTACCATTCAGGCCTGACTGCCCGAGATTGGGGAATGCTTCGCCTTGCTGAGTACTTGCTCAGATGCGTCGGCCATGGGGTCGTGGGGGAACACTGGTCACAGAGCCAGGTGGTCACACAAATAAATGGCAATTCCCCCCAATAGTTCCCTTGTCAGTCTTGGGGCGGAGTGTACCACGTGCCACACGCTGACTGCCTGGCACTCAATAGCCACTGGTATGTACTTCATACCAGGACGTATAGCGAGCAGATCTGCAAGACAAAGAAGACGCTGGGGGTTAGCATATTACTCGGTCAATGGAGCGGGACATGCAACACGTACCAAGCTCAGCCCCATGATCATGCTGCACCAAAAGCACACATTGTTTAGTGTCTTCTTGCCTCGGACCCATCTCGTCCGCTGCAGCATGACAATAGGTAGCTGCAACATCTGACAGACGAAGCCATAGCCGCGTAGCTTCTTGGTGATGCACGCCATGACGATCTCGTGACCCACGGCGCTGATCAAAAAGGTAATGACGGTGGCGTTAGCCTTGCCGATGTGCGGGCGGCTGGCGCTGTAGACGTGGCGACGGAGGAAGCTGTAGACGGGAGTGTTCCACTCGCGCGAAAACTCCATCCAGTCGGTGCTATTCCACCAGTCGCTGTAGAAGTGACGGTCCGCGAAGCGCGTGATTTCGGCGCAGGCGCCGAGTACGTACTCAAAGATGACGAGGAAGACGAGCAGGAAGGTCAACATGAAGGGGAAGAGCAGCCACGACATCGTCTCGGCGAGGATTAGCAGCACGTCGGTGGTTGCCAGGGGCGAGTCGGCGGGTCTGAGGGACGGATCAAGCCTTCGGGAAGCGTCAACAAGAGCTGGCAGAATGAACTCTTCGGATATGACTGTTAGAAGGAAGATGCAGCCAAAGATGGCGACTATCTTGGAAATTAAATTCTTCCAATCAACCTTGTCCGTCCGTGGGTATTCGATTTCGTAACAGAGAGTGGGACAGCAAATGTAATCCGCGTAGTTTGCCCAGGTCAAATTCGCTGGGTACGTGATGTTACCGATAGGACTCGTCAACTCTCGAGCTAGGTCCTCGCGCAGTTGGGCAACCGCGTCCGCATCCCCAAGCGCACCGTCTTCACCACCGCCCTTGCCTCTTGCTTCCGGTCTCGTAGGGCTAGCTATCGTGCCCATGGGATTATCTGATGTCGGGTAAAGATAGGCCGGGGCTCGCGAGGCGGTTGATGGGTTGTCGAGGGCGCGCAAGCGCTTCTCGGTTTCGCTCAAATGGCCATTGTAGAAGGCATATGAGTGCATCTTCATCAAGATCACCATAGCATGGAGCAGGAAAAAAACTTGCGAAGTCCAAGTCCAATCCAACAAGAAAGGCACAGCAATCCAGAAGGTCAGCCACAAGACTTGGTATACACTCATGATGGCCATACCACCCTTCGCCCACGTCAAGGGACCGCCGGCCGGCGCGGCGCGAAAAAGGCGATGCAACGGCAAAGATATGGCGGTTGTGGCAACCATCAGGAAGTCGGCGATGGCCAGGTGCCACAACTTCACGGTAAAGAGGGACCAAATCTCGACACGGAGAGGGTATCCTGTGTCTTTGATGTTGCGCAGCATCGTGGTTATGGCCATGATGGCGAGGCCAATCCAGAAGAGGTTGAAGAAGCCATGGAAATCGCGATAATCGCTGTTCGGGTCGAAGTGGGAGACGCGGCTAGCGAACTCAATCGTGGGGAAGAGGCGGCGGCGCTGCTCTGCGCGGACTTGCCTGCGGGCTGTCGAGAGGGACTTGACTGACGGAGGTGCGTCAAGGGGTACTGGTGTCGAGCGGCCACTGTCAAGAGGACAAAGGTAAGCCGCATGTCTCCAGTGACTCCAAACGCATCCGTTCTGCTCACCTCGTCGTCCCGGTGCCATGATCATTGCTGGGGGTATCGAGCGCACTGTTTGGCTTGGACACGTTGCTCATGTGTGAGAGCTGAGAATGAATTGGCTTCCGCGGCCGGGGTCGCATGACGGTGTCAGCGGCCCGGTCCGATACGTCTGCCGAGGTGGAAGCCATGACGATGCCTCAAGGCAGCAGAGCGAGTGCAATCAACTAAAGTCAACCTCTGTTTCTGGGCTTCTTCACGCCACGTTGCGCCGTTGCACTGAATGTTTGGCAGCCTCGACGGCAAGGCTGGGGCAGTTTATTTTTCGGCTGACTCGACGCAATGGGCTGGGTGAACGGGATGATGCGCGGTAATAGTGGCTGGATGATTGATAAATCGAAGGCGGTACGGAGGTATAGATCCACCCTGTCGCATCACTTGACAGCAGTTTCAACGTCAGAATTGAATGCCTATCACGAAATGTGGATTTTTTTTGCTGGCCGGCAGCGATTCATTAACCACAACACGGCGTGCGTGTTCTTCAGATGATTGGAGTTGTGGCTCTGGAGCCTCCGACCAACAACCGTTCGGACAAAAACCAACTACGTCACTGCCACAGGTGCGAGTCAGCCATTACCAGACCGAGAAATAAGTGGGGCGCCTGACGGCTAGGATCATCTTCAACTGGCAGTTCGAAGCTCTGAACAGCGCCGACAAACAAATCGGCGTACTCTTTAATGGAGGACTTCCATACAGTAGCTAGCGAAATCGCCTTCCGCCCCAGACATGTCGCTTCAACTCAGCGCACGGTCTATGAGCCACTACTTATGTTATGAATCCTTGTAATCTGAGCCCCGCTTGTACCTCGCTGAAATGGTACATACGATGTGGGCCAGATCTGGATCCAACCTTCTCACATTCCCCCGTCTGCAAAGTTCGCATACTGTTTAAAATCATATATTCTTTTATCTAGCAGTTACGAGAGATCTTGACTTCGACAGAACACCACTTACAAGTGACATGATTGCGCTTACTATTATCCTGCTCTACATTACTCCAGTGTTCTTAATATATAGCACTACACTGACTTGATACTGCCAATATATTGGCAAGCGCTTGATGCACGCTCTAATGGCCAGAGTCCTTCCTCTCTTTCACAGGTTTCGCATAGGGACTGCTACTCCAGGGCTCCAACACTTGTTCGCTTCCGCTCAACACATTCTCCAACATGCGTCACGGCCGCTTCAACGCAACAGTTCTCCTTTAGACATCACTTGACTTCAGAGTACGTCTTTTTAGCTCTTATCTCTAAGAGAACTTCTGTATCATAGCACACATGGTCCCAGAGGCGAAGCGAAACTACAATGCCATCTATACTGCTGGAGGATTAAGAGAGTAAGACTGTCATGAGATATAACTCAAACGTCCGTACCCGCTAATGACTATTTACATTGCAGTACGTTCGCTGTTGAACACCCTTCCGTGTCGCTAAGGGCACCGCGCTGAGCGTGCCCAACAGATCAGCGTCCATTCCCATCATGCAAACCTATACGGCGTACTGACCACCGCACTACATGTTCTTCCGAGTTCAATCTAACAGTCCAGAAGTGGCTTTCGGTCATATACGATACGAACGAGAGCAAATCTGGTCGCGGTCCAACCGGCGGGTCTTCTGATGGCATGAGGTTTTGCCTCAGACTTATTTGTCTTGAATGCGCATCAGAGCCGTCGAAGACAAACGACAATGCTGCCGAGGCCGGAGGCTCTCGATACCATCAGGCCTTGTATCAGCATCACTGCCTGTTCCACCAAGGCCGTGTAGTATAGACTTTTATTACCGTCCGATATTCGTGGCGGGTCCCTACCCTGCGACATTTCTCCGGAAGAGCCCACCAGTCTGTCCCGCATGGTATCTGCCCTGAGAAGCACCTCATCAGGCCCGAACGGCCTGACAGGGTGCGCTTCACTCGTTCCTTGGCAGTCGATATCAGAAACCGTCATTCCCATTGTTCAGGACCGCGGGTACTGCATCTTCGAGGCTTCAGGTCTCGGGTGTCACGCTCTGCCCTGGATATCCTTTCAGGCCGAGAACGAAGATAACGCCGTAAGTCGTCAGCCCGCCATCTAAGCTTCGGAGATGTGCGTACTGGACGGGGACGGCCCATCCCGACACCATTCTTTTCGTTGTGTACGAACGATGCGGCGCAGGTCTGGCGACGCTGGGACTTTCGAGCCATGCTTGGTCTGGATTGTTGGGGAGGGTGGGATGAAGACGGGAAAAGTGGGTTGCGCAGGGACTGCCTTGGCAAAGTGCCAAGCCCAGTGGACGACCAAGTGTGCGACAGATCGTTCATTGCGCAGAGGAACGGGTGATCAAGGCGACGCTGTACGGCCTACCAATATGGGTGAGTATTGCCTTCAACTATCGGAGCGATGCTTATCGTTTGCAAGATCTATCTGCAGGCCTTGATGACGCTTTGCCAGGATCTGAACTGGTCAACTGGCCGGACGACGATAGGATCGAGACTTGAAGTGATCTGTTTTTAACGCAATCTTCTTCGGCAGTTGTCGTTGATGATGGTCAGGATTCAGTGCGAGCATGCGATAGCCAACAAATCCAGCGCAGTTCGCCGCTTCTTCAGCTGACTGATTGGCGCAACGACCTAGACTACGACGAACACCCGCCTACATGCATCCATTATTCTATCGAGTGGAAGTTGACGGTCAATAGTAAAGGGGTTTCCAAGGATACGGAACAGGACCTCGTCCTCGCTCCTAGCGACTTCTGGGACATAGTTCTGCGGCCGAAGCTGGACAAGCTCCTACGCAAGAAACTACCAGGAAACAAGTCATTCAAGGCGGACGACACGAATATCACAATATCGGTGACAGACCGCTCCGAACGGGACCTCGTTAAACGATTCGAGGAGCTTGATATTGACTGGGCGTTGGTGGAGAAACAGCTGCAGGCCTGGAGCCGTCTGTTTCTGAAGGGGAAGAAGCTCAGGATTGACATATCATTTAAATACGTGGAGACTAGCCAGACTGGCACGTCAGCCCAACGTGGAACCAAGAGAGGGCCCTCGTCGGTTTCACAGCAGATGCTGTTGGAGCGGCCCATGCAGCTTGACGCCGAAGAGACTAATATTTTACCACATCAAGGACCGTCCTCGTGTTCCATAGCACCGACACCGGCACCATCAGAACTAGAGCCGTCCATGTTTCTTGCGCGCCTTGAGATTAGTGGACCGCGTGACGTGGCTGTTGAGAGATATAGCGATTGGCAGTCCTCGCAGGTCGGTGACAGGGCGCTCAAGATGGAATATCAGAAAGCCTGTAGCATAACATTGGCCGAAGGACTCGATCTCGAGCTGGTCAAGATCTGGGATCCGGCGACCGGCCAGTGCGTGCCGACGCTCGAGGGCCATAGCTGCTCGGTCAGCTCCGTGGCTTGGTCGCCCGATGCGACGCGGCTGGCGTCGGCGTCCTACGACAAGACCGTCAAGATTTGGGATCCGGCGACCAGCCAGTGCGTGTCGATGGTCGAGTTTGGCGGAGTCTATGATCTCCACTTTCATGAATCTAACTCGAACCTTTTGCATACTAATCCTGGCACATTCGACATACGAACTCCCACAATTTCTACAGTTTTAGGCTTTGCTTCTGCTGATTGTTCATCACCGATCGCTATGGGTTATGGCTTGAGCAGCAATGGTGCCTGGATTACGTATAAAGGAGAAAACCTGCTGTGGCTGCCGCCTGAGTATCGGCCATCATCTTCTGCTATATCTGGAACGACTGTGTCAATTGGCTGTTCTTCAGGCCGCATTTTAGTCTTCATGTTCACAGACAGCAGTTCGATTCAGTAGTGGAGCTCTTTCCTTTCGACGTTCTGATTTTATTACTAACCCCTTGCACTTTCTCTCTCTATTTCTTTCCCATAGCGAGCCACAAGAAGGGTGTGGGAGAACCGGTCAACTTATAGCTTCCTATGCTAAGTTCTAGTACTTTCAAGATGTTTCCTCAAAACTAGAAGTCGCTTTGGCACGGTAACGGCCAGGGGGTGTGGACCCTTTATAGTACTGCTAATAAGGATCTTGTTTTGAATGGGCAAAGAGGCGGCCCAGTTGAACTCGGCCCCTATATTGGAGTTGGAGCCTCGGGTGCTCATCGCAATTCATTAACTGGGCTGCAAGACACTCAGACGACAGGATCACCATTTGCTGTTACCCTCAATTGACCGCTGGTTAGCTGCGTGTGCGCAGTGACCCTCTGTTTACCTACTCTGCGTCACTTTGCAATGCTGTGATTTGCGAATGTTGACGTTGAACACCTGCGAGAAGGTCCTTGGTCCAGGAGCTATAACTTGACTACGGTGACTGCTAGGTGAGAATGTTTGGATTTAAACGGTATGTGGATATAGAGGGGAGAAGATAGTAACGGGGCGATAGCAAGCCAGGATTGAGGCACGTACCACCTGTAAGAGGCCCAGTCGGGAACTCACAGTGCCAAATATGGCTTATAGTCCGTGCGTGAGAATTCAGCAGTATCTCTGGGGGCGGAAGGCGATTTCGCTAGCGACTGTACCTGTGAGCCTTGGGATATGTATAGTCAGACTGTAATAGTGCCCTTTCGGGTTATCCGCCGGGCGTCGATGTATTGTATTGTATTGTATTGTATTGTATTGTACCTGTGAGTAGCTTGAAACGTAGCTTGAAAATGTCCAGTCAGTTCTCTGGATTTGAGACCAATCGACGAGACAGGATGAGGCCCAACTACCGATAGCTAATGTTACGCAGTTACTGTATCTCGCAAGCGGCCTCCAATCATGTATCCGTATCTGTGCCACCTCCCTAGACGATATGCGGCGGCCGGGTCCCGTACACATGCAGCATCTACTGCATGCAGCAGTCAGTGCTTCGGGATGCACCTGTTGTGAAAGCTGCAAGGTCTCCGTGGAACGAAGAGCTTATCGGCGGCCCAGACGATGTCCCAGGCTGGCGACCAATTGCTGTCGCGGATTTGCCATCGTGGTGTTGCGGGGCTCAACGAGGGGCTGCTTTTGGGTTCGGTGTCTGCGGAGTTGGTTTCTTTTCCTACATACTCGAGCTACTCAAGCAATCAAGGGGTGCTCGAGATGGACAGTTCAAAGACTTCATCATGATATCGACTGTCTTTTCTTGCATTCGAGATAAGGAAGGTGGAGAGACTCGCTAATGTCGGAACGAGTCCGATGACGGAAGGAATCTACTGCAGCTGATTGACTTTGTGGTATCATCGAGCATGGGAACATGTTGACGCGCTCGTTAGTTCCACCGTTATCTGCATTCTCTTTGCCATTCGCATACCAGTAGTACCTTGAGTTATTTTCAGACTTAAGAACAAGGCAGCTAGCTCCTACCTTCAAGGTTCTGAGACACCTGCAGCACTGCAGCACACATTTAGTTAGACCTGCGATTGATTGTTCCTGGTATGTCTTGGCAAAGTTCGTGTCTTTCACTGATACCTAGTGCCTTACCTTGCTTACTGCACGCATGTCGACACGACCACTGCATCCCAGCTTGCTGCAGCAACATTAGGTTCAGTTTTGTCGTGCTCTAAACTTGAACTCGGGGTTCGGCTGCCAGTGTCTCTGTGCTTACCTTAGTTGTCTGTGCTCGAAACCACCTGATGTCCGTTGTACCTGGCCTCAGACCCATGGATTCCCCATTGTCCCTTCAGGGACCGTGTTCCTGGTTACCATCCGCAAGTCCACCCACCTCAACCTCACGCCCGAGTCAACGTTGCCCGGCCTGAACTGCACAGAAAATATAATTTAAAGATCCCACTGACCCCGATTGCAACCTTCCCTTTTCACACTCCTCGACTGGCTTGACCAAGCACCTCATACCTAAAGGACTGCACTGTTCCGTGTCACGACTTGTCAGGTAAGATATCCCTAACCTTTACTTACATTTCGTGCGGGGTTCCTTCAGTTCTCAAGCCTCCCTTCATTGCGGGAGCTCCGAATATCGAGGGACGTGAAATTGGATTGAAGAGATAACCAGCAGGCCCCTGTAAGTGCAGAAAGTCAGAAGCCCCACGGCCTGGCGCCCCACTTGCCGCGCACAAGGACGCCGATCTCCAGCCAACGGACCCACTGGGCTCAGAGGCAGAGTGTGCTGAAGCACCACCACCCTGGACGGCTGACACAACCTACCTTGCTTGGTGATCAGAAGCAACTTTGTAGCCGCCTTCAACCGCCCGTGTCACGCCGCCGGGCGACATCTCGACACCCACCCGTCTCGCCCGACTCGCTGAGTTTGGCTCTCAAGTGCAACGCCGCCATGTCCTCGACGCCTCTTCAATTGCCACCATCCGAAAGCCACGACGAATCAAGTGGTCATCATGCGCGTTACGTGAGCACGTCGGCCGCGGAAGCCGCTGCCAAAGCCCTCAACGAGCGCAATACGCAAGCAACTTCGGCCATCAACGTCGACATGACGGCTTTCCCAATCTCTGACCTATCCTTCGCACTATGTCCCACAACGTCTGCGAGCTCCATCCCTTTCCGCTCTTGCACCATTGCTCCATCACCTCCCGCACCGCCACCCGCGGCCGAGTACTCGATCAAGGACTCGAGCCACCTCACTCTCTCGCCTGAGCAACTCCCACACACCGGGGAACCAGCTTTAAACCTTCAAACCGATATTCCGCACCTGGTCTCAGGCTATGCGACGCCTGTCAAGTCCGCGAGACGTCCAGGTCTTAACCTCCGAAATAAGTCTTCGGCACAGTCACTCCGACCCATCTCCAGGACCCCGAGCCTCAAAACCAACGGCATTTACAGTTCGCTAGGCTCTGCTTCGGCCACCAGCTCCGCTGTTCCGAGCCCTGTCATCTCCGCCATGGGCGACATAACTCCTCTCCCCTCGCCTCTATTAGCGACAGACTCGCCCGGCCCATGGAAGCGGCGGACGTCGTCCCGTGAGATGGCCCCCTCCCAACCAGTATCCGCACCCCTCGACACCAACGGCCATGCCCCTGCTTCAACAAACACGAAGAAGGCTTATGGAGGGCTGACACCATGCCCACCGCCTACGAATGATACCAAACAGCACCGGGACGGCGGACTCGCTCAGCCTCAAGTGTCGGCACGCCATACGAGGAATCGGAGCATCAGCGAATATATCCCGGATCCTATGTTGGTACCTAAGCGTATGTCGACCGTGTCCGGTGTCCGTGCAAAGCTCGACCTGAAGCCCTCGACCGAAGGACATCTGCGCCGGGAGCCCCACCTATCAGAGGCGAGGGGCCTAACTCCCATCGAGAAGCCACCGACGCCACCACCGAGTGAGTCGTCAATGACTGCGGGCGACACCTCGGCAGTTTCTGCATCAAGTGCCGGTACCAAGCCGCCAGGCGCTGTATATTTCGAGGCCAGTGGCCGGTACGACCAGAAACGGCGCCGTTGGCGGGCCATCAGGGTTCTCGGCCAAGGCACCTTCAGCCAAGTCTATTTGGCTACGAGTCATACCTCGTCATGCTCTTTTGGCGACGAGCATGACGGCCCAGGTACCAGCCTGCAAGCTCCAGAAGAACACTCCGCGCACCAACGCCGGTCTCTGGTAGCCGTTAAGATCAGTGAGCACGGTCCTCGAGGCGGTGCGTCCGAGGACCGCATCGAGATGAGCCTCAAGCGGGAGCTTGAAATCATGCAGTCGGTTCGACACCCATCGCTCGTGAACCTCAAGGCATGGAACATCGAGCAGACCCGCGCCATCCTTGTGCTCAGCTACTACCCGGGCGGTGACCTCTTTGACGTCGCCACTAGCCATGCCGATCTGCTCACACCGCCCCTCATCCGCCGCATGTTCTCCGAACTGGTCGGCGCCGTCAATTATCTCCACACTCAAAACATAGTCCACCGCGACATCAAACTAGAGAGTAAGTGTAACTTTGCCCCCATCTCAAACCCCGACCCTCATCCTAAATTCTTCCGCAGACGTCCTCGTCAACCTCCCACCCTCCGAGCTCTCCCCCGACACCGACTGGACAACCTACCCGTACTCGGTCATCACCCTCACCGACCTGGGCTTGTCCCGCCGCATCGCCCCCGACGAGAAGCTCGAGACGCGCTGCGGGTCGGACGACTACGCCGCCCCCGAGGTCATCATGGGCCAACCCTACGACGGCCGCGCTACCGACGCCTGGTCGCTCGGCGTCCTGCTGTACGCCCTGCTCGAGGCTCGCCTGCCCTTCGATCCCCCGCCGTCTTTGGGCCCCCACGGTGTCGACTACGCCATGCAGATGCGCATGCGCAGCCGCACGAGCCATCGCATTGCTCGTGTCGAATGGCGTTGGTATGCGTATGGCGCCGGAGAGGGCGAGGAGGGGGAGGGCGACCACGAGGCGGATCTCGAGAAATTTAAGGCGAAAGGGTTGGTCGGGGCCATGGAGGTTGTTGAGGGGTTGCTGAAAAGGGCCAGGAGTAGGTGGCCTTTGACCAAGGTGGCCGAGACGGAGTGGGTTGGCAAGGGCGTGTGTGTCGACGGCGGGATTGGGTTCAGGGAGGAGGAGGAGGGTGAGGAGGTATGATGCGGACGCTTCCTGAGAAGGAGGGAGGGAACCGCCTGGGTTGTTGATTGGCATGCCCAATCAAGCGGTGTAGGGACAAAGGGTTTGTGTGGAGTTCACTCTTCACTGCACCGGGATATTTTCCTATGCCAGAGACATTGATTTCTGCGATGGGTTGGTGTGACGGACCGACTGAATTCTGATGATGTATTTTAGCATATACCTTTGTTTTTCTCCTCCTTTCGCATCGGTTTGATGACGATACAACAAGACAAGATCATGACGGCGATGCAGACGAAGCATTACGGGAAAGAGAAAGGGGCGTTTATGAGGACTCGGAACCAGCGATGGTGCCTTTAGAGTCCTGATGTATTGTACTGGAGGGGGCTGGATCATCATCACTTTATTGCTGATTTGATCTTTCGCTTCTGCGGTTTTTGTTGGATAGATAACTATACATTATACATAATATGGGGGCAAGGAAGCATGATCATATATTTGAGATGGAATAAAATAACATTTCATTGCGTTTGCATTCTCCTGCTTCATCCGGTTAAACGCCTGTGTCTTCCAGTGTGGCTCTAGCTGGGCATGTGGTCCTGTCAGCAAAAGGTGTCGATAAGTGAAATCGGCTGCTTTTTATGGAGACCCAAACACTAACTACGGAGAGTAAAAATGGTCGTTGCCCACGGCCAGCATCCACAAGCCTATAACACTGGCTATGTGAACACGATCAGTGAGGAGGACCAACATTCAGATCAGTTGTGGTTCGTGGTTCATGGGCAGTCGGTCCGCGTTCACATTGCACAACGATTCTGGGACCAAAAATATCATCTAACCGTCGAAGTCATGTCTACGTCAAAGATCATGATTCACACCCGCATCCTAGACTAGAGTTACAGAGCAACAAGGCTGCGAAGGTATTAGGCCGAGGCCACCGTTTGATGCAGATGGGTAACTAAAGTGCCGTGAAACCGAAGACCCCGTCAAACTCCGAATCCCAAGTTTTCATTTCCCAGTCATCTCATCATTCAGTCAACCTCCTCCATCGCGCTGTCGCCAGTCTCGGCGGCAGCGGCGCCGGCGTCAGCAGCCGGGGCTTCCTGAGCAGCCTCAGGCTCCTCGTCGAGGTTCAGGCCCAGCGACACAAGCTTGTGGATGCGCTCAGCGAAGCCAGCAGGCTCCTCGATGGTGAAGCCAGAGACCAGCAGCGACGTCTCGAAGAGCAGCTGAACGATCGACTTGACAGTCTTGTCGTTCTCGCCGTCGGCCTCGACCTTCTTCTTGAGCTCCTTGATGATGGGGCTCTTGGGCGAGATCTCAAACGTCTTCTTCGACGACATGTAGCTGCTCATGGAGGTGTCACGGAGGGCCTGGGCCTTCATGATGCGCTCCATGTTGGCGGACCAGCCGAACTGGCCGGTGCGGATAGCGCATGGGGAGCCAACCAGCTTGTGCGAGACGACAACTTTCTCGACCTTGTCGCCGAGCACGTTCTTGAGGGCCTTGGCGAGACCCTCGTACTCCTTCTCCTCAGCCTCGCGCTGCTTCTTCTCCTCCTCGGTTTCCTCGAGCTCGAAGTCCTTGGTGATATCCACAAGCTTTTTGCCCTCGAATTCCTTGAGCTGAGTCATGGCATACTCATCAATGGGATCGACCAGGAAAAGCACCTCGAAACCCTTCTCCTTAAGCGAGTCAAGGAAGGGAGACTTGGCGACGGCCTTAATCGACTCGCCCGTGATGTAGTACATGTTCTTCTGGTGCTCGGGCATGCGAGTGACATAGTCTGAAAGCGAGGTCATCTCATCGCCAGACTTGGTCGAATTGAAGCGCAGTAGCTTGGCGAGGGTGGCACGGTTCTGCGAGTCCTCGTGGATGCCGAGCTTGATGTTCTTGGAGAACGCACTGTAGAACTTGTCGAACTGCTCCTTGTCCTCGGCAATCTCGTTGAAAAGCTCCAGGGACTTCTTGACGATGTTCTTCTTAATGACCTTCATGATCTTGTTCTGCTGCAGAGTCTCACGAGACAGGTTAAGTGGCAGATCCTCAGAGTCGACGACGCCCTTGACGAAGCTGAGCCACTCGGGGACGAGGTCAGTGGCATCGTCGGTGATGAAGACGCGGCGGACATAGAGCTTGATGTTGTTCTTGGTCTTCTTTGTCTCGAAGAGGTCGAACGGGGCGCGCTTGGGCACGAAGAGGATGGCGCGGAACTCGAGCTGACCCTCAACCGAGAAGTGCTTGACGGCGAGGTGGTCCTCCCAGTCGTTGGAGAGCGACTTGTAGAAGGAAGCGTACTCCTCCTGGGTAATGTCCTGAGGGTTGCGGGTCCAAATGGGCTTCTGTTTGTTGAGCTCCTCCTCCTCAACCTTGGTCTCCTTGACCTTCTTGGTCTTCTTCTTCTTCTCCTTGTCCTCCTCATCGTCGTCAACCTCCTCAATCTTGGGCTTCTTGTCCTCGCCGTCCTCGCCCTCCTTCACCTCCTCAGCATCCTCATCGGGGACCTCCTTCTCGGTCTCTTTCTTGACGTGCAGGTAGATGGGGTACGAAATGAACTCGGAGTGCTTCTTGATCACCTCCTTGATACGGCTCTCATTGAGATAATCCTGCTGCTCGTCCTTGAGGTGAAGGATGATCTTGGTGCCGCGGCCGAGCTGCTCTCCCTCGGTGTCGGGGGTGATGTGGAAGGTGCCGCCGGCGCTCGACTCCCAAATGTACTGCTCATCATCGTTGTTCTTGGAGATGACAGTGACCTTGTCAGCGACGAGGTAGGCAGAGTAGAAACCGACACCGAACTGGCCGATCATGGAGATGTCGGCACCAGCGGTGAGGGCCTCCATAAACTGCTTGGTACCAGAGCGGGCAATGGTGCCGAGGTTGTTGACGAGGTCCTGGAGACGGACCGTTTGTTAGCGATTGTTCCGCCAGCTCGGCAAAAGCGGAGCGCACTTACAGCCTTGGTCATGCCAATACCGGTATCCCGGATGGTGAGCGTCTTGTTCTCCTTGTTGGGGATGATGTCGATCCGGAGATCCTTGCCGGAGTCCAGCTTGCTGGGGTCGGAAAGAGCCTCATAGCGGATCTTGTCGAGCGCATCGGAGGCGTTGGAGACAATCTCTCGCAGGAAGATCTCCTTGTTAGAGTAGACGGTGTTGATGATGAGCGAGAGCAGCTGAGAAATCTCAGCCTGGAACTCGAACGTCTCAGCCATCTTGAGGGTATCTGTGTGATCTGTTGGGTATCTGACGGTGGGAAGTCAGTTAGATTTGTTCGAGTCTCTGATCTGCAGATCTGAGTCGGGTTGATGCGAGTTGGTCGATGTACCAAATCGGCAGCGAGAGATGTTTGAAATAAAGGCCGAGGGCCTTCAAAGAACGCGAATTGGAAGTCAAGGTGCATGTGAGAATGTTGGAGAAACGGATGGAACGTGCTGGGATCTGGAAAGTGCTGCAAATGGAGATGGCCGACAAGGCTGAGGGGTAACCAAGCGGTTGAGTTCACCAATGTGCACTTACCAAGGGGATTATTTGCGGTATGATCAACGGTCAACGCCTCAAAAACCTTCTGGTCGCTTTGCAGACGGCAAGTGAGAGAAAAGGGAGTGGTTTGGACGACGAAGAAGAGAAGGTGAAGAAGAGAGAAGGCAGGAACCCGTGGCAGCTAAAATGTCTTTGCGGGCTGCCCTGGGCTGTGCTCGACAGAGATTCTATGAGATTCTATCGCCCAAATTCTGCGGCGTTCTTCTGATTCGCTTCCATCCGCATCCACAGCAACGACGGCGGCTTCTGATTGGCTTGTGGAACAAGCTCCCCAGGCAGAGGCCCACCTTGAGGCTGCAATCGCAAGCCGCGGTCAAGTAAAGAGATGTTCGGGATCTTGCCGGAACATTCAGAGGAGATGCGACACATTGAAGAAATCATGTACAGAATCAATCAGGGGAGTGTCCGCTTCAACGGCAATCCAGCTTGTTCAGGATTTTCTCGGATGAGGCGGACAGAGAACGCTCCAGAAGAGTCAACGCCTGACCCCGCATGCGAGGCTGAAACGAGGCTGCTCCTTTGGACATGCCCCGCAGTGTTCTTGGCAGGCGGTCAACTACAACATTGCTAATAAGGGACCAAGAGCGGCGTTGCTAGTTGCTTAAGTGCTGATTCGAACAAACACAGGAGCTGACTCCGTTGCGGTTGGTGCTATCTCAAAGTATATCAGCGACTTGATGTGCAAATAGTATACTCTCCATTTTGTTCTGGGCTCAAATGCTTGTCTGTTGGCGGCGGCGGACTGCGGGCCGGATGCTCCACCAAGGCAGTCTCGAGTTAATCCGCACAACAGACTCCTCCCTTCCCTCTACCACTCATTCACCTCAACTTTACAAGACCACGATAATTGATTATGTTGTTGGATTTTCAGAAAATACAAATTTGGCCAAACAAGGCTCAGGCATTTTCTTTCCGTGAACCCTCGTCAGGTTTCATCGTGCATTCTGTGATTTGGTGCCCATCATGCTCCTCCATGTTCTGCCTGACCCCATCAATCATGGGACGGTGGTGCGAACCTGTACATCATCGCAATCAACGTCGAACCGGCGGCCTGGTCATCCCATGTCAGCATTTCATACTGGAGTCGCCCGATATTTTAAGGGCAAAACCTGCTTACTGGCCCAACCCACCATATCCAATGGTCGCGCCAATTTGACCCAGCAATGGCGAGGCCGATCGCTCGAGCCCGGTTCATACACGCCTCAGTGTATCCCGCGGCCAACCCTGAGGTCGCGCAGGACACGATGCCCAAACTGAAGCCAACAAGCAGGGGCACGAGCTGGCGGCCGTATAGCACTTGCTGCCGCGGATCAAGCCCGGTACCGATCGCCAGGTAACTGTGTGGCAGCCTATGAGGACATGTTCGTGGGCAAGAACGACAAATGGGGCAACCTACAGTATGTTAAATGACGACACGATCTCGGTCAGCAACGCTTGACCGGGCGTTATCTGTGTCGGGTCGAAGAAGTTCCCTCCTCCTATATGACTTGCCGGATCGAACCATGTCAGCTTTGCAATGCGTAGGTTTCTAAGGAGGGGCTACCTACGAGACAGCTCCCTCAGCGCCCCAAGCGCCGCGCTGGACTCCGCCGGCAAGGATACCGCCGAGGACTTGGGAGGTCATTAACACCGCCCCTCCTTGGTCAGCTACCAATTGTCCACTGCTGAGCTGGCCATTCTTACTTACCTTTTGATACGGGAGTCAAGCCGCAGAGTACCGTGGTGTAGGTGATCATGGGGCTCAGGTGGCCACCCGTCGCTGCTGCTGTCGCGTAGACGAAGAGGGCGAGGAACACGGCATTGAATATGCCAACGTAGGCAGCGACCTGGGTCACGCCTGAGTTCATCAAAGTCATTCCATATTGGCCCCCCAGATAGATGGAACACGCCGTGGCTACACACTCATCAATCTGTGGTACGTGTCAGTGCGAACACTCAGTCTTTGCGAGGGGTTTTGCTTACGGCAGTGCGCCAAGTCACGGGATCTCGCCATCCTTCAAAGTAATAGTCTCGTCTGCGGTACCACGGCCGGACATGGCGTACGGTGATGTCTCGTGCTGTACCCGCAAAGGACCCCTCGAACCGCGCCGCCGACATACTGTGTTTGGGAGCTTCGGGGGGTTGGTGAGGGCTCTTCTTGATGACGACGGAGTGCCTGGACAAGGTATTGCGACTGCAGTTAATGGACTGTTGGCTCTCATTACTGGTTCTTGGCCTCTACTGCCGTCACAAAGGTATCCCCTGCCTCATAATTTTTGCAACGTCTACTCTATAAGGGCGAAGGGGAGCTGAAGCTCTACCCATCTGATGATACTGATCCAACATGGGTGGGTCTGAGGAAGCATCCGCCGAGCTCTTTCACTCGGATAGGTACAGAGCACCACACAATTGCAAGCCTTGACAACTCCGGGAATTGGGAGCTCGACAGCACAACTTTTATCACACCTGTGTTCTATGCGAGGTCGTTTCGTTGTCGATCTCGTGCCCTAACCCTGAGCAGCACGCGGGCGAAGTGATGATGACCTCGGGAGTGTGGCCATACTCCATAGGTAGCTTAGGCATCAGCGTTGAGCTGGTTGGACATGTTCGATGACAAGGAAGTCCGGTGGCTTTGGATGTCACGGTTGAATGCGAACCGTCTGGGTTTGACCTCCCCCGTGTTTGCATGCAGCGTTCAATTTGCATAGAAGGCGGCAGCAATGAACCCCTCTTTCTGATTGCGTTACGCAAAGCTACCCCGCCCTAAGGACCCCTGGCTACAGCTCACAGCTCCCCACAGTTCCCGATTCCCATTTCTTCTCTTCCTTCAAACAACTTCGAACTGCTCTTCAGCAAAACAATCAATTGACAGACACACTGTCTTGACATCGTCATCTCATATCAGTCAAAATGACTATCCCCCAAATCAACGGTCTTCAGATCGAGGTGTTGGCTGAGGGCGAAGGCACCCGCGAGACGGCCCGCGGTGAGTTCTCCGATTAGCCCCTAGCGTGCCGCTGCCACTGCCAGGCACTAGGGGCAACCGTACCATCAAACAAAACTGCTAAAGGCTTGCGCTAGGCGACAGCATCGACGTCCACTACAAGGGCACCCTTCAGAGCGATGGCAGCGAGTTTGATCAAAGCTACAAGCGGGGCAAGCCTCTCAACTTCGTCGTTGGCGCCGGTCAGGTCATTAAGGGCTGGGACGAGGGCCTCCTGGGCATGAAGATCGGCGAGAAGCGCAAGTTGACCATCCAGCCCGCTCTCGGCTACGGCGCCCGCGGTGCTGGCGGTGTCATCCCGCCCAATGCCGTTCTCATCTTCGAGACTGAGCTCGTGGGCATCAAGGGCGTTACCAAGGGACAGTAAACGCCGGCTATCTTGACGGATGTCTCGGGCCTGGAGTTAGAGTCTGGCCAGAAGCCTCAGCGGAGCAATTGACACGGGTTCATTGAGAGAAGACAATGAAAGTCGTGACATCCGTCTAAAATGTCGCCCAGTATGAATGCTGCCATATTCGTACATGTCTAGGTGCTTTAGCAATGTCCCCTAACGCCGCTGCCATATAACCCCAGCAAAATCACACGCAGCAGTGTACAAGCCGACTGATCCCCTCTACTCCCGGTCTATCGCCCCTTTCGCTTCCTTCTCAATAGGTGTTATGCAATCGCCCAGTTGCCTGTACCGTCTGTCCACATACAGCAGCCCAAACCTCTCCTCAGCCTCCCTTTCAGCCTCAGACCCATCCTCTATCTTCAACACTTCCCCAAGGACAATAAAGTGATCCCTTACCTTGACCAAACCGTGAGACGGCTCATCAACCAGTAACCGACACTTCAACACATATAGCACACCACGCCCCTCCAAAACCGGCGCCTCATTCCCCCTAGCCACCCGGTCCTCCGCAGAAGCGGAGCCAGGCATGAAGCGAACCCGCTCCACCCCGCCGCCCTGAACCAGCTTTTCAAAAACCTCCCTCCCCTCTGCGTTTCCCCCCGCAAACCAATCCGCCACCTTGGCCCCGGCCTCGTCGTCCGCAAGAACATGGATATTGAACCGCCCACTGGCCGCCACGGCGTCCAGGGTCCGGCTCGGCACGGCAATGTTGAAGCTGACCACGGGCGTCGGGCGCAGCGCGAGGGAGGTGAAGGAGGACATGGTCATTGCGCGCGGGATCGGAGGATGGCAGGCGGAGGAGGACGGGTGTGTTGCGGTGCAGACTACCACGGAGTGGGTGAGGAGGCGCATGACGGTGCGGAACTGTTCGGGGAGGGGGAGTGTCGGTTCGGTGGTAGTATCCTCCTTTGAGGGGGATGCGGATGAGTGAGGGTGGGTTGTGGGGGGTTGAGGGTCGGTGAGGTGGAAGGTCCGCGGGCGGCGGTGGCGCTGGGATGCTGGCGAGGTGGTGTGGAAGGGTCGACGTAAGAGGGTTGGACGGCAGGAGGGCGCTAGTAGAGTTGAGTCAGCGGGAGCCAGGGGAGGCGATATGGGTGGTTGTGGTGAAAGGGCGATACCGTTGGGGCTGGACGTCCAAGGGTAAACTGAAGGCGGTTGACTGGTCACGGTCAGGGACAGCTTCACGGCGTCTGCCGGGCCGGAGGAGCCATGACCGCGCCGGGAAACGAGTGAGGACAGTGGAGCGCGCTCGGCGGCCAAGCCCACCAGGACGCGGCACCTGCTCATCTCAGCCCATGAATACCGACGGCTTGCGATGGAAGCCAGTCAGTAAGTGGGTTTGCTGCTCGCTGCGGTGGGACCGGCGTGAAGGCGGCTTCTAACGGCCGAACATGGAATTTGTCGCAAAGATTGGGAACAAGCCGACCCGCAGCGAAAATAAGACATAGATAACAACCCTGGAGCGATAACAGTGCACATTCGACTATCACGACCACCGTATCAAAATTTCGACCTTCGTGTCCCGGCGGCCGAACGTGGTTCAGCCGAGGAGACGAATCCGGGCGACACCAATCGCCCCTGCCTACAACACCGAGCGCAGATTTGCCAATCGCGGCCGACATACTCTCTACGACTAGCTCCCGGACTTTTAGCCCTCCAGTTCGGGCATCCAAACCACTCGAGTAACGCCACACCCGACCTTCCTTCCAATCATGGGGAAACTCCCCTCCACCGTTTTCCGCCGGCCCTCCCTGGCGGGGTGCCTCCCGACTACCTCCCCCAGCCTCACACACCCACCATCCGCCACCGCCGTCCCATTACCACAAAATGCAGCAACAGCAGCCCACCAAGTGCGCCACGCGACCTTTGTCCTGCGGCACCGCCGCCCCTACCAGTTCACCCAGCTCGTGCAGCTGAGCGACGGCTCGACCTTCACGGTACGCACCACCTCGCCGCTGGCGCTCTACAAGTCGGCCAAGGACAGCCGCAACCACATCCTGTGGCAACCGACCGAGAAATCGCTGCGCAACGTCGAGGTGGACGAGGCCGGCAAGCTGGCCGCTTTCCGAGAGCGGTTCGGCACGGTGTGGGACCTGGAGAATCCCGCCGCCGGCCCGAAACAAGAGGTGGCCACCGCTGCAACTGCCGCTGCCGAGGCCTCTAAAGAAGGGGAGAAGGCGGTCAGGGTGGAGAAGGCGGGTGGCCAGAAGAAGGGGGATGCGAAGGTCGAGGTGAAGGATGCTGCAGCGGCCCAAGAACCCACACAAGTAACAGCGGCGCAGGAAGATCCCTTTGATTCGCTCGTCGACCTCATCAGCTCGTACGCGACCGAGGATAAAAACATCAAGGGCGGGTTGAGCGCCAAGGACCAGGCGAGGAAGGACAAGAGCGGCAAGAAGAAATAAGGGCAACCGGCAACCGGCAGGCTTCCGGTCGTTCTGTAATGAGGAACATATTCTGTAACATAGAAAATCAATCTTGCATTCTGAAGAGCCGCAAGCCTGTCTTTCTGGCAGGTGCGCGGATCGATAAGCCAGAAGAGAGCTGCCGCGACATGCGGAACATGGCTGTGTATAATACAATGACAACAAAACCCCCTAAGAAAGTATTTACGCCGTCTGAACGAACATTGTATGGTCCATCTAACGCTTTATTCCCTTACCTCATGCCTCCCTGCATAGCTCGGTCAGTTCGCACCGCCTGCGTGCCATCTACCAGAGAACAGGCCAACGACGGTCTGTCCACAGCCGCCTAATCCGAATCCTCATGAATCCTAGCGCGAGCCCGGTCGACTGCCGTGTCGCCCGCAGGTTTGTTGGTGTGAGCAACGGGAGGCCGGTAGAAGACGGTCTCGTCGTCCTCTGCGTCGAGCTGCATGAGGAATGTCTCCCATTTCTCAATCAACTAGCACGAATGTCAGCACAGGGACGGGAACAACCGAGAGAGAGAGAAACGCGACCGACCTCCTTCTGCGCTTCTACCGCGCTCTCCAAGAACGTCTCCACTCCCGACTTGAAATCCTCCACCTTCTCCCTCTCGAACCGGTCCAGCTCAGACCTCATTAGCCGGCCCATTTCCTCGAACAGCAGCCGGGCTTGGTGCACTTTGCGCTCGGCATCTGCCACCTCGGCATTGACCTGGTTGAGCCGGTCCTGCTGGCTCTTGCCCTGCCGCAGCAGCTTGTCCTGCGCAGTCTTGCGCTTGGTGAGCTCCGACTCGGCCGCGTGCCAGCTGTGGAAGGCCTTTTGGCGCTGCGCAAACGCTTGCTTGACGCTGCCAATCAGACGGATGTACTCCTCGATGATGATGCCAAAGGTGAGCACGTCTTGTTGTGCTTGGCGATCGTAGATGTCGCGGATGGTGAGCTGCAGCTCGGAGAGAGCGTCGAGTGGTCCGGAAAGGGTCGGTGATAGCTCGACGGTTGAGAGCGCGTGGAGTGAAGCAGAGAAATCGTCGGCTGCCTCGGCCATGGCCTTTCTCTGGGCGACCATGCTGTCCATGGCTTTGAGCAGCGCCTTGAGCTGGTTCTCCAGCGCGTCGAGATACACCCTGCGGTCGTGGAACCACTGCAGAAGTTAGCAACGCGCCCCAATACGCTATGTCACAGCTCCCTCTGCTCACATCGTCTTGCTCAACAAACTTATTCCCACTTCCCACATTGAACCCCAGCGAGCCCAGCACACTCTTGCTCTCGCCGAGACTCGGCTCCTTGCGCTCCTTGTGCTTGACGTCGACATTGAACGCTTCGCTCTCCAGAAACAGCTTCAGGTCCCCATCCAACTGCAGCGTCGGGTGTGCCGCAATCTTGTTGAGCATCTTCTCGAGTGCCGCCCGTCTCGACTCCACAAAATTGCTCTCAAACCGCCCGACGGCCTGCTTCTCGGGCGGCGGTGGCACCACCACGCCAGGGTTGTTGGCGTGAAGGGTGTTATACAGCCACAGGAAGTCGCGATACCGCCTCTTGACCTCAAACTCGGTCTGCTTGTACGCCTTCGACGTAGTCTATCCACCCCACGAGCCGCTCTCAGTCAGCCTTATTCCACTCCTTCCTCCAAAACAACACCTTCGGGAGAACCGAAACCCTAGCAAAGTACGCACCTTGGTCCGAACGGAGTAAACAATATGACTACTCGTCAAATCCCCAACCTTATGCGGATCGCCCACCGTGATCTGGAAGCTCGGCCTCGCCGCCTGCTCAACGCTGACGCTGGGGTGCGTGGCGCTGCGCACGGGGCTGGGCAGGGCGGCCTGCACGGGAGGCGGGTGTCGTCCCCCTACTCCTACTCCTCCTCCTCCTCCGGATCTCTGCCCGGCTCCTATCAAAAACTCTTCATCGTCGTCGTCGATGCGATGCGGATCAGGCGGGCCGCCGCGGCGCTTCGCAGCAGCCGCGGCGGACGCTGACCCGGGCATGGTGGTGCGCACGGAGAGGGAGGTCTCCTTGAGCGGCGGCACGGGCGGGCCACCATCTTTGCTGCCGCCCACTGCTGAGGGAGAGAGGATGTCATCGTCGCCTGCGACGGCGGGAGTGGTTGATGCGCCGAGGGGACCGAGCGGGTCGTCTTCGACTGCTTGGAGTCGGGTGGGCTGGGCGACGAGGCGACGTGGGGTGACGCGCGACGAACGGGTGGAGGATGTCGGAGCGGTGGCGGCTGTAGTTTGCGCAGGGCCACTGGTGGAAGCGGCCGTGGTACCATCGTCGGCGGTCTGTTGCGACGAGGTGCCCGCCGAATCCGCCCAGGGATCTTCCATTGCGAGGGGTGTACGTGGTTTAGGTGGATTTCAATTGTCAATAGCCAAACAGAGGGGACGCGACCACAAATTATCAGTGCGTGGCAAAGGCACCTACCAGCTGTTGGGAAGGAAGCCTGCGTTGCTGATTGTGGATGGCGGAAGGCAGGTTGCTCTTGGCCTTGCTGTTACCTATGTGCTCCCAGGACGTTCAACTAAGCCTTTCTTGGCAGTTGATCAATGTGGGGTTATCATGAGCTCCAGGAGCCCTCTACAATCATCGTTGAGCTTGAATAATGTTTGTTTCAATGACGGAAACAACCTGCATGATTGGATATCAGGTCCGTTGAGCACCATTGTACATATCCCAAACTCCAGGCTCAGAAGCAGCCTTCTCCGACCAAGTCAATGCGACTCCCAAGCAAAACCCTGCTGATTCCATGTTGCCAACGAATTTATCATTCCCACTGCAAGAACCATGAAGCTATCCTACCAAACCCTGACGCTCCTACCGTTCAGGGTCGTAGCAGCCACCCGCCACAATCAAGTTCATGCGCGTGAATTGTACCTTCATGACGGGCGTCTTCTTGGTCGCAAAGGCACTGATCTGGTCCGGTGTGATCTGAACTTCCTTAGCCTTCTTCTTCCCACCTCCGCCTCCCCCTCCACTAGTGCCGACGCCGGCCGCAGATGCGCTCGAACCCGCTGCTTGCGCCGGCTGGCCACCGACTGTAATGCTACGACTATCCAAGGATCCTCCGACGGCGATGGTATCGCCAGGCACTGCCCCGTCCGTTTGTGGTCCGGGGTGAGCGGGCCCCACTGTAAGAGGGTTGGACTTGTTGGGATCCGCAGGCAGCTCGATGTCCCAGATACGGACTGTACCGTCCAAGCCACCAGACACAAGAACGTTGGACTCGGCACTAAAGCTAAGAGACGGGATGCCGCCTTTCCCGTGGCCGCGACACCGCTTGATGCGGGTACCTTTGTCGATATCCCACAGGATGATGTTCCCTCCGGCGTCGGCGCTGGCTAGGATCTTGCCATTGTGCGCGCATTGCAGGGCACTGATGTAGTGCGTATGCCCGGTGAAGATGCGCACGCAGTTGCCTGTAATAATGGACCACATGCGGATCGACTTGTCCATCTCGTCCGACGCCGAAAACACATATGTGCCGTTGGGATGCCAGGACAGCGCTGAGATGCTGGTATCGTGGCCGACCAGAAGGCGCTGAGCTGAGGCATGGTCTTGGGAAAAGATGCGCACTGTCTTGTCCCATCCAGCCGTGGCAAAGTAGTGCCCGTGCGGACCCCAGAGCACGCGGAACACTGGGCCATCATGCGCTTTGTAGATGCACAAACACGCCCACGATTCCAGTGACCAAAGCCGAACCTGCCCGTCTGCTGAACACGACAACAAGAGTGTGGTGCTGGTATCGGGCTTTTTCTCGTCGGTGTCGGCATAGATGTTGCGGTTGAGGTTCGCAATCGAGTCCGAAAACGAGACGCCGTACACAGGACCTGAGTGCCCAATAAGCTTCCGGTTGTTGACCTTGACGTCTTTTTCATGCTCGAATTTTGTCCTGAGTGGTTTGCCGTCTAGGGACCAAACCCGAATATACGAGTCCATCGTGCCCATTGCCACAAGTTGGTGGTCGTTGGAGAAGTCCATGCAGGATACACTAGGCAAGTCAGTCAGCCAATTGACTTTTCCATGTAAGACTCACAGAGACGCTGCAACCTACCTCCCAAGGGTGTTGTGGAAAGTAAACATGCAGGCCGAGACTGGGATGCCGATGCCGCCGGTGCGGCCCTCGATCTGGAACCTATCCCGGTTTTCGCGGACCTTCTGCATCTCCATGACGACATCCCGTCCACGGGACGGGGGGAGGGGGAGGTCTGCTCGCGAGGGCGCGTCGGCGCTCTCTTCGCGCTTGATCCGCTTATCAAACTCCTCGACGAGAGTGGGCCGACCGTCTGCTGGCGGGTTCCTCTGGTCTTCGTCTTCTAGCTCCGCTCGGACATCGTCCCTGAGCTCGGGTTCTAGTGGCATCGGACCAAGCTTGAGCTTGGCGCTAGTGTCGAGAACATCGCGGTTGGAAACTCCGGTGAACACGCCCGGAATTCCTTCTTGGGCGTCGACCTCATCCAGGTCAAGGTTCTGGGCACGACGATAGATAGCCTCGAAGCTGTAAGGCTCGATAGGTCCCCGCGCGCTCGTTTCGACGCTGCAGTGGGTCTGGAGGATGTAGGTGATAGTCGCTCCACCCTCGTCCGCCTCGCGCTCAAGGAAGTGGAATAGATTGCCCGAAAGCGACTGGTTCAAGGGGATGCGGTACTTGTTTTCGCGGTAGAGTCGCGTGGTCTGGTTCTCGTTGATGTGCTGGGGTAGCGTGACTGTAGCCAACAGCGCCAGCGTATCTTGATGAACGGCATCAAAATGTGGCCTCAAAGTCTCCAGCAGATGCTTGGCATCGTCGTTGTAACCCTGGCCGACCAGTTCCAAGTAGGAGTAGACAAAGACGGGCCAGAGAAGCTTTCTCAGCTCAAACTGGATGTGCGTCAGTAACAAACGCGCCAAGCCATGCACCAAGATGGAGCTCACTTTGTAGATATCGAGGTTATTCTCGATCCACTTCTTCAATAACAGAAAGGCTCTCAGATACTTCTTTGGGCCGGGGTCTTCGTGTCGTTGGGCTGGCCTCCCGTCAGGACCGAGGTAGGCTGTCTCTTGCCGAAAGACGGCTTCGGTCTTTGTAAAGCCTTTCTTCTTCAGATAGTCTGTGACCTGTGAATCGAAAGATTGTAAGCTATGGTTCATGACCACGTTGTGCGCCCGTTGGATTGGAGCAGGAGGGAGAAATCGCGGGCTGGGAGGCATGGCGAGATTGTCGCAGTGAAATGGAGAGAGTTAAAATGTAGGAGGAACCAAGGTCTAGCGGTGTTGAGACGCTCTTGCGTGGGTGGCCCGGGAAGCTTGCGTTCTTTGTGTGTTAGGTGACGTGTATTTGAATGGCAGGTCGATAATAAAACAATGGCCCCCGAGCGAACTCCAAACATCCTCCAGCCCGCTTCTAGCCAGTCAATTATTAACAGCGCATGGCTCACCATACCTCGGCGATCAAGGCTTCCTGACTAACTGCCTTGCGAATAGGCCATCGATGTCGTCCATGATGTTGGGCTCGTTGAGAGACGGTGTTATCTCCAAGGGCAAGGATTCGGCACAGAGGCTGTCGACCAGGGAAAATTGACAAGAAGAAAAGCAATGGGGTATTATATTGTGTCTGAAAAAATAACTCACAATCTGGTTGAGGTTTTGAGCCGATGGCGGGTTGCTAGAGCTCGTCGTCGCTGGAGCAGCGCCGGTCCCAGGGCCTCCTGCCGACTGAGGCTGTCCAGTGTAAGGGACCCCCCCTGACACGGCACCCTGGGCTGCTGGATTGGACATGTCGATGGAGGTGCGCGTATGTCGATGCAGACGTTACAAATGAGGTAGAATAACACGGCACTCGCGGTGATAATGGGTTCGACTGCCTACTCTACCGGCGCGTGGTGGTGTGCATGTGCCAACAACGGCAATAGATTGGGACGCGATTCCGCAAGAGCCTCGCTGCCATGAATCGTCGATGCTCGACTTCCGGCGGTGTACAGTCAAAATCAATGGATTACTGGGAATGTTGTATGGTGACTCCCAATACTCACAAGTCGGGCCTGTTGCCGTGTTAAGACTGTGGGTGTGCTTCAAATGATGAAGATGGAAAAGACAATGGCCGATGAGAGACGGCACTGCACCAGAATCGAAGACAGCAGGGGTCCATTTGATGTGGCTCGTGCGCCATGCTGCCCCACCACGGGTCCATTGACCTGCAAGCCACCAACGATGTGGGGGAGCTCCCCTTTGGATATCCTCGATCCCATTCACGACCCCCTGCACAGCTTGACATACAAGCAATGGGATCACGAAACACACCATGAACAACCCCTCTGAACAACACGCCCTCAACGGCACAAATGGGGCAGGCGCAATTGACATCCACACACCCTTTACCGCAAGCGAGCGCATTCAACAGCTCAGCGAGATCGACGATGTGAGCTTCTCCTTTCCCACCTTATTGCTCCCCAATCTGCTAAGTTCTCTTAAAACAGGACATCGCCGCCCTCCTAACCCACATCTCCTCCGCGATGCGCGCCCTAGCCACACCGCCCCCGGACACCGCCCAAACCCCGGACCAGACGCCAGGGTCCGATGCGCCTATCGGGGAGTCGGAAGCGGCGGCAGGAGACCCCGTGTCGGCTTTTAAGACAGCCCAGTCGGCTTTCTTCCGGACCATCGATCGCATCGACAAGCAGCTGACGCGGCAGATTCTGGCGCTCGAAGAGGCGGGCATCATCACGCTGCGGAGCACCGGGGCTGGAGCCCCCGCTGGCGCAGAGGGCGACGCGGGCTCGAGCCAGCCGCAGCAGAGCAGCGCGGGCGGTGGGGAGGCCGCACGGGCGAGGAGTGCGCCGGCGCGGCTGGAGCCTGACGGGATGGGGCGGTATGGCACGCTGGATGTGGGGAAGCTGAACATGGCGAGCAGCACGGTGGAAAGGGATATGGAGAGGGATCTGTGGCGCAGGGCGAGGGAGGAGCTTATTCGGCTGGTGCAGAGCAGCGGCAAAGGTGGCGCGGAGGATAAGATGGAGGAGTGATGTCTTTGGTTGTTTAAGGCGTTGAAGGTTGGGTGGGGTATAGATGAGGCTGGTGAAAACAGGCATTGGGACAAGGTCGGGCTGGAAATCGAGGCATGGATATACCCCCTGGGCAATCGGTAAGCGTCATGGAGCATCAATGCTGCTCATTTTCTCTTAATGGCTTCTTGGGTTTCCTCTTCAAGCAGAGTCAGTGGATCAAATTGACGATAACTGAGGTGGTTTGAAAGAGTCTGTTTCAGCCGTCGGATCGCAATAATCACAACCAGGCCCCATTACAGCCCTCTCTTCCGGCTCCTTTTGGCGCATACAGCATGATGAAGTAGTTACCACCGATCCCTGCGTCTTAGAGGTTGAGAAGAAGTTGCTCCAGGGACCTCTCTGAAGGAATTGGGTCTCACAACTCAAAGGTCCCGTCCACCGCCCGGAAACTGGGCAGACTACCTACACCGGCCGTGGTCTAAGATGAGTGGTCGCAGAGCCTGTCATATGCACCCGAGGCGATGGTGCCAGTGACCTCGACGAAGACCGAGGGCGGGATACTGTGAGTTGTTAGTATCCTCTCATGCTATTTCACGGGCAAAACGGGTCCTCTCACATAGCATCGAACAGCACGCATTTGAGGTGCTCGTGGTCGGTGCCGACGTCCTCTACAAATCACGTCAACTCTGACTCAACCATCCATCGGCGATTAAGGATGTGCGTGTACTTACCGTACCAGACAAAGTAGGCGTTGCAGTTGCCATTGGCATTGCACGTGTACTGGCACTTGAACGGGCCGTACGGATCGCTTTTGTGGTTGAAGTTCATGATCTGTCGTTCATCTGACATTTAGAACAGTACATCATGTCGGCAGCTCACTCGAGGGTGGGAAGAACTCACGTGCGGGCCTGACACGAAGTGGTCACCGTACCAGTCCTCCGTGATCGTGTACGAAGTCATGCTGTTGCCATCCGGAGTCACCACCGTGTAGTTGTTGATTGGGTAGCCCGCGGGATGCTGCTTGGAAGCCGGCGTGCCATTAGTACAGGCCGAAGCCATGGCGTCGCGGGTGGGAGAACCCTGAATGGGAGCTGGTGTGCGGCGATGCATGACGTCCGTGATGGTGTTGTCGTCGGAACGATAAGGTGCGGCCGACGCCACCAGAGCGAAGGCCGCGAACAGGATGAGAGACATGAACCTAGTGATGGTTGTCATGGTGAAGGAACTCCAGGTCGATGCAGTTGCTGTTGTTGGTGGTGAATTACAAGCGGCTTTCAGGAAGGTTGATTGGATTCGTGATGGTCGGCTGCTGAGGACTTCTGAAGGTTGAACGTCGGCAGATAAGAGTCTACAGCAAGAGATTGAGAGTAGATGGCTCCAGGAAAAACCGGAGAATGCTCAAAGAGGGTGAAATTTTCGAGGCAAGAGATGAGATGGAAGGAACGACATTAGCATTATAATCGCCCTTGATCTATCGTCAGCTGAGACCGGCAACTCGCCCTCTGACTAAAGCGGTCAGTTCAAGAAAATGAATGCTAGATCCCTTTTCAAAAGGTGCGTGCTTGCCTTCTTAATGCTTGCTCGTTCTAACATACTTGACTGCTCACGTCCTCGAGGTCAAACAACGCCCTCCCCCCTTCTAACCCCAGTTACCCCTTGATCTCGGACTTGTCTTCGTAAGCCAGTACCTCACAACCCGGGAAGCACCACAGTGCCACACACAGCCCAGACACTATGGTGTGAAGGAGTGTCTGCTGCTATGTGATCGAGTAGTTGAAACCGCTTGTGTGCTCTCCATTGCGAGCACTGCCACTAGTGACAGTCGCACCGATGGCAATGGAGAATAATGGCCAAGAAATATTGGCTTTCTAGGTGGGAGATCAGCTCTAAAATACAGAAACTGTGTTCCCTTCGCCTTGCCGGTTGTTCCACATGGCCTGCGTAATCCATCCAGGGATGCCACTTCTGGGTCGATTTGCTCGACCTTATCTATCGTATTTGAAGCTGCTTCAAATCTAAGGGAAAGAATGACAAAGTCAACGACCGTGAACGCTGTTTACCCCCGTTCACTATGTAAAGTCCCCTTGTCCAACGAACCTTGGCATCTTGTCACACATCACGGGTGACCACATCATCGGCAGATCGAAGGACCACTGGTGCTACAAGACATTCCCAGACACAAGATGCAGGCGAGAGGGCAAGACTGGGACAGGGCCATGTATGATATCGCCAACTGCCCGGCAAGACAGTTGAACGCAAGTCGACGATGAAAGAGTGAGGACAGGTTAACGGGTGGGTCTTGGAGGTATGTGTACCATCATCGCGCATGCAACACGCTTGATTACCGGTTATGACAGTTATCACTGTAGTGGCATAGCATACATGAAGTGCCCAAACCCAGACCAGAACGCCGTGACTCCAGAGCTTCCTCCAGCTGGCCCGCCGAAGTCGAACCCACCGCATACCGTACTGTACATCATCGCTCCTAATCCGCCAAACATTACCCATCAGTGAGCAGGAGAAAGCGCATTTAAACAGTGAGAACCCGGACTCTGCCATTCACACCTCGAACCCCTTCCTCCCCTCCACAAGACCCTCAGAAAACTTCGTAATCGCCGCCCACACCGGCACAAATCTGAGCGCCTCGTCCAACGCCGGTATCGTTTCCTCAACGTTAGCATCACTCCACATACACACCACAGCTCCCTTCAGCCCCTCCCCGCGCTTCACCAACTCCACGTCGCGCAAGAGATCGTCATCCCCTTCCTCGGCGCCACCCGAGACCTTCGACAACTGGGCATCCTCCTTCCACTCAGCATCCACAACCCACTCCTTCTCCCACTCCCGGTGCCACAACCTCAGCGTCTTCACCCCGGCTTCAGGGTACTGTCCAAACCGGTCATCCCACCCGGAGCTGCCGCGCACTCTCAGGCCGGACACGGGCTTATCAAACTCCACGAAACAAGCCTTGGTGTTGTTGGCGACAATTCCAATCCGCGCCGCGCCGCCATCTCCATCTCCCGCGCGAGTGCGAGTAACATTCACCGCCACCAAGCTCCGATAGTCGTCGTCCTCACCAACGCCGTCCTGACCCCTATGCCGAGCAGGGGGGATGCTGCTATAGAGTCGGGGCGGCGTCCCTGCACCATCAAAACAGCAGCTCACGAGCCCCTGTCTCTTGGAGCTGCCGCAGGTGACGTTGCGTCCCGAGGCCGAGGGCAGGGCGGAAATGATGGGGCGGACGTAGTCCTCGATCCCGGCGTAGCAAACTTCGTTGGTGCCGGTATCGAGATCCAGCTTCTGGACGAAATAGGCTTTGTATCGGTTGTTCGACGAAAAAGGGAAGGCGACCAGGTTGTAGATCAGCGTCGCAATAAAGACGACCAGTAAGACAACTGGTATGTGATGTGTGACGCGGTGGATGAAAGGAGCCAGCGGGAGGAAGAGGAGGATGGTGCAGAGGCAGATGATGAGGTACGGAAACAGGAGACTGCTGCCGTCTGCTCCCGTCTGGTGCACGGCGTCGACTAGCATGAGGGCAATCTGGCCGACGAGAATGACTGTGAAGGGCCCGAGGAGGAGAAACTCGAGGAACCATGCCCACGAGGGGAGACGGCCTGACCAAGATTGTTCGTGTTCGTATGGCTCGTGAGAAAGGCCAGTGTCACTGTACCGGCGGGCACTGTCGACAATCGCGGATATGGAGCGACGGTAGGTCGTGGCAAACGTGGTGCGTGTTTGTTCCCCTGTGCTGTTACCGCCGATGAGCGGTGTCCGCTCGGAGAGTACCTCCGTTGCCGCCTCATCGTCTTGGCCGCCTCTGCTGGCAGCCGCGGAGCCGGCGGCCGGCGCGTTGTTCGAGTGCCTCGTTCCAGGCGGCGTTGACTCTTGGTTTGCAACCGGCGGTGGCACATGAGACGACGAGAAGGGACCGCTATGAGGACGGCCCTGAAGAAACCCCCATTCCTCCTGCTCCTCTCGCACTTTCTCAGCCCAAGCAGCCTTCTTTGGCAACGCGAACAGCTCGCATAGTGCGATGAAGAGTGCCAAGAAGATGGCCGACTGAAGGAACACAAACATGTACCCGGCGCCGATCCTCAGCCGGTCCTCAGCAACGGTGACCGCCACGAGCATGGTCCATCCGAGGATAAACAGCCAAATCTGGGCATAGGTTCGGTGGAGCGCGCTGGGCCTCGCAAAGTCGGCTCCCCGCATGATAGCCCAAAATGTGAAGTAGAACAGCGAGACCATCATGGCAAGGCTTTTCTGTTACGTTAGCAGTGCTCGGCCGAGATTGTCGGAAATCGGCTCATCTTACACAGAATACCGACTGCTATAGATGATGAAAGGATTCACCTTCCTCAACAGAAATGCCGCTCCGAGGGTCAAAGATCCAGCGACCAACAACGCAAACGGAAAACGGAAGAAGCCCTTCCACCCGCCGACCGACACGAACTCATCGTCAGGCTGCTCACCAGACGTGACGTTCGAGCTGAACAGATAATATTTATCGACCTTGTGAAGGAGGTAGCTGGCCAAGACCAGAATAAGCGGCGTAGCGATCAACACGGTCAGCGACCAAGCAAACAAGCCTCTCAGACCAAAGAGCACAAATCCCTTTCCGAAGAGATCAAACCATACCCCATCGCTTGGGCTGCCGTTGTGCACCTTGCCACGCGCGCCATCGGCGCGAGGGCCAACAAAGGTGTCCCCCGTGTCGCTGGACAAGCGAGTCGCGGTATGGATGGAGGCTGAAAGCATGTGCCAGAGGCTGCCCTTGGAAGCATGTCTGGCATCGTCTTGGTTGGTGTGGTATCTTGCGCGTGGCTTAAAGAAGGCCAGATCGAGGCCTCGCTGCCCGAACACGTCGTAGAGAACCGAGTAGTCGGTGCCGCTCCTAATGAAACCTAGGCCAAAGGCATCAGATGCTATGATGGTGCCAAAGGGGTCTGGTGATTCGGCATAGGCCGCCGTCACCTCGCGATCCGTGGTGCGGAAAAGGATGGCTCGGCCGCCGGCGCCGGCTCCCTGAATCAACAATGTCAGCTGTGAAATTCCGATCGCGAATGTCTCTGGAGGTTTCAGGAGCAAATGCGCTGTCTCGGGAGGCGTGAGACAGCCATAAAGGGGTATAAACAGTCCACAAACAGAGATAGATGTTATACCTCAAGGTTTAGGAAGGTATGGATGTATGGGTTGAGAGGATGCTGCCCGAGGGCTCGCGCGCCGTACAAGTAGTCTTCCTCCCCATTGTTGAGCATGACCACGATGCCCCTCTCCGGTTGGTGGTCGGGGTGGGTAAAGTACTGTATCAGCTGCAGGCAAGTGACTACACCCATGCCGTCGTCTGTAGCACCGTAGCCGGTCGACACGCTGGGAGAGGTCAGAGTCCTCAGATCAGTGCGAGCTGATGGGTCAAGGACGTACGAGTCATAGTGAGCGTTGACCAACGTCAACCCCCTCTCGTTGCGCAGAGAACCATGGACCCGTTCTGTATCCCACCACTTGCCCTGATCATCGGATTTGCCCCTGATGTAGACAAGGATATTCGTGCCTTCGAAATAAGCTGCGACCTGGGGACTGCTGGGGTTGGGGACTACGCCGGGTGCCATGAGGAACGTGCAGTTGGATGTTGTGTCGTCAAACAGAGTTACAGCAGCATCCGGGTTTGATCCATCTCTGGAGTTCAGCACTGTTAGCACAAGGCTAACATCGAGGAGTATCAACAGAACTCACCCGTCCGTCGTCCAAACGGCGCCATTCCCATCCAAGGTCGAACGTATCCGCCGCAAGAGGAACTGCCGGAGGTCGTCATTGTAATGGCTGTTGTATGGGTGGTAAGCCCGCGTAAGGGTAGCCAAGTCAAGCCAGGCCTGTGTCAAGTTGATACCCTGAATCGGTGACTCGCTGCTGGGTGCTGGTGGGGTGCGCTCATTGATGATGACGATGGGTATGAGCAGAGCCAGGTACGTGACGGTCGTCCAAAAGGTGACGGGCCCCGGCCGAAAGGAGAATGGGTTCATCATCCTGGCCCAGTTTGGTCTCGATCTGGCCTGAAACAGCAGGTCTGTTGGCGAGAAGGTCAAAAGGTGTGAGGTCTAGGCTTTGCAGGCTTTTCACTCATGGACAGGATTGAGTGCTCGACGAGAGAGAGGTTTGTGATGACATGAGAAATGGCGAAATCAAATATCTGCAGATTCTGTTAAGGCTGGTACCCAAAGACGTTGGGAGTAGTTGCTCGATTTGTGCATACAGGGCTTCAGTTCTGGTCTCTGGGGTTGAGAAACGGATTCGAGGCTGATGCGATACTCCCTACTTCATACTCAAACTTATTCCAGGCTGCTTCCTCTGGCTCCCGAGTCCAGCCTCCGTGCTGAAAGGAGGTAGAAGCATCAGGAACAGGAACCGCGTGATAAAGGCCCCGAAATCAGGTGCGAGATGAATAAGGGTCCCGTATGGCTGTGAAGGATGCCAGAAGCATCATCCGAAGATGCCTTTGTGAGTGGGGTTCTCACTGAGATGGCTCTTTTCGGGAGAATTGCTACGAGGTGGCCCAAGCTCCAGGGGAAAATCGTGATGTCACATCATGGAAAGCCTCCGCTGGTCAACAAGCCAAGGAGTGCTGCAGAATCTCGAGACCGCCGAATGGTAAAAGTGCAGAATGACATGCTGAGAAGAAGGACAACATTATCCGTCCGTTCAATTTCGGTTTGTTGCTAGCGCGGAACTTCGGTTCGAGAATGACACTTCTAGGTACATCTCCTTCCACCTTCACCTCTTTCTATTCCTCTTCATCTCCATCTCTGTCTTTGTCTTCCTCTTCTCACTTCTCTTACTTTCTGTGTTCTTGCTATGTTTCTTTTTATTTTCCTTCCTCATTTTCTTACTTTCCTTGAATCTCACTTTTCCATTCATGGCTAAACCAGGGTTGAACTGTAAGGGCCAACATACCAGTGTATCTAGGTGCGACCCAAAGCATTGGGCAAGTGGCTCATGAACTGAGTCTGATCTCGTCCGTTTCGCATCATCACGTATGTGTCAACCGGGTGTCCAATTCTGACAATCAATCAGGCAGAGCGCCATCGCAACAAACCGCACGCATCACATGGACCGAAACTAAAGGATGTAGTAGCTTGATCAACAGTTCTCTGCTCTGCTCTACAGTAGTGAATATCCCCTGCCGTAGCTGGCCAACGGTCCTCTCAATCTGCCATAGCCGCCAAGTGAAACTGTAGGAGAAAGCAAGCAGTGTAAGTGAAATAAGATAAGAAAGTAAAGAACAAGACACCCTATCAGTCAGTAGTTCATCTACTGCACAGCTCAGTCAAGTTAGTCCCCAAAGGTGTGCCCTAAGCACCCGGAGGAGGAGGAGGCAGGTCCATGGGCGGTGGGGGCGGTGGAGCATCACCGGCCGGCGGCGGGGGAGGAGGCGGAATGGCATTAGCGTACTGCTGAATCAGAGCGTTGAGTCCCCCGGGGAGCCCAGGCGGCGCGCCACCAGGAGGAGGCGGGGGAGGCAACCCAGGGGGAGCAGCACCTATTCCCGGGGGAGCGCCAGGGGCCCCATAACCGCCGTAGCCTGCGTATGCACCATATCCCGTCGGCGCAACCATGGGTTGGTGCCAGGGCGCCGCGCTGGTGCCCGGAGCCGAAGGGGCGCCGCCATAAGCACCTTGGCTGCCAGGGTAATAGCTGTCTCCTCCGTCGCGGCCGCCATCGCGGTAGCCACGGTCCCTGTCACGGTCGCCACGGTCGCGGGCCCAGGGCGCAGGTCCGCCAGATGGCGCGCCTTCATTGTCGCGCTCGTTGTTCCGGGAACGCCACGGCGCAGGTCCGCCAGTCGGGCCGCGTGCCCACGGCCGAGCATCGCCTCCACCGTTAGGACCCTGAGATGCAGGGCCGGCTTCGATGCGTGCAGGAGCAGCGCCCGTACCGCCGAGTTCTTGCATGAGTTGCTGCAGCAACTAGTTAGCACAAGGTCCGAGTCTTTTGGATGGTGTTTTACATACCTCATACTCGCGGTCCACGGCATCGCCACCTCCGAGACGACCACCAGGCCGAGCCACGGGACCGTCGTTCCGCCAGCTAGCACCCCGCTGTCTGTCTGGACAATCACGAGCCATATGTCCTGCGTTACCGCAAACACGGCAGATGATGTTGGCAGTGAAGTTTTGCTTCTCCGGACAATCGTACTTCCGGTGTCCTATCTGGCCGCAGTTCTGGCATGCCTGGTTTTCATCATCACGCAGTGTGCCGTTCAAGGCGGCGAGCTCACGAAGCTGGTTGCGCTTGAGCTCGTTCTGGCCCTCGGGAATAGACGCAGCCTGGCTTACTGTCAGCACGAATCGAGTGCGGAGAGAGTGTGCAAGAATACGGACCGTCTCGATAACGTTGTGGATCAGCTTCTTGGCCTTGTTCACCTTCTCCTCGGTGTCGGCCATAATCAAACAGTGCAGGTCCTCTTCCTGGTTGCTGGAGTGAGCGGCATCAGAGCGCCCTTTGCCTTCTTTGACGGAGCCTTTTCCGCGAATGGCAATCTTGGCGCCGGATTCTGCTTCCATTTTCTTGAGTGTGTTGCCACGAGGTCCGATAAGTAAGCCGACTTGAGTAGGGAGAGCTAAGTGTTAGTAACTGAGTCAAATAACAGTAGAGCAGCGGTTTGGGTTAGAGTCCAGCAGGGTTAGCCTGCTAGGCGTCGCGTCAAGGCGGGGAGCTGACACCAACGCCTGGCAAAGTACCACGGGGAAAGGGGAGTTCAGAGTGGTTAGAGAGGTTAGAGGGTTAGCAATCATACTGAAGTTGATCTCTGGGTAATCGTTGACCGGCACGTAGACCTTCTCCTGGGTCTTGGTCGGGCGGCGGTAGTCCTGAGGCGGGTGATAGTTGGGGATGGTCTTCATGGCCTTCTCGATCAGCTTGTGCCGCTCGTCCTCGAGGCGCTTCCGGTAGCGGTATTCACGCGTGTTCACACGACGACCGTGGTTGTCGTATTGGGGAGGCGGCGACGGAGACCTGTAATCCGGTGTTAGCAGTGGGCACCAGAGCGAATAAGAGAGAATGCGTACCTGTCTCCGTCGGCGGGAACAACATCGTCGATTTTGAGCTTTTGAGTGATTTCCTCGATGCGCAGATGCAGAGTATATGCCTCGAGCTGCTCGCTGGTCATGTCGGCGACGATGGCTGTGGGGAGGCCCATCAGGCCAGCAGCCTTGTTCTCGGTCGCGTCGCCCCAGCGGTTCCGCTTCTTGCGCCGCCTCGGTGCATCGTGGTCTGATCCTAAAGACAAGGTTAGCATCAAAGCCAAAATCTGTGAAGCAGCGGAATAAACTTACGCTCAGGGCTGCGGCCGCGTTTGACGTCGCGGTCGCCATTCGAAACGCTATGCGCGACGCCATTCGAGCCATTCGGCGAGGCGGTGCCGTTGGTGAAGCCATCTTCTTCGCCATCGCCGCCGAACCGGCGCTTCCCCAAGGGTATGTTGTTGGATCCAGTGATGCCTTGATTTCTCCACGCCATTCTGCCGATGCTTGTTGCGACTTTTTGTTGTGGTGAGGAAAAAGGTGCCAGATCTGACTATTGAATGATACTTGGCGGGATTCGAGGGCTAAGGAAGAAACGGCTTTGCCACAAAAGGCAAGTCACCGGCGTATCACGTGATCGGTGGAGCAACCTAAACATGGAAATGGGCTTGACACATTTCTCACTCGGGTGCTGGCCCAGCTCACACTCTAAAGAGGTACTCTCCAGAAACGCACTCACACAGTCCCGGTCAGGCAAATGAGCAGCAATCAGCTCGACAAAGTCGTATGACTTTTGCGTGCGGTCGTGTATGTGTAACGAAGCAGGCATCTGGCCTGCCCTCAGTTTCTGCTTTTACCGCCTCAATATTCAACTTTTTTTTGAGTCTTTCATTTCATTACTTTTTCGCATCCTCTTTCATGCTCTGCTGCACCCAAGCCCTTGTGCTCTCCGCGGCCTTGTCCATCTCCTCTTCGGTCATGTGCCGGTTCTCCAGTGCAGTGTGCGGCTTCGGCACGTGTCTGCCCTTCTCACAACCGGGATGGGACAGGACTCGGTCGATCCAGGCGCTCAGGTGTGGAAAATCATCTAACTTGATCCCCGCCCAGGCTTTGGCGTTGAAGACTCGATCAGCAACTGTGCTTCAAGAGTAGAGATCAATGGGGGAAGGAGAGGGGCAGGTCAGGGACTTACGGCCACTAGCTACCCAACCCCAGCAGGCAATGTCCGCGATGGTCAATCTGTCCCCGACGAGGTAGCCCGACGTCGACTTGCTCAGCTGCGTCTCCATGACACGGTACAGGCGACGAGTCTCGTTGCGGTATCGGTCAATGCCATATTGAATCTTCTCAGGGGCATATCCTGTCCTCATCGTCAGCCGCTCCCGAGTCATATTGAGACTTGAGGTCGCCTGTTGACTCACTGCCAAAGTGATTTGCTTGCCTAATCTCACAAGTTAGCTGCCACTCTTGCGCTTTTCCAACACCACCAAGACAGGCACATGTAGGAACCTACCCCTGCATGGGCCCGAGACCAGCCATCTGCCAGAAGAGCTGCAGTCATGATGGTCAGCATCAGCGCTCCGCTCCAAGGCCCTCCTGTCACAAGGATTCAGCAGAGGGGGGACATACCCAGTTGTTCACCTCCCAGTACTCCCTCGTGCCGCGCGGATACGACAGCTTGTGCTCCGTATCATAGCGGTCTACGAGGTATTGCATGATGGAGCCACTTTCAAAGAGGCGGATGGGCGAGCCATCCGTGAACGTGTCGGTCATGGCGGGGATGCGGCCATTGGGGTTGATCTCGAGGAACCAAGGTTCCTTTGAAAGCCCAGTCAGTTCTGCGGTGCCAAGTCAAAGTACCTATAACGGACCGCGGAAGCCGCTATCGTACTACCTTTTGGGTGTTCTTCGATATGTCGATGGCCGTCACCTGGCATAGAGTCAGAATCGGCGAACCCCGGCTTGTTTGGTCGAGATGGATGGCGAGAACGTACCTTGTACGGCAGTCCCAGCGCTTCCAGCAACATTGAGACCTTGATGCCGTTTGGCGTCTGCGCCGTGTACAGATGGATATCCGACTTCGTCTCGGCCATGGTGTTCGAGCTATCAACGTTGTTGGCGATGCCAGTGTGAGATGAGGTCAGGTGTGATCCGATCTGAGCAAGCCTTTGCGTTGAGTGGACAGCTGCGGGAACGTCAGGACCTGGTGTCATCGGCAAAAGCTCCCTATTATACGCCTGAGGTTGTCTTCGATGAAGGTCATGCATACATCATAAGCGGGGCTTAGAAATCAGTTGCCCGATTCCACTAGTTTGCTCCGCAACAATGGAAGAGAGGGGAACATCGGAGCTGCAGATGCCCGGAAGAACATTCCTTACTAAGGGGATTAATAATTCCAAGAATTTGATTTGAGATTATCGGATGCATAGAACAAAGTACTCGTTTGGCGCGTAGTGTGCCTGAGATTGTTACTGTGCAATATTAAGAGAGTGTACGCCGGAAAAATAAACAGCTAGTTAACAGCAGTATCACTAGGCAAATGAACAAGTTCTCCGCCGTCATCGCGTGCTGAAACATCACCACCAGCGCCAGGCTGCTGCCCTAGAGCAGCTTGCACATCCGGCCATCGTTCGCAACGTTCCACCTCTCGCTTCCCACGCCCTTCCTGACATAGAAAAACCCATTGGGGTCATACTTCCGCTTGATGCACAGCAGATCCTGGTAATTGGACCCAAAGAATACCTCCTGAAAGTTCGGCTGCTGGAAGTCTGCCTCGTTCATGTACGCGCCGGACCCGGGCGTGACGGCCTCGACGCGCGGCATGATGTCGTACGTCATGAGGCGCTGGTTATCGAGCATCTTGTCCCAATCGGCTGGATCGTTCGACCACTCCGTCGTGAGGGTCGCGTGGACGAGAGGGACGCGCCAAGCGGGCGTGACGGCGTTGGCCCTATGCTTGCCGAAGGGCGAGACGTCGGTGCCAACGCCGATCCAGGTGACGCCTTTCTCGGCGATGTACCGGGCAACCTGCGACATGCCTGTCGGGTTGTTTTGAAACGAGGAGAACGGGACCAGTCGGCCGCCGTACTGGGCAATGCCGACCTGGATGTTGCCGATCGGCAGAGGGCCGAAGTACTGATCGTAGTGCTCGTAGTATGTTGCTGTTTGGGAGTAGCTGGACGTGTACTTGACCCCCATTGAAGTGAGATTAGTGAGCAGGGGCTCCATGATGGCCTCAACCTCGCCGATGGTCTTGTTGTAGGCCGTCAAGGGGGCAATCATGAAGAAGGTCGAAGTGAAGTAATAGACTACCATGGAGCCAGCCTGGACCATGGCGGGGAGTGCGGCGTGGAAAGCGTCGATACCGCCATAGAAAGTTTCGGTCGGGTTCTCGCTGGCATAGAAGGAGAGGGTGGCGCCACCAACGTGCGCATCGGGGAACGTCTTGACCGTCATGCTGACGACGACACCATAGTTACCGGGGCCGCCGCCAGAGAGCGCCCAGTAGAGATAGGTGTTCTGCGTCCGGGAGGCCGTGAGGAGCTTGCCGGCAGCCGTGACAACTTCAAACTCGAGTGTGTTGTCGGCCGAAAGACCGAACGAAGTGCTCAGGGCGGAATGACCGCCACCTTGGGTATAACCGCCAGCAAGGCCGACTGTCGGGCACTCGCCACTAACGACGACCTGCTTCTTGGCAAGGCCGGCCGACAGGATGTCGAAGCCCTGAACACCGGCACCGACCTTGACGGCAGAACCCGTGTAGTACTTGTCATGCCACTCTTTGAACTCGATGGTTTTGAGCTTGTGAGTCCAGACCGAGAGGGCTCCGGCGCCGGTGGACCGACCAAGGTAATCATGGCCCGTGTTCCGTATCACGAAACGGATGTTGTTGTCCATGGCAAACTTCACGGTAGCCACCACGTCGGCAACCGACTGAGCCTCGACGGCGTAGACGACATAATTGCCGAGAGTGCATGGCCTGGACCGCGGCGTGAACGGGTCGCAGCTCTGGTTGGCAAAGAACGGGGCCATGACCGAGGCCGAGTCATTCATGCTAGATACCGAAATGTCCTGTTAGTGATTGACATCGACAAGCAGCAGTGCCATGAGAAACCCTGTCCTCGGGACTCGGCCTCCCCTGTCCATCAAAGACTGCATAGGAGAGTTCCGAGGTGGGAAAAGATATGCTAAGAATGGAAGGGAACCGAAGGTGCCAGTTCTTACTGAGTAGCCGGACTCTGCCAACCATCACGCAGAGCCTGGCAGCGCACAGGGTCGTAGTTGGGGTCGTGGCAGGGCTGACCGAGCGGTACTGTCGCGATTAGCCGGCCGCTGACTGTCTGGTTGAGGGCGTCCCAGTCGCGGTTGGACGGCCAGCACGCGTCCCCCGGGAAGCACTTGCACTTGAGGAAGCCGAGCGTCGCGGCATCGTCGTCGACGGCGAGCGAGCCGGCGCCAACAAAGGCGGCGCCAACAAGGCCGGCTGCGAGGAACAGCGCCTTCATGACTGCTACAAAGGAGTGACGAGGGTGAGAGTCCAAAGAAAAAAACGAACGGAAGGGAGCAGGAAGATCTCAGAGACAGCATCGTGACTGCACGAGAACGGAATCCTCGAAACCCCGAGACATTTAAACACAGCCTCCGGTCTTTCTTGTCTAATTCAGGGAGTAACAAGCCTTGATCCGACCCCGACTACCACGATACGGCAGCACAACCGTGGAGACCCTCTGGCAATCTGGGAAGGAGTCTTCTACCTCTGGGGTTACATTAAGGGGATGGGGACAACATCTCGGCTGATGCTCCACCAGTTAGCGCTGAGAAGGGATTGCACAGCAGGAAAGACACAGCGACTGTCGAGCATCACCTGGCAACCATCATGAGCCGTCCCATGATCATTGTTTCCCGGAGTTTGACTCGGCCGACGAACCAGGAATCCGAACCTGCCATGTGCGGAGCACGCAGAGGGATCTGCATCCGAGTCGCGCGAGTGGGCTGCCGCCACTTTGCCAATGTCAATCCCATCATGCGTTGCCATGGATGAGGATTCAGAAAGTGGTTCTGTTGTGAATCGTGATCAAGTCTGCGCCGAAGAGCCCAGGCGACCGCAGGATATGGGACACTCCGGAGACCCCGGATTAGTCAGACCTCCGTCATCGGAAACAGGAGATGCGATGACGAGGCCTTGGCGTTCCCGGCCTCAACGTCGTCACCGTCCATGAGTGAGGCTTGCGGGCGACAATTCATATGTTGGGTTTGTCGCCTGACATTCAGACCGCAGGTCGCTCAAGGTACCGTAGGTGCACCCTGTTTTCTCATCAGCACGCACTTCGTTTTTCCAAGTACGCCCGATTGCATTGGATTACGGCCCTGACTCCCAGCATCCTGGCGGCGGTTCCCCCGGTCCGGCCGGGCATCTGAGTTCGGCCCATGATCGGCTCTTGTCCTCCCATCCAAGGAAGGAGCGTCTGGATAGTATCACCAGGATCCTGATTGACGCCAAACGCGGCAAGACCATCTTGATCTGCAATCTTTTTGCCCGAGGTTATTTACTTTCCCTTCTCAACCTGACCTTGAGGAGGTTTCGATACGACAATCTCCTGTTCCAGGTGGAGCGTCTGGCAGATGGAGCTCGACACCTGTTCTGACTTAAGTTTCCAGAACACCTTATCGCAACTCTGACTTGAATGCACGATGAAGCATCTCCATCACAGATTCGCACCACTTTCTCTCCTCAGGTTCCCTAGGTAACACGCTGGTATATGTACAAACTAATCAATGAGTTCATTATCATGTACTGTAGTTTCGCAGCGATTTGCCGGGCGGGCTTGCAGAGAAAGTACGGCTTGGAAAAGCAACGGAAAGTTGCGTTGTTGTGTTTCAGAGTGTGGTTGCAAGGGAAGATCAAGGAGCGAAAGGGGTTGTAAACGCCAGCGCGGAGCAAGGACCATCGTGGCTCGCTACGGAGGTACTGTAGTTAGCTTTGGCATTGGCTTCCCGAGCCGTTCCCGTTGCCAAGAGCCTCTTCAACGGGATGCGCACCCGTGAATATGGAACCGACATGTTGGACGGCTCGTTGTCCACAAGCTAAGTTGCCCGGCCATGTGGGAGACAGCCTGAGCAGGTCCATCACAGATATGATCGATACCTCGTCTGAGAATTTGCTCAACATAGTCCTGCGCCGACGATGGCATTTCTGCCCGGCGACCGCTCATATCGAGAGGGCTCCACGGGACCCGTTTCATGGTGCAGCATCCGTACGTCGGTCTTCTCCATATCAAGCTTCTACCACAAACAGTACGTGTGCCGCGTTACGGTTGCCCCCCCGGCCTAGTTTTCTAGAATGTGCAAAAATCTTACGCCATGGAGCAACTAATCGGACGAAGCTTTCATCATCTGAGTCGCGCAGCAGCAACCACCGGCCGGATCGACTGGGGAGACACCTGGTGCCTCCTTTGGGCGCTCTAGGCAGTAAAGTTCCGTGATGGCATGGCCCAATCTGGATGTTCATCATCTCTCCGCGCTCGCACTTTGCTGGCGGTTGGCTCTTGCAAACCATCATCCGTTCGGAGACAATGCAAGCCAGACAGCCATTCTTTGCAGTCGGCTCCCGATCAACATCCGATAGCATGACTCGAAGGAAAGGGCAGATCTTGATGATGGCATTTTTCATCTGATCGCCCGTGGCTTGCCCGTTGCCGCTACAAGGATTTCCTCGATACTCATGGCCCACCAAGTCGGCAATTCGCCGCGTGCTCAGACCTTTTTCAACTATCGCCTTGTTTCTGAGCCCAGTCAGCTATTCATCTATTGTGATGCTGAGGTCCATCACTACTTCCCCGTACAGAGATGATGCATCTCCATATGGACATCATCTGGTTCGGTGGCGATGAGCAGACTCATCGTAGCTCCAGGATTCCTTTTCTCCGCTCTCCACCTCTCCAGAGCACCAGATATATTCATCCGCGGCTGTCCTTTGGGACCTTTGAGCCCGCTACTGTGACCCATGGCTCGGCTTGACGAACCTTATCTCACTCTTCTTCTCCTATGGCTTGACTTTAAGTTGCACGTCGGTGCCCGCCAAACTACGACCTTCCATCTCTGAGCAATTGGTTCGTGTCGTATTCTATCCCCTCGAGTCTTCTGTCGAGTGTCTGGTCCCTAGGGAGCCTCCTGCGCGGACCGCGCCACATCCCGACCGTCGGATCTTCCGCCAAACAACGCCCGGAAACATCGATTGGAAGGGATGGGTTGGACATACAATACGAAAGATCCCAATGCTCCCACTATCGGGCTCACGATCACTGGCGTTGCCATAACACTCACCTTCCTCTCGCTCATCACCGTCTGTCTTCGAACATATGTCCGAGCGCTCATGATCCGGGCCTTCGGCATCGGTAAGTCTTAACGTTGCTCGGGAAACTAAACAGGTGTACCAACGTTATTCGACAGATGACTGGATCATTTTGGTAACGTGGGTGAGTTGTGGTCAGCATGTGTTTCTGGTCCGTTGGACTGCGTCCCTAACATGCTCAGGTGGCTGCGGCCGGGTTTGCCATTGTCAGCATTGTCCGTTAGTATAGCGGCACCACCCTTGACTTGTTTCGAGAGACTGAGAAGTTGCTTAGAGTCAAGATGGGGCCTTGGTCTTCAGCATATCGACGACCTGCCCGCTGACGATGTCTATAACTTTGGCCTTGTAAGTGCGCGGAAATGGCCAGCGAGGTGTTGGTGGGAAACAGTAGGCTTACAAGGCATCACAGATTCAATACATGGGTGCTCCATTGTTCGTACCCAGTCACGGCTCAGTCACTCCAGGCCTCTGGCCGTCTAGGGGAGGAAAAACATTCCCGAGGCTAACACGCCCTCACAGCTACATCACCAGCATCCTAGGATTCAAGCTCGCCCTCCTCTTCTCCTATCTCCGCTTCATCCCCCTCGGCGTCTACCGCTACACCATTATCGGGGTTATCACGGCCTGCATCATGTTTCACCTCTCCTTCCTCCTCGTTCAGATCAATCTCTGTCAACCGATCCGCAAGCAATGGGATCCTGCCATAACATGGGGCTCCTGCATCCCAGGTGTGCCATTTTACACATCCATGGCCGCACTGACAATGGTCTTTGACGTGACAGTGTTTGTCTCCCACCAGGTTTCCCCTTGTGTCACTCCCCATACCCGCTCCCACCAACTTACATACATATATCATTAGTATGCTCCTCCCGTTCCCCGTCCTCGCCAAGTCGCGCCTGCAGACCCGCAAGAAGGTCATCCTCCTGGGGCTGTTCGGCCTGGGCATCTTCATCACAGTCACCCAAATCGTTCGCATCCAGAAGGTCAAGCAGCTGGCCAACTACACCGACAGCGCGCCCCTGATCCTCTGGTCGACCGTGGAAAGCAACCTGGGTATCATCGTCGCCAACGTGCCGACCCTGGCGCCGCTCGTCAAGTACTACAACGAACACCACGCGTCCAAGAGGATGACCGCCGACGCCGACCCCACCGCCTGGCGGAACACGGGCGGTTGTGGTGGGACCGTGGGAGGGCGGAGGTACTATGCCCAGGGGAGCCGCGGCGGGACGGGGAAATCGGTCGATCGGTCGCTGGGGCTGACGACGCTCGGGGGCAGCGAGCATGACATGACCGAGTTAGGCAATTTCAGTCACGCCAAGGGGAACGGGAGTACCGTCTCGATTCTGGACCCTGTTTACCTTAGGCCGGGAAGCGGGGAGGGGGCGGAGGCGGTGGAGGCGAGGAGGGTTGGGACGTCGGCGGGGATTACAAAGAAGGTGGAGGTTCTGATTACGAGGAGCTGAAGAATGATGGGCTCCATTGAGCCCAGAGCGGATTGCGTCCTTTGGCATGAAGACATTTTAAAAGATATATGGCTTTGTCTTGGTGTGGGCGTTGGGATACAAGGTCGAATATTCCGGCCTATGGCGAAATGCTTGGTATATGGACACATCTCGATAATCCTAATCATAACTCTGACGACTGGACGCCGCAGTTTCATACAAGGTTCTTGGTGGCGGGAGCGTCATAGGAACGGAGGGAGACCGATGGGGTAGTCAACAAACGCCCCTGATACGGTCTCGAAACATCCAGACCCTGCTCGAGCCAAACTCGAGGACGCAGATTGCACACCAACACTGTTTCTGTGCGATGAGTTTATGAAAGGATATGGGCTCAACACTCGTCGCAGCTTCATACCCGATATCTTCCCAGGGCATGATCAGACACATCCTGCACCCCCAACATGAAAACAGTCGGATATACTCAAGGCCAATCGGCCAACGGACAACCAAATAGTATATAGATAGTGCCACCAAAACGTCGACTCATAACCCCAAGAAAAACGCCGGCTATGCCATGCCATGTCCTGTCCCGCCAGCTAAAGTCCAGTCCAGTTTTGTTGGCTCTCCCGCCGCAGTGACCACTAGCACGGTCCAAACACATAGAAGTTTTGTGAGCAACACAGCTCCGCTCTACTTTCGTTCCGTGGCGTTTCTCACTCTTCCATCGGCGCCCTCACTTTGCCCGCATCGACAAGTATCAACTCATCGATGCGCTTGTTCACATCCGGCCCGTACTCGACCCGCTTCCAAGTCGTGATGCGCGCCTCGTTCATATCGAAATCGAAGATGCGGATTTTGCGGTGAAAGCCGCCGTATCCCGCGTAGCCGCCGAACCCAGTGGCCCCGGCGTAGCACATCCAGAGGGCAGGGTTCCCTTCTTCGTGGTGCGACAGACCACAATACTCGTTCACGTGGTCGCTAGAAAGCAAGTCAATTGAGGCCTCGACGGGCGAAACGGCCATTTTAGGGGACGGAGATACGTACTGCCCGCAGCTAACCATGACGACGCCCTCGTCGACCAGGGCATCATAGAAACCGGAATTGTAAGCCGGCGCCGTGCTCGGCTCCTTCCACTCTCCCACTAACGTCAGGTTCGGTAGCACGTACTCCGGGATGGGAATGTGGATAAAGGCGACGTCCATGTGGTGGTGGGTGTACTCCTTGTGCTTCTTCTTGAGGTCCTGGGCGGTGGTGCGGAACCAGTCAATCTGGTTCTTCTTAATCCAATCGTAGCCCTTGAATTGGCGCTCGTTGGGCGAGTACGAGTGCGTGTCGAGCAGGTAGACCGTGATGGCCGAGTGGCCGGAGCCGCCGCGGGCCAGGATTTCGATGTAGTAGTTGCCTACCCCGTCGACATCTGCGGGGCCGGCTTTGGAGAGCGAGTAGGGGAGGGTCTCAATCAAGTCCATTTGTGCTGCGCGGGACATGGAACCCTCGTCGTCGTGGTTCCCGAATATGGAGACATAGGGGATCTTGTGCTTGATGAGCAGTTGTGCGTATTTGAAGATGGCCTGGAAACGGTTAGTACGATACTTCATCAAGAAATGTGTACAGTGCTCCCCACTCACGGACTGTGTATCCGGCGCAGTATCCCCATTAACTTGGTCTCCGCTGAGGACTACTAAATCTGGCCTCTCCTCCTCCAGAATCTTGATGACGAATTCGAGCGTCCTGGGGTCGGCTTCGCAGTTGCCGCCGTTCCAATCCTCGGGCAGCGCATCCCTGCACTGTCCAACTCCCGTGCTCAAATGCAGGTCGGCCAACTGCATGATCTTGAACCTGCCGTTATCCCTAATCTTCGGCACCGGCTTGTATGGCTCCTGTGCTTCGCCCCTCCGCACCGTGACATGAGCCCCCGGGACCCCCGACCCGATATCCAAAAGCATCGCGGTCCCCGTTATCTCCCACCCGGGCCTCGCCTCGACGGCATCATCGCCAAATAGCACGTCCACGGCGGTCACGGCACTCTTCGAGTCGCTCACGCCGCGCTTATTACTCCTCTTGATCCACAAGCCGCCCGGCCTGGCCTCCCACTTCTCCTCCTCCTTCTCCTTGTCCCTCCGGTTGTGGCTGTTCTTCCCCGCAGCGACATCCGGGTTCAAACGCCCGACGGTGACGTCGATTACCACCTTATCCCCCGGCGTCAGCTCCTCCTCGCGCTTGCGCTGGACGTGCAGGTAGGCGGACGAGAACAGGGTCTTGCGCAGGTACAGGTCCTTGTCGATGCGGTGCCACAGGGCCGAGTCGAGCTTGCACGACGAGAAGAGGTTGAGGGTGGAACATTTGGTGAGGGTGATGTCGGTGATGACGGAGCCGGCGTGGTGGGTTGGGAGGTACTCGTGCAGGGCGTCGGGGAGGACGCGGAAGTTGCGGTCGAGGAAGAAGATGACGATCAGTGTGAAGAGGGCGGCGGTGGCAGTCTGCACTATTGTGCGCACCTGGAAGCACCCAAAGCGTGTTAGATTGGGTATTGTATTTATCTGATTTCTCGGCGTGGAAAGGCTTACAATGCGTCGCGTCATGACGGCGGACTCGAGATGTAAGGACAACGGTCGCGAGGGTCGGTGGCCCTTCTCGTGGAATTCGCCGGGAATCTACCGCCCGGCGTTCCTTCCTTGTCTAGCCGACGTCGTGCAATACGGAAGACGGGTATCCTGTGTCGCGTAGCGTCTTTTTGATTCCCGTGTCCGCCGTGTCTACCTGAACCGGAAAGAAGATGGTCTGCAAGAAGGGAAAACAGGGGCGTTCTCGACTTTGGTGAACAAGGAGTGGACGGATCGCGACTGAAGGCCCATTTTAGACCATCGGCGACAACTTTGCTGATACTGCCGATTCGTCTGCGTGGCGGCTCCAAATGTTGTCTGTCTGCCTGTTGCGGTGCAACTGGTGATAGGGGCTTTCGGGAGCAAGGGTCCACGTACTGTAAATTGTGGCGGCCTTTGCCTGATGGGGGCAAAGCGGATGGGTCGGATCTGAGGCCCACATGCGACCCCCAATCCGGGGAAGCGGCCCCGCCAAGACCTAGTGTAGGCTCTCGGAACGGGAGGGACTTCAAGTTGACAAGGGCATGCTGCACCCTAATTTCTGTAAGAGAGACTTCCATCTGTTAGGGTTTATGTCCTCATACGGTATCACTACCCGTCCACATACATCCAAGCCGCCGGGAAGTTATCGACTGCCAAGTGGCGCAGGATCTACGAGTACGCGCCGCCGCCAACCCCGGGGTATACACGTTACACAGTATCAAGGCATCACCAGAAGAGCAGACCCGACTCGAGACCCTAACACTGCTGCGGTGCCGCGCAATCTTTCATCTCATTCATCACTCATGCTATGTGCATACATTCCATCCTTCTTGTCCCATTCATATGCCCGGCTGGAAAACGACCAGTGGGGGTATCTCTCGGATGCTCAGTCGCTCAGTCGCTCAATCCAACCTGAAAAACGCAAAATGCGCACCAATCATCCGGATCAACGCCAGCCATTGCAGTCCTCATAACCCAACCGAAGCATCCGGCTCCCATTCCCCGATTTCCAATCCCCATGACCGTGTATTATCATCCTCCTCTCATGGCCACCCATCGTCCAGGCTCGCTGGGATACGATCAAAATCAAGAAATAAAAGAAATATGCGAAAATTACACCCTTCCCGCTTGCGTTCCAGTCGACTTGGGGGGTGGTTGAAGCAAAGTTGCGAGACGACTGCTAGAGCCGTCCCCGTTGTATTACCGGCTCGCGCCTCGATGTGGTAAATGCAATCATCCCCGAAATAATACCCTTGAGCTCGCGCCCTCCTGGTCTTTGTATGGTGCAATGTCGTGTCTGCTTGTTTGCACATGCCGTTCTTGGATCGTCTCGTCCGCGTCATGCTATTTGTAAGAAAAAAGAAAGACGTATCCAGTCGAGAATATCGCCCGAAGAATCGAGGCTGGTTAAAATATTGTCGGTTCGTGTCAGATACTCGCAACCCTCGCCCTCCCATCCGGGATCCGCGCATGGCAAACCATCAACTTCAGACTCGTCCCCCATTCCTCACATTCCGCAAGCAGCGCCTTGTCCCGCCAGATACTGGTTCTTGAAGACAAACCAGTCCCCGGCGCCGCGGCGCTCTCGTAGCAGCGGCTGTACCACCACCGTCCGACCTTGGCCACTGACTGCGCGATACTCTCGTCCGCAACCGGCCCTTCGTCGTTGATCATCTCCGGCAGGCTGCGCTCGTCCTTCTTGAGTTTGAATCTCTCCCGAGCGGCACCAGTTGAGCTTCTATTCCCGCCGCCGTTGCTTGCCTCGCTGCTCCCAGACGATCGAGCGATAGTACTAGCCACCGGTACACCGACGCGGCATGTCTTGATGTCGGTGAAGCCCCTTCTGCCGATCAGACGAAGAATGAGATCCGACGCCGGTGCGAGGCTAGTATCCGGCGCGTGGGCGTGAATGCGTTCCTTGACACGCCGCACAGCACGGCGACAGCGATTGCCCATGTTGTTCAGGTCCACGTCGAGGATTGACAGTTCGAGGTAACCTCCCGGTTTGAGCACTCGTCGCGCCTCAGAAATAATGGTGCGGTAGTGCCCCTCTGGGGCCGCGGCTGGGAAGCGGAACACGACAGCCGTAAAGCTTTGCGCGCCGAAGGGGAACTTCGCTGTGTGGGAGACGTACTGGACCTGGTGATGATTGGGAGGCCGGAGCGGGAAGGACGACTCGTTTTGGTGTTCTGCAGGAAAAGGAGCGCGCGGTGAGAGATTGAAAAATGCAGCGGCCGGGTACGTCTCGGCGGCGTAAAAGGACCAGTCATCGTTGCCCAAGCCATCGATAACCAGAATTGATGGCCTCTTGAGCGACCCAACATCCGAGACCAATTCATCCCGGACGGGGCTGAAGAGAACATGACCAAAGGTAAGCCACTTGCTGACCGTCATGGAGCCCACTCGGAGGTTGACCTGGGACACAGGCGAGCTGTCTTCTGAGCATTGGGTGCTGCCGCTGGCGTTGGATTGGCGGACCTGGAGTGCAGACGAAGAGCTGTTTCGCTGCGCAGATACCGGCTCTTCGGCTTGCTTCGCCTGACTGCATGGACGTTCGACCATGAGTACCGAGTTCTCCGGTGTTGGATCGCAATCAAGCATTCGCCTGACTTCCAGGGCAATGTCCGAGCCGCGGACGCTCAGCGACTGATGTTCCATGCCTGACCGCAGAGCTTGAACCAGGCTCTGCAGCGGAGGAGGACTAATCGTTGGCGATTCCAATGCCGGTTCGATCCACTTCGCATTTGGGTGCGCCTCGAGCCGCAGCGGCTTCGGCCAGGATGGTCCTCGTGACGTGGACAGCCTAATGGTGTCGTCCCCAAGCAGGTCGTTGTATTCGTCCCATATCTCGTCTTCCGAAAGCGGAGCACTCGGTGACGGCACGATGGCAGTTGCGTCAACAAAACTCAGAAGACCCCCAGAGCTGCTGGAGGATGTTGTCGTGCATTGGGAGTCCTTGCGGGGAGAGAACGAAAGGAATTCCTGTCCGGGCTGGTTGGATGTCGGCGGTAACAACCTTGGCACACCATAGATCAGTGCCGACAAGTTAGAATCATTTACTACCGCCGAGTCCTCGTCAATCGGTTCTGGTGTGGACGGTTGTGGAGGGCTGGGGCCCTTTGCTACGGAATCCTCGTCCTTGAGATCAGGCCTCGCCGGCGGCATCTGTACGCTAAGCCGATGGAATGGCCTGGAGAAGCTCTTTGGCGAGATCTGCTCGGCTCTGGCGCTAACAACCTTGGGAATGCGGCCAACCTGCGGCAGTCGGCTCGGGCGAGTCAGGGGTAGAGACCCGGCTCGCTGGGCAGGGACTGGCTCAGTCTTGGTCTCCAAGCCCGACGTGGCAGGCAGGCGGATCGGGATCGTCGTATCACAATTCGGGTTTTGTGGCGCCCCATATTCGTTTTCCAGAGACTTGGCCGCCTGTTCCGTCACCGATGGTCTCCTGTAGTCCCCTTCCTCAACCAGAGGGACCTCAGGGGTCGTTACGGCGATACCCCTGGCTTCACGAAGGACCTCCTCCAAATCCACCGGGTCAACATCCTCCTGCTCAGATGAATCCATCAACGTGTAGAACGCTACTGGTTTCTTTTGCGCAGGTTGGACCGTGGCTGCAACCGTTGTGGTCGTCTCGTTCTTCTTCTCGACCGGGGTCTGACTCTGGGAACGACCGAAGAAGTTCCACTTCCTTGGCGACCGGGCTCGCCTTATAAGCTTCCTTGGCCCAGAAACGGTCGCTGCTGGGGCCGACTTTTGAATAGCGACAGCCTGTTCCGCCAAAGGAATCAAGACGGAGTCGTCTGACAGGATGCTGGCGTCTAGGCTGGTCGTCGAAGGTGACATAACCTGGGGACGTGTGACGATCGGCTTCGGCAACCTTGGGGGCTCCTGCTCGCCAGACTTCAGTCGTTGCATGGACCTTCTGAGGGCCAAGGTAGGCTTCATGGTAAGGGCCTCCGAATCACTGCTCTCGGACGGTCGACGGCTGGACAGTGATAGGGTTTGCGTCGCTCCTCGTGGGAACGGTGACGGCCAAAGAGACTTTCGAGGCACTTCGCGAGACGATAGCGAGATTTGGGAGCTGTTGCGAGACTCAATGCTGGGTCGCCTCAAAGTAGAGCTCTGGTTGCTCTCGGTGCGCGTGAGCTCCGAACTGGCGTTCTTGTTTTCGATGACTTCGCCACCAGCAATGATGACCGGGGCCATCCTTTCCATCAAGAACGGATCGTGAGACAGGTTGCCGAAGCTCTCCTGCGAAGACATGGTCCCCGGGATCACACGTGTCGGGTTGTTGATGCTGTTGCTTCGACGACGCACTGAGCCCAGTTTTCCGTAACCTTCGTGGCCTGTCCCGGCTGCTGGTCCTTTTCTCGCCGGCCTGTCTTTTTTCTCCTGCTGACCGGGCTCGGGAACCGTCTTTGTTCGTCGTCCAAAGAGGGGGAACCGGGTTTTGAAGCCCGACACGCTGGGGCTTGGTGTTCGAATGAGCCTTACGGATTCTTGTTTGGATGAACTCGCCACACTGTCGGTAGCGGAACGCTGGGGCTTCGGCTGTTCCGTTGGAGCCATTGGGCCGGCCAGCCGACTGGCCGGGCCAGCAACCAAAAGACCGCTCTGCCGCCTTTCCGGCAAGGACGTAGATGACAGGTTGCTCTGAATGACAGGGATAGAATGACCGAATTGGGCTTGCAAGTCGGCCGTGCCGTCACGGCTAGGCCGCACCGGCGGCGTTGGCTTGGGCGAGGCGGCAAGACGGGTGGGTTGCATATGTCGAGGCCGAGAATAAGAGGTAGGTTTCACCACTGGCGGCGCTACTACTTGTGGCGGGCTCGGCGGACGCTGCGAAGACCCCTTTATTTTTCTCTTGTCCTTCGTGTTGACGCCGGCTCGGACTGTCGAGTTGGAGGACGACGAAGTGGACAGTTCCTTCACAGCTGAGAGGCCTTGAGGATCGGCGCCAACTTCATCGGACGTGCTCCCACCTCTCCTTCGGGCGAGTGGAGGCCGGGTCAGGGCCTGGTCGACTTGTCGAATCCTGGAGCCGGGAAGGGGTATCCGTATCGGGGCCACCAACCCTGGAGATTGCGACGAAATAGAGGTGGGTGTGGTGTCACGGCTGTATGGGCCCGGTCCTGGCGATCCCGACCATCTCGTGGATGGGCTGCCACTGAAAGCGCTGACCTGGCTGCTGGTACCAGAGAATAGGGGCGTCGGCGGAGGGAGATCGTGCGTTGCAATTCGGTGAGGGAAGTTGAGACTCGGGCTCTCGGGTCGATGAGGCACCTGGACATCGCGGTACCTGTCTAGCTCGGGGTATATCGTCACTGCTTGGGCCTTTGTCATGGGAATTTCGATTTGCTGCGCGACTCGAACTTCCAGAGGGCTCTGGGTTAACTCCCGATCCAGATGAAGAGGGTCCAGAGGGGTCGGGGCACGAGGATAAGAGTCGGACGAGTGTGTCCCGGTCGAGCCATTCCGTGAATCGACACGAGTGCTGCTTGTGTCCTGCGATAGCCCTGAGCGTTTTCGCCTAAGTGTGTTTCGAGGCTTCAAGCTGGGAGCCGGAAGCCTGCTGCTCGTGACCGGGGCCGGTGCCGACAAGGGCTTGCCATCTGGCCCTCCGGAGACCAAACCACTCGCATTACCAATGGAACTCCGCAACCGGGGCTGTTGAACGAAACGAGGCTGCTCTGACTGGCTGCCGGACGGTCGGCGATGAGTTGGTGCTGACGGTAATCGGCTAGACGGGGTCGGTTGCGGAATGGTCCTCGAATGTTGGTGATTCGCTTCGTCTCTGCTAGAGGCGGCCGACCCCGCGTGCAACTTGGCCTTTTCCCGTGAGGTTTCCGGGCCCTCCCGCGGGTCCTTGGGCTTGGTACTGCCGGACCAGCCAAAGGTCTGCGCTCCCGCCCTCCTAGAAGCCATTGTGTTTCTGTCTGCTTGCGATAAAGGATGTGCCGACCATAATCATTGATATTCATAACCTACAACCATCGGAGGCAGTGTAGGAAGTAACACAACCGTATTACTATGGTAGAAGTCAGCCGGCACACAATACGGGGTGGTGGGAAAGAAAGGAGGCAACCTTAGGCGGCCCTGGGAGGAGTTGGGACCGTCCTGGATCCAACTGATCACCAGGTAGCAAAGCCGCTACGATGTGCCTCAGGGGCTATGTATAGATCTCCAAAGATCTCTCGGCTCTACAAGGTCGGCAAGGACCAGGAGGTGAGGTAGTAGGTCGTCCTAGTCAGCAGCCTGGTGGTCCAGCCCCTGGGTGAGGACTCTCGGCCTCTTCGATCCCCGTTCAGCACCAGGGAAGGGGCAAAAGCAGGACAACTCTGACGAGCCGCGCAGAGTCAAAAAAAGAGCAACAACTCCAAAACACGAGAGCACCCGAGAATGGTGCGAGTCTCCCGGACCACAAATTAACTATAGAACATGACCCTAAGAAGCCAAGAGAAGGTGGAGGGGTCGCCCGCGGGAGGACGTGTGGTGCAAGACCATACACGCGGGTGAGAGGGTGGGGGACGGCAAGAAGCGCTGGCGCTGTCGTGGGCCTGCTCGAATCTGACCTCCCCTGGTATCGCTCAGCAATGGCAGGGAGTTGAAGAAGTGGGAGAAGATGGATATGTGATGGAAATCGTAGCAATGCGAGGCGAGGCACAGTAAGTTTTGTCTCCTGATATTGTTACTGAACGGCGGAAGAACGCTTGAAAGAGTGTCGAACTGAGAGGAAGGATGGGAAAGGGGTCGGAGAGGAAAAGACGTATCAGCATATCAACGGGTCAGCGAAAAGATACATTTGAAGTTCTCTGGAGACTCCCAGGAGGATCGAGGGAGATTTTGCAAGTACACTTGTATCTGCTTCCCACAGTCGAGATGAGTGGCGTAGTAATGCTCGCCTGTGGCCAAGCAGCGACCAGAGCAGACGAGGTTCGAGGCAAAGTCATGTGGGCTTGGTGCAAGAGAACATGACAGGGGGACGCAGGTCGATTGGGCGGGAAGATGCAGGTCCATCCACTGACTCACCCACGGAAAATGCGATGCGGGAAGCAGGACAGCGGCGGAAAGCCACTGACAGACGAGGCGATCCATGAGGTGCAATGCAGGAAAGCTGCGGACGGTTCGAGGCAACCAACGGCAGGAGCGAAGGGGTGCAAGTCTATAGTGGAGACGGGACAAGCGCGGTGGAGCCCGGGAACAAGCCCTGAGCCTCAGGTCCTGTCGCTTCCTGCAGGGCGGCTAAGGTACTCTCCACCAACAGTTTACTGGAGCTGCGCCGCCATGCGCGCGACAGCCCTGGATGCTGCATGAGGAACATGCCCTATGAGGGCAGAGAAGGCGGATTTTGCGGTACCATTGGGCAGCACACCTCGATTCCTGGGCTCACCCGGGACAACTGCTTTTGGCACCCTCAAAGTGACGAGACTATTCACTCTTTCGCTGTGATTTCCGGACTCCATTGTCGGCCGTCCTGCAATTCAGGTATAAGGTAAGGTATTGGAACGGGTGAAAACCCAACAAACGGAGGAAGGACTCTGATAGTGGATTCCGCTCTGTTGTTGTGACCCAGGGTCGACATGTATACGAACAAACGCTGAAGGCATATAGCGTTTGCCACTTCATGCCGAGCTCGGGCGGCACCGACGGGAGTTCGGACGGCGCAAGCGGGGCGTGTCTCGGGCCTCATTGCGGGCCTCATTGCGGGGTTCGAACTCCCGTCCTCCGGAGCTTCATGCCATCGCTGCTTCCACATTCTCAAAGTCAAAATATCCATCGGCTCCTTGGAGAGTGACAACCCAAGGTACTAAACGTGAAGGTAGGTGAACAGTAAGGCGCCATAATGGAAACTGACATGATACCTTAAGGCCTTTCGCTGCCATCGACCTTTTGCAACTCGTGCTTCGTGTCCAACACTGGACCGGCAATGGACCTGAAAGCCTGGTAGTGGCGGTTTCGGCTCATCCATGACGGCGATCCCGCAAGTACTGGGAGATTCCCCTCCAGGAAGGATGGCCACACTGGGCCCGAAACTGCTTATCATTGGATTTGTACATACTTCTGTCCCTGAACCTGTTCACTACCTCCACTGCAGCATCAAGGCTTATTACGAGCAATCCTCTCCGTCTCTCTCTCTCGGCAGCTTTGGTTCGATAACAATAGAGTCCTGTTGACATCAGGAGCCCTCGCGACCTGTCCTGCGCGGATACGAACTGAAGTCCTCAGGCTTCTCGGAAATACACAACATAAAATGAATACCTATCGTATCGGCTTGTGTTGCTGAGCGTTAACTTCTCGCTTGTGTCGCCATGCCGTAAACCCGCCCAACCGACCACCACCTCAACGTGCTTGACAAGCCGCCGGGACTATTGTTGTGATTTGCCAGCCATTCAACTGTTGCCCCGCGCAAAGCAGCTAAAGTCATTGGCATTATCTCATTGGTCAACATATTTGATTTTCTGACCAATTGACGTGCTCCGTTTATCCAGTGGGCTAAATAAGGCCTTCCTGACCGGCTCCTTTTCACACTGAATTCAGCCTTCGTACTCCGTAGATAATAATGGAGACACGGCAAGTTCTCTTCTTGCCCTTGGACCTGCTCGACACCATCTTCTGATCACTATGATCTTGCTGCATGCATGCATGTCTCACTTAGACACGCGAACCATCTGCAGGACGACGCTGAGGTGCAAATGGGAGGGTGTGCTGCCGAGCTTGCTCCGACAGGGCGACCGACGAGCTGGGGAGTAGGAAAAGTTGAGCTACACACCAATCGAAGCGGGGTTACCAACTACACGAACGAGCTACTGCAGGTCCTTGGAATGTGTCGTCGTCATCACCGGTCGAAGAATGAAAGATTTCACCGTGGGAGCTGAACAGCGATGAGTTGGCATGCTGTCGAGCACAGGGCAAGGCGGATTTATGGGATGGATATGCAGGAGCATGGTCGCAGCTGGGCGATGTGCTGCCGGTGAGCGACACCGATCGACCGGATTCCTGCAGAACCGGCTTGTTGGGTCGCCGCCAAACTGTGGCAAGCGCAGTGCGTTTAAGGCAACCTGCATACTCCGCCACAGCCCGGGTCGTTGGATCGGTCGTGGGGTCGGTCGTGAATGACTTCGAAGTCGCTGAGGCTGGTGACGTGGCCCAACTAAAACGATCCACCGTCAATGGCTGCCTCTTCAAATTTTGCCATCGTGAGGTAGAGATGCGCGCCGATTGCGCCATGCCCTGACAGCAATTTGGAGATAGAGATCACTGAAGTGGTAGGTTCACGTACAAACAGAAGTTCCAGTGTTCTTGACACTCGCTGTTCGGATGTTCATGGCTTCAAGTCTGCAACAAGCCGTCAATCCCAAATCCATGTCAAAAGCCCCGCGTTCCCGCCAAGCCCGGAGCGACAGAATGATACCCTTGTCATACAAGGAATCTTTGCCAGTCTCATTGGTGGGGCGGGGCACGAAGAAGACCGCCAGGATCTGACTTCTTTTTAACATACTGTGATAACTATGGCGAGATGGTGTTCTAACATCAAGAAATCATAGGTATCCGATTCGTTCCTTCACGTTTAACTTGTTTGGATCATGCCGTCTCGCTTTGCATTTGGAGGCTCGATATTCCTTCAAGGTTGGCGTTCATCCCAACAACATCCAACAATCACCACTCAACCAGCTTGTCTGATCCAGCTTTCCAACAACAACTCTGCATGCAACGTTATGTTAGAATCGTCCAGTAAGGTAATGCGTGTGCTGGCGTAGTATTGCCACGGCGAACAACCAACGCATAGTCGCGTGCCGTAGCTCCAACAAAACTTTTGCTTCCCTATTCATGCTCAACAATCTACCAAGCTGGTCTTCACGAGCTCAGCCGACCTGGCTCTCTCTGCCAACTTACCTTGCCGTTGCTGACTTGTCCAGATATGGCGGCCCTCATGCGTGCGTTTCAAAACCGGTCCTTCCCTGTCAAGGAACGGAATCAATGGGAACTCTGTCTCGACCCCTATTCCTTGCCCGCAACCGTCCCCACGAATCATCACAGGAAATCATCCATGCCTTTACCATGTACATGTCATTGATGTAAGCGGACGCCCCGTCCCGTTCAGTATGGTGATTATCCCATGGACCGTGCCGCCCAGTGTCCGGTCTCCGTAAGACACGGCAAGCCGAGGGTCATTGGCCTGGCATCTGTCTTGTGACCTAATGACTTGCTTACTGAGGAAATAAAGATCCAGTGACCTCAGCTCCATGCAGGAATGGTTCAAGTCAACTCTTTGGGTGAGATGAATGCCTTGGCCTATTGGCATTCTTGATGACACCCACCCCCTCGTAGTCCGGAGGATCAAGATCAGAAATGGCACGTATGGACAAGGAGGCTTGACACAGTCGTGTTATTTGCTGTGGCCGGCCAAACCCCTCACCTCCGTTATGCAGTGTCGGTGCTCCAATCCAGTCAAGACACAGACCACCACACCCCACCCTTACAGCGTCCACGGTCCAGCTGCAGGGTTGTCCAGTCAGCGTAACCAAAGGCGGTCCCCGCCAAAAGCAGCCACCGTCCCCTTGCAAGTAGTGGGATGAGGCTGTAATGGTACGCTTCGTCCTGCAGCTCGGCTTTCTGGGGTCGCTCTGTGCGAAAACCCATCACAGCTGGATGTGACCGAAGAGTCCATACCACCTGTTCTGCGTTCTCCTTGGCGAGCTCATCAACATGGACTTCCTTGATCATCATGCCGATCGAAGTCGAAGGCTAATGTTGCCCTTGCTCAACAAGCAGGTGAACTCGGCAAGAAACGTGTAGAATCAGATCCACGGTCTGTTTTCATCTCCGCTCAACCACGGCGTCTTCAGTGGGAAGCGGAATCTGGGTTCAAGTGCCGTTCCAGACCTGCCTGCTCTGGTTGTACCATCCTGTCACACTCTTGAGATAGGAAAAGCAAACATTGGCAACAGATATACCAAGCAAGACAGAGAAGCCAGACCACCACGTCGCACTAGACATCATTATTTCTTCACCTAAATTCATTTCCGCTTTTTTGCCTACCCCTTGTTCCATCAAAAAGAGAGCACTTCAGCCCTTCCAAGTCTGGCCCGGGGTATGATATGGCTACAATATGTAAAAATCCCGTCTTCCCCCCTTATTTTTGACCGAATACACCTAGGTTATCTCCCTACCCTCCGCCCATCAAAAAGTTCTTGTGCACTGATCAGTCGGCAAATAAAATCGAACAACGCGACGACATAAGAGAGATAGGCCAAATAAATCCTACGGAAGGCAGGCCCAAAGGGCGAAACAGAGAGGTGAGTAACTGGCCAGCTGGAAGGCTCATCCGCAGCCGCCCTGAAGACCTCAAAGTCACCAGCGAAAACCCGTAACCCAACAAGGAGCAAATCCGCCAAAGATGAACTGCCTACCTTCCCTCAAGAAGGAGCAGCAGCAGCAAACCTCTTTGCCCTCGCCTCCATCTTGGCCTTCTCCGCCGGGTCGATAGGACCCTTGCTGACGCCGCTGCCCTTGCTCTCTCCCTTCTGCACCCTCCCACCACCACTACCTTGCCTCCTCCCACCCTGCTTACCCCTTCCACCCTTCTGCTGCTGCTGCTGAGGATGATTCCTCCCCGCACCAGCACCACGATTGCTCCTCTTGCTAGCTCGGCCGCCATCCTCCTCCTTGGTCCCGGCAGCAACAGCAGTGGCCGCACCCTCGCCCTCCCCAGCAGCCCGACCGCGCTTGCGAGGCCGATCCGGCAGCGCGCTGTCCAGCGCCGAGACCTGGTCATTAGCCACGCCGAAACGCGCGGCGCGCGCGGCCTTCCTTGCCTCCTCGGACTGCTCATCGGCCGTGACGCCGAAGCGGGCGGCGCGTGCGGCGCGCTTCTCGGCTTCTGTCTTCGGGTTGGTTGGCGCGAGGTTCTGACTGAAGGCTGATTTGGCTGCTGCCGCTGCTTCTTCTCCAGCGGCGGCGGCGGTTGTGGTGGCGGCGGCACCTTCCGTGGTTGACCTGTCGCTGTCGCCACCGGCGGCCTTAGGTGCTTCGGTCGTGGTGGTTGTTGCCGCGTCTGTTTTGGGCTCTGCAGGCGCGTCCTCGGCCTTCTCGGCGGCGGGAGCAGGAGCAGCGGGCACAGGTTTTTCGCTTACGGGAGCGGGCAGGTCATCGTCCTCGTAGTCAATCTCGTCTTCGGCGGGCGGGTTGGAGGAGTCTAGCGACAAAGTGCAGAGTTAGCAAGGCAGTTTTCATTTGGTCAGCTTCAATTGAAGGGTCCAGTTTGGTTGGATGGATGCGCGTCGCGCAATGCTCCATGAGGGATTCGATCGCCAGCTCAGAAGAAAGTTGAGTTCATTCATGGAAAGCTGTCGCGACAGAAGGACCCAGCGTAACAACTGCGCACCGCTGCCGCGCCCTGGGGGCGTTTCGGCCAAGCAAAGAATAGGATACTCACCGGCCTGCGACTCCGCGCTCTCAGCCGCCTTCTGCTTGTCGTTCTCGGTAAGACGGGCAATGAGATCCGCCTTGTTGCCGGTGTGAGGAAGGCCCCGCTCTGCAAGTAACTTCTTAAGCTCTGGGACTTTCATGGAATTATAGTCGGCCATGGCGAGAATGCTTGCGCTCAGTGGCGGCGCTGAGTTTTGAACAAAAAGGGATTGGAGTTGTGCGAATCGTGTCTGTCGAAACGCTTTGGGGAATGCCAGAATGTAATCAAGTAGAGCTTGTCGTCAACTATGAAGGTAGCGATTGATGAGGTCGAGGGTTTCCTGCTTTAGAGGGAGAGGGATGATCGCGCACGGAAAGACGCGTCGTTGCATCAGAGAGGAACTCCATACAGACATGATATATGATTGGTTGATTACGTACGGATTACAATTATAACTTTAGCATAACTCCGTAATCCGTACTTGTTCAGCACCCCAAACTATTGTTTTAACGAAAAATATTGGCAATCTCCCTACTCAGTACCTGCATAACCCAAATAGCAACTATGACAACCTCACTTCTCATTGAGAGCACTTAAACAATAGCACAAAAGTCTCAAGTTTTCAGTCAAAGTGGTGACGATTACCCCAGGTCCACTAGCCCAGGAAAAGAAGGCAAACAGGCGAACATATAACAGAATTATTAAGCAAAGTCTATCGTCATTGACGCCCAGGGTATATATGGTATGCGCATGAAACAAAACGCAAGATACAATCAAGTTGGTAAGCAAACCCCATCCATGTCCTCCACGATCATCAGGTTTGCAATAGATCCTACCCAAAAGTCGGGCCATGATCAATGCATCATATCGTCGCAATGTCCTTCCCACTGTCCCCCCCTTCTTCCATGCTCAAAATCCTTCAGCCTCAACCTCGCAAGACCAGTGGCCCAGAGGCCCAAACTAACGCATCATCAACCCCGGCACCTCGGACGTAAGCATGCCCATGATGCACGCCGCTTGCTGCACGCTCTTGCACTGGAAGCACCACTTGGTCACCTTCCCCCCGACCGCCCCGCTCCTCGGAACGACCCCGACATTGCCCTCCTCGTCCCTGGCTTCCTCCCACACGCTACACATGACCCCCTTGGTGCCCAGCAGGCTAAAACACTTGGACCCGAGTACGGCGTCGAGCAGAATCAGCGGGCGGTCGCCCGTCTTCTTGGTCGCGTGCGTGACAATGACGCGCTTCTCGAGGCCGTGGTACAGGGGCAGCTCTTGACGTACGCCTGGCGGCGGGCGGCTGATGTGCAAGATGCAGTCGCCCTTGTCGAGCCATCGGTTGTTTTGGACGTTCAAATGGCAGCGGATCTCGAGCGGTTGGTCGGGCGAGAAGGGCTTGGCGAGGCCGTAGCTCCATCGGCTGTGGCTGCCTGAGTTGGAGAGGGAGATGGACGCGCTGCGCGGCGGGGTGGACGAGCCCGAGCCCGATCCCGAGCCGGAACTAGACGTGTAGAAACTTCCGCCGCCGGGCCCGGGTTGCTGTTTGTCGACGGTGGACTCATCGATGTTGTACGAGTTGTTGTGGCCGCCGCCCATCAAGCGCCGGAGGAAGCTGCCTGCTGAGATGGTGGTGGAAACGCTGCCCTGGGATACGCTGGGCGCGCGGGTGGAGGCCCGGTAGCTGTTCCTGCGTCCAAACCAGCTCCGTCGGCGGCTGGAGCTGTCGCCGTCTGCGCTGCCGTCACCCGGTGCGGCCTGCATCTGACCGAACGACCTCACACGTGCCTCTTCGCTGAGCTGGATGTATCTAGCATTGTTCAGACGGCTGATGTGAACGGCCTCGTAGAGGTCCTTGGCCTCGATTGGTGTTGCCGAGCGGAACCGGAACATGCTTGCCTCAATCTTCAACCGAGCTTCGGGGGACGCCGGGCTGCGGACCTCGAGATCCAACGCGTTACTGCGGCGGATCATAACCACGGGAGTCAGGATTAGTACCACGAGTGGCACGATGGTCCCAGCATCCTTGTTGCTGTTGTCCACTTCGGATGTGCCCGACGACTGCAGTGGGTATGCTTGGCGATTGTAGTGCTGCTCGCCGAGGTGGTGCACCTCCAGGCAGCCCGGGTGGATGATGATGGACGCGGGCTGGCCGCTATTGATTTCCCTCCAAATCCCTTTCCTGCTGGACCAATACGATACGGTTGCGGCGAACTTCTGCACTGGTCCGTTTGCCTTGGGCTCGTCCTGGCCTCCGAGTTCCACTTGTGAAGCCGAGTTGGATGGTGTAATACTGTTTTCCGAAACGATCGATTCGATTGGCGCAACCTCAGGTTCCTTGATGCTGTAACCCGGAATGGTTTCGGGTACTTCGTCTTCGTCCAGATCGTCGCTCGACATGTCGGAAGACTCAGAATCATCATCGCTCAGGGCGCTGGAGCTGTCAGACGATATGTCGGATGGATGATACTCGTGCTTCAGAGGAGACGACATTCGACGCTTAATCCGGGCATGTGGACCAACTTCCGCGGGAGGAGACAGCAGGTTAGGGCTTATGGGGCCAAGGGTGCGGTGAATGGGCGGAGGAGGGGCGCCGTCCTCGCGAAACGGGGTTGTGTTGGGCGGCGGTCTCACGATCTTGGGGAGATTGTTGCCAGAAGGATGTTCCCATGAAGGCGACCACTCATCGTCTTCAGACCGGTCTTGGGCATGGTCATGTCTGCTAGGAGTCCTGTCCGAAGACACATCGGCGTAAGGTTCCGGCGACGAGATGCCATTATACTGCCGTGTGTGATACCGGGACGGCGTCCTCGGTCTCCTGGTATCCGAAGATACCAAGCTAGAACTGCTTGGTTTGCGCTCGCCAACTGGAACATCCGTCCCACCCGATCGCGGCGACCCCGTCTCCAGCGTCATATTCGCCGGCTTTCTTGGGATAGTGGGCGGCATCGGATGGCTCCCCAGGACGCGCAGCCAGTAATCGATCTGCTCATCGTTGTTCGTGAATAGCGTGAGAAGCTCGAACCACTCTTCCCCATTGTGACTACCGCGTATCATAACGATCAAAGAATCATCATCCTCGCCGAGCCTGGAAGAAATGTACTGCCTTGGCACCGGAGGGAAGAGCAGATATGACCGGGCACCGTTTCCGATCTCGCGAATGAGGATATCGCCCTTGTCTTCAGGGACCGGCGGGTTGTCCCTGAAGATCATTTCAACCTGGCACTCCAGTCGCTGCCCACTTGAATGGCGCAAATCAAGGGAGAAGACGTCCAACGCAGCGACTTGGCGTATGCTGTTAATCATGACACCATCAAGGGGCGAGAGATTGCGAAGATCCCGACATCGGGAGGTGTCCGTGTTGTTGGCGTCCTCATCCATCATGCGGGCGGATTCTTCTCGGTGCCGCTTGCGGGCCTTCTCCTGAAGACCCGTGAAGACTGACAGAAGCCGCTCCGCTTCTTGACCTTCTGTGACTGCCACTGCCGCCTGAAGATTAAATGTCAGCAAGAGAAGCCAAATTAGAAGTAAAGTTCGCGGCGTGAACTCACTTTGAGAAACTTGACCATCCACTTCACCCTGATCAGAGGTCGCTTGAGAAGGAATGCGACATCCACCCTTTCGCCGTCCTCCCCAACTATATCGCCCTCCTCATTCAGAGGAAGTGCGTTCAAAAGGGAGTCACCATCATCGAACCGGCCATGTCTTGGCGCAAGGTTGATGATCAGCCCCTGGAAGCCAAGCCGCCAGACATCCAGGTAATGATCATAAACCGGCGAGACATCGTTGAGCCAGAAGAGGAGGTCGGAGAGATCTGAGAGGGGAACCCGCTTATGATAGTCCCTCAGCTTCTCGAGTGCCATTCCCATGTTGACCACTGACTTGGCCGTGGTGTCAGGCTTGGCATCCCTGGCATCACCGTTCACGACATCCCTCAGAAGGACTGGAATGACGCCATCGACGAGAGCCTTCAACTCCCTTCCGTAAATATGCTCATCGTCAGCGAACTCATCGAGCAAATCATCCACTCTGCTCTTGTTCGCCCTGCTAGGCCTGCGGTGGAGGCTGCGTGAGGACCTGATGCTTCTTGACCGGCTCGGCGGGACCAACTGGCCATTATCAGGCAGGGAAAGCACGGATACAAGGTCCGAGTGTTTGGTGAGACGACGTTTAAGGCTTGTTTTCTGGCTTCTCTGTCCTGAGACTTCACTAGTCTTAGTGAACGCGGTGGTCTGGGTGACAGTTGTTTGAGAGACATCGGAGTGTGCATCGTGTGCATCGGAGCCGACCGTGCTGCTGGATTCCTCCGATACGATCGTGGAGAGCTCATGAACGCCGTTTGTGGGTGGTCTCCTGCGCGGATGCCCTTGGCTTGAGAGGTCGGAGGACAAGCTCGAGTCGTAAGTGGATGCGTAGTATGTAGAGGAGTAGTCTGATAAAGCAGGCCCTCTGCTCGGCTCTGAGGAGGGGCGACGCCCTTCCCTCGACTCATAGTCATCCTCTTCATAACCTCTGTCTGCATCGTTGTCGGCCTCACAGCTGGGGTAAACGGTAGGCGGGAGTTTATGGCCAACAGACTCGCCCCGGAACGCTTCTCTCAACAGCTCCCGGAAGGGCTTTCTGCCGCCCGACTTCGCCGGAGACGCAGCGACCCTAGTTGCCCGCCTCCTTCTCAGCCCAGTCGACGGATGAGCAGGAGATTTTGTGTTTTTGGGCGTCGCATCACTATCTTCTGGTTGGGAATCCGTGTTCTCTTGATCTTGAGGAGCAGCCTGTTTCGACGGAGGGGAGGCGACAGACTCCCTCGGCCGCGTTTCAGATGCTGGCTGTGGTGACGGCTGCTTCTGGCTGACCGTGGCCGGCGCTTGTAGTTCAGGGGTTGGTGCCCTTTCCTGAACTGGTGCTCTCTGCACGGGGCTCTCCGCGGTTGCTTCCTTGGGGGCGGAGTCCACGAATGGATCAACTGTATCGTTCAGCCATGCCTCTATGTTTCGGGGTTGATTAGCCACAACAAGCCGCGGGGGTTCAGCCATCTCTTGAATGATGTCCTTCGCGCCGATCACAACTTTCTTGAACACCTTGGGCACCGCTTTGAAGCTGGGGTTTCGCTGCGTCTTCGGTCTCTTTGTGCCGCTGTTCCGTGCGTCCGCACCGAGAGGCAGGTCAAGCTCACTAAAAGCCGAATACCCAAACGGAATATCCGCCAACGACTTGTCCCCTAGGACAGTGGGGGGGATCATCTCAGATTCGTCATCGGAACAAGGCTGTGAAGGAATGTGGCCCGCTGTCTCGGATTTTGGGTGCTGATCGCCAGCAGGGACCACCGTCCGCACAACAGGACTGGGGCTACGGCTTTGTCGCCTCGCACGCCGTCGAGAGGCCTTGCGTTTCGTGGGAGTCTCGATCTCGGTTTCGGGATCCTCGATGACCTCGATCACGTCATCCCCAGGCTGAGCTCGTGCTGGGCTTGGTGCTCTGAAGCTCCGCTCAGCCGATGTAAGCCTGGACGATGTAGGCCGGGCTGCTACCTCTTCGGGCGTGCGGTGGCATGGACGGACTCTAATGCCGTCGTCCTTTGGTGCCGGGCTGTCAATCGGCCGAACCCTAATTCCATCATCTAGAATGCTGGTGTCTATGGGCCGCACCCGGATTCCGTCGTCTGGCTGCTCTTTCTTCCTCACAGGAGTCACCCGAATGGCGTCGTCGACTGGATGTTTTGGCGACGCTTTGATCTCAGGGGCTGATGCTACTAACTCAGGAGCGTCTTCCTCGACGGCGACCGTGGCGCCGGCCTTCCTGTGCCGATATTCTTTTACCGGGAGCGCCTTGTTAGATTCGGGCATTTCCACCCTCTGCGCCCAATCTTTGATTTTGCTTTGCACGGTCGGATTCCGTGCTGTTTTCTGTAAGAAGTCCTTGGGTAGCGGCATCGGGGCTGGCTCGACTTTCGGTTTCGGTGAGCTGTCTCGAGGTGGACTTCTTCCTTTCCTGCGCTTCATCCAATTGTCGTCACTCACGATTCTCTTCTTTGGAGCCAGCTTGACTACTACTGGCGGTCCCCGGGATGCGGCGTTTGGTTTGGGCGCCACCGGTTTCTCCGGCTCCGTCTCTTCACCTCCTCCGCCGTCCTGGTTCTCCTTATCCTCAATCCTCTCGACCTTGGTTTTCTTCTTCTTCGGTTTCTGCCGCATCTTGATGCGCACCCGATCCTCCTCCGTGACGCTCTCGGGCGCTATGTGGACGGCGACTTCGGTCGGCTCGGTCGCCACATCCTCAGCATGCGGTATCCCACCTCCCAGCTGCTTCATAGCTGTCGCATTCGCCTTCTGCCACGCCTTTACTCGGTCCGTCACGCCTCCCGGATGTTGAAGCCTCCGCACCGCCGCGGCGCGCATCTCCTGGCGCAGTTCCTCCCGAACGTTCGCCGCATCGGCCGCCATGCTTTTCCGGCGCTGCTTGATCGCCTCCCGCTGGGCCGCCACGCGCGCCGGTGAAGGGCGGCCGAGGAAGAAGTCGCCTAGCAGGCTCGGCTCGGCCTTCTTCTTGTGCGATGAGGCATTCCCGGCGGTAGCGGGGGCGCTTTTGGGCGTCGCAGGGTCATGGGCAGGGGCCCGCTTATTTGTTGGCGTCGTCGCATTGCCATGTTTGGCAGTCGAGGTCCGCCGTGGTGTTTGTGGTTCGGCGGGGTGTAGTTCATCTTCCTTCGCCGGCGACATGGTCCTGAAGGGTGACAAGAGAAGGGACCCAGTTAGCAAGCTGCACTCCTCGAAATGGACAATGTGGTCCCATGCGACATGATGTGAAAGTTATGAGTTTTTTTGGTTGATCGAAGACGCATCCACCGGTCAGGACCACAAGCAGAGAGTGTGGGGTGCCAATTGGATGCTGCATGCCATCTGAATTGGGGCTGACATTTCGGGGAAAGTCAACAAACAACCTCGAATATCCAGGGAAACCGGGCCAACCCACCCTACCTTAAGCCCACCGAGGTGAGCGCATAATCTGTACAGTGACTTGCACCCGCTCTCCGCGACCAGGGATTAAACTACCTTGCTAGCGCTGGGGTTTTTGAAGGATTGAATTCGACCATGAGCGATATAACCCCTACTGTCCGTCTTGAATTGGGCAGATGCAGTGCGGAGAAAGTTGTGCAGGAGACGAGGTAGGTGATAGCTTACGGCACTCTGTCCAAACCCTTGAAAATAATGGGGCTGCGGATCGCTGCAGAAAAGCTGTGCAACTCGAGAAAACCCCGAAGACTGTTGAACAAAAGAAGTACGAGGGAACAATCAAGCGGATGCTCCACTGGCGGCCACCACACCTCTGCAGCTTCCTTCTCCCTGCCTTTCTTGGCCCCAAGCCTCCAAGATGACCACCGACCCAATAGTCATCCGGAGCGCAGTCCAGGCATCCTGCACCCAGCTGCAGTGTGCGGGCAACAAAGGCTTGTCAGCTGCTCTCAGTTCAACGGCACCCAGATCCATGCTCACAAGTGCGCATCCGCACCGCCTTCTTCTTTTTGCGCATCTTGACCACCCGCATCGGTGGGTTGCAGCTGCTTCCGTCCACCAGATCGTGCACACCTGACGACGTCTTGAAGTTTGTTGTTTGAGGGCGGCTGCTTTCAAGGAAATCACGAAGAGGCCGTAGGATTCTTAGTATCCGTCCTTGCAGGAAACCCAACCGGTCGCCCACAGGCGGATCCACCTCCACGACCAGCGTGGGATCTGACATCATCACGCCCGGCTCAAGTGGGGAGTTCTCGGGAAGCACCGGTGGCAGGGCCTGGCCCTGCCGCAACAGGGCGTACAAGCAACTTCCATATCTCGAGTTGGAACATGACTTAAACACTAATTATATCCAGTCTAAGTGTACACGTGCAATAAAGGGGACAAGCAGGAGAGAGATCTGCTGTTCCCCTCACAGTTCTATGTACCATCCAACCCTGGTTTATTCCTTGGTGTTCTTGTTGACGCTGTCGTGGTAAACAAAAAAGTAGATGGACACGGGCGGAATAAACTGATTGAGGACGAACAAGAAGAGGAAGATATTGCCATGAGGAGAACACACTAGAAAGCAGATGCACGCGTAAGGTTGGACTGTATTTGTACATGTGCTCTTGAGAGCCCAACGGGTGCATGTAAAGTCATTCGATCACAAAACCGGAAGCGAACCATGGGCCTGCTCGTTCTCAGGAAAATATGGGAGGCTGGTTCGATCAAGACTCAGCCGCCGGCCGGAGCTTGCTTCAATGAGATACCGTCTTGCAGTGGGAATCGAAGAGCTTCCGCATGTTATATGCATACGCGAGGTATGAATCCAGGGAAGGATCACGCAAAGCCACAGGATCTGGATGGAGGGAACGGTGCTCACCATGAGATGCAGGATCTGAATATCGACCTGAGCCGGTCGGTTATCTCTTTGGAGCATCGAAGTGTTACTCGAGCAACGAGTTGCAGGGGAGTCATAGAGGACTCATGCAGCCTTGAATATACGACTTCTTGTTGCAAATGACCTCCTACCATGGCATCAAACCACCGCCATAACCACTGTGCCTTCAGTTTGCCATAGAAAGACACAGTTCCCACGGGAAATGCAAGATGCCACCCAAGCAACGCCGTAATAATGCAACCTCGAGGACCCAAACGCAACCTACCCATCTGCCAACATTAATAGGTGTCCCTGCTATCCTCCGCAGAAGGCAGCACAAACCGAACCTTTTTCTTCTTTGGCTTTGCAGCCGGGATATCTACCGCTCTTGTCTCCCCACTCGCATCCCCGGCTCCCTCATCAATAAGCCGATTATCTCCCATCTCGTTCTCCATTTCCTCTTCAGGCTGCTCTTCAATCGACCATACATCAGGACTGGGTTCGCGCCAGGCATGCGGGGATAGACGTGAGGGCGTGCCAATGGGCCTCCTTGCGCGAGAGCTGCCTCCGTTGGACGCGGTGGGCTTGGGACCGAGCCTGGCTACGGCGCGGCCTCTGCTTGACGCATGCGAGGAGTACGGCGAGGCCGGCGGAGCCAAGTTATCCGTGATGTCGGTGTCCATCCTCGGGTGGCCCCTGAACTTGTCCTTGAGGCGACGGGGTAGACTTGGAGCGCTTGAGGGCTTGGGCGGCCAAGACTGGTCCATGTAATCGTAATGTTCGTTTTCATCCGGAGTTGCGGACAAGTCGTACTCCAGGTCTGGGGTTGCCGGCGACCTCGGCGGTGTTGCCGGTCGAGGGGTTGGCCGACTAAGTCCCGCCAAGCTCGATGGACTGACGCTTCTGACGATCGGAGGCGGGTGCTTAGGATCCTCGATCCCGGCGTCGAAGTCCATATCGAAGTCCAGGGTATCATCTTCGACATAGGATGAAGGGCTGGGTGTGAGGAAATAGATGAGAGGGTCCTCGTCCATCTTGGATAGGTCGAGGTCCTCAATCTCGGCCTCGTCGTGCTCGACACGTGGTTGCAGGAGCACTTGGGCGGGCAGCCATGGGTCCCGCAGCTGGTGCTGTGCAGAGTGTGTGGAGACAGGCATCTTGTCGACGTCTTTGCCAGAAATAAACAAGAAGAAACACAGCGAGAAGAGGCGTACGGCTGGTTTTGCAGTCGCCCGGGGTCGGGCAAAACACTGATAATGTGCTCGCCGGAGAAGAACACACGGAGGAAGTGAGCGTCGCCGGCGTTGCCGGCTCAGATACGTCCTGCCAGGAGCGGGTGCGGAGAAATCATGAAGCCCCGTACCCCTTGATGCTGTGCAACTAGGGAAGACAAAAAAGGAGAAAAGCGAGCGTCGGTGGCCAGCTGAGACGGGCATGCCGAGCAGATATGAACTTCTCGGGAGCTCTGCCCGTCCCTGTTGCTGATGCTAGCCCCTCACCCCTCAACTTCTGAAAGACGCCTGCGCGGCCACGCTTTCGGTCATGTCACCGGTCAACCGAGGTGACAAGTCTCATTTCTTGCCGGGCAATACAAGCCGCCCTCCCTCCAACTGACAGATTTGGTGGTGTGTGTGGACCAGCCATGATCTACGCCCCCGCGCCCAGGTGTGAGAGGTTCCAAGGATAGAATTGAAAAGAGGATCATGGCTAACTAAAAAGAGGATAATGTGTCTCTGGAAAAGTTGAAGAGAATGGGACATTACCAGGAAGACCGGGAAAGGCGGACGCCGATTACGAGTCTAATGGAATTTTGAACTCGAATTCCCACACCCTCTGACTCGACCCGTGATGGTGCCTAACAGGCTGAACTAAGACCACCAGACCGAGAGGGGTGCTGCCCACTCTGACATCTGACTGTCCGTTGCCTGATTCGGAATGTCAGTGTGAATGCCCATGGCCGAAGCAGCCGGTATTGTTGTCCTAGATCTTGTCAAGATGGCCAAGTTGACGTGAAGGGAGCACAGGCAGGATCGAGATTGCTATCGGTTGGCGATTTTTTGAGACGGCCCAGTCATCTAAGTTTTTTCTGAAAGAATGGGGTCTCACGACGTACCTGCATGCCTCGCAAGAGTGCGTCCGCCAAGACCATCATGCATGGCAGATGATCGGGCAGTCGTCGCCGTCACCTGCAAACTGATTTACATCGCATTCTTGGAATCGAACATGTGAGAGTGGACACTGAGGCGATGCGTGACGGCTGACGAGTAGGGGGGCTTCCTGTCTTCGGATGCGAGATGCAGCTCATCTCGCAAGCTGTTCTGCAAGGCAACCATTCAATCGCCTGGGGAGGGTCCATTCAGGCTTCAGCAGCGTCACCGGCACACTGGCGCATCCTGAGCAACATGACCCGCGATCGAATTCTGTATAGGACGCATCGAACTGGAAATCAGGGGTACGACAAGCGGAAAGCCAAATTCGGAAAGCCATCTTGACCGTGGTTGTCAGACCTTCGGGATGGTCAGACGATGGTTCTCGTGAGCCGAAGCCGACACCGAGTCACCGAGATGACCAAGCTGCCTCCTTAAAGCTCGGGCCCATTGAAAGCAAGTGGGGCGATCTTATGTATCAACCGGAGTCATTGATTGGTTGAACTGGATAAGTGGGGCTTTCTCATGCTCTAAGTTTGTGTGAATGTCCTGGTATGACCTGAGATGCACCAAAATTTTCTGTGCTCAAGTTTCAACAGTCACAACTCCGCACGACATGCTGCGCCGAAGTTGCATCTCAGCAAGCGCAGTCCAATGACCTGCGGCCACTGCTAGCAGCTGCTCAACGGCGCGCCAAATCATTTTTGGGTTTCTTCCCACACCGCCCGACATGACGGTCGACAGTGCTCCGGCCGGCGCCGCTTTCCAGGCTGACGCCCAAGAGAAGCTGGCTGCGGAGATGTCCTCGCTTGAAATAGCGCCGGACACGCAGCAGCCCACGCTCCCTCCCCACCGGTCGCACGATCCCCAGTACAATCAGAAGAGGAGCGACCCGTTCCAGTTTGGGTCTCGCTACCTCGGGGAGGAAGACGACGTTTTCGAGTTCAATGCATGGGACCATGTCGAGACTGACGACGCGTACAAGGAGTACGCTGAGCAGCAGTACGCCATGCAGCGCCAGGCGCCCGTGTCTGACTTTGACAAGAGTACGTATGCCGCCTTCCCTCTGTTTACTCCCTTTTCTCCGCTGGCTGAAAGCCTGGCGCTTGTGATGATTTACAATTATAAGCATAGTTCATCTGAACATTTTATGAAGACACCTTTGTATTTTATAGTCTTTCGCTCCCATCTGATGCGCCTCATTCTGTATATTGTTTATGGTTTGGCTGATACAGCCGTGGGCATTCGGCTAACTCGACAATAGTGCGCTTCAATTCAGATCCCGCGAAGTGGTGGAACCTCTTCTACAAGAACAACACGGCCAACTTCTTCAAGGACCGGAAATGGCTCCAGCAGGAATTTCCCATCCTGCATAGGATGACGCGGGAGGACGCCGGACCTGTGACGCTTCTAGAGATAGGCGCCGGTGCTGGGAACACAGCGTTTCCTGTCCTGGCCCAGAACAAGAACCCCAAGCTGAAGCTCCACGCCTGTGACTTCTCCAAGAAGGCCGTCGAGGTCATGCGCGCTCACGAATCGTACAATCCGGAAGTTATCCAAGCCGACGTTTGGGACGTTGCTGGAGACGACCTTCCGCCAGGGCTTGGAGAAGGATCCGTAGACGTGGCGATCATGATATTCATTTTCTCTGCACTGTCACCATCGCAGTGGAAGAGGGCGGTAGAGAACGTCTACCGGATGCTCAAGCCAGGCGGCGAGGTCTGCTTCCGCGACTATGGGAGAGGTGACCTCGCCCAGGTTCGGTTCAAGAAGGGCCGGTACCTGGAGGAGAACTTCTATATTCGGGGGGACGGCACACGCGTCTACTTCTTTGAGAAGGACGAGCTGGCCGATATTTGGAGCGGCAAGCTAAGCCAGCCTGCGGACGGCGATCCTACCGAGGGCGAGGCGGCAACCATCCCGCCAAGCTTTGACATTGAGGAGCTCGGTGTTGATCGTAGACTGCTTGTCAATCGTGCCAAGAAGCTGAAGATGTACCGGTGCTGGATTCAGGGCCGGTTTAGGAAGAAATAGACAGCAAACAAATGTGGCAGTCAGTTCTAGTAGGTGCAGTCAAGTATGGTATTGTGCAAGATCTGACTAGCTCACAAATGGGCAGTTTGCCCCACTAACCACCCAAGCTCCTTTTCCTGTTTGGGAGTTGCCTACTGACCGCCTGCTGCCAAAGGGCAGAATTCGATCAATGCGACAAAGCCAGCTGCCGTCTTGCACTTTGTGTGATTGCAAGACCGTAGCCAGCCATCGTGGACTTGCGGCTCTCGGGCGGACTCGTCTAGGCCCTCATTTACCACACACAAGGCAACTGACCAAGATAATTTTTTCATCCTCATGTTGCTTCGACTCCGGTATTGCTCTCCGACATAGAGCAGGGGCTCGCTTCGTGCTCCCGTCACGAGCCGCGACTCGGTCCGTTCCAAGCCATCGCCAGATCGCCATCAACATCACCTCGATCCGATCCGCCGATCGTCCCCTTGATAAACCCCTATCCCGACCCACCTCCGCGTCCTCGTCCGTGTCCGTGTTCGGTATCCTTACTGCGAAGTCGGAACTCTCTGGCGACGCCCGACCCTTCCCCCATCACGCCCGTCGATCCTCCTTGCCCGGGCCTCCATCGCCGATGCTCTGTCCTAATCACCATGGCGGCGCCAGCTAACAACCCCTTCGGGGTTCCTTCTGCGCAGGTTCCTCACAATCCCTTCGGAGCGCCTGCCTCTGGTCAGCCTGCCTCTGCTTTCCAGAATCCGTTTGGTGTGTCAGCTCCGAAGCCGAATGCTTTTGGCGCTCCCGTCACGAATCCGTTTTCCGCCACGGCAAACAACTCGTTCGGCGTGCCAGCACCTGGGAGCACGCCGCCATCGGCTGGAAATCCCTTTGGTTCCCCGTTCGGGCAGACGTCGGTCTCTGGCAGCCAACCTGGTTCGCCAGCGCCGAGCCATCCGCAATCGCCGTCTATCACGAGTAATCCGTTTGCGAAACCGTCAGCAGGGGCCCAAGTCAACAATCCCTTCAGTGCTCCACCAATCGATCTCGGGAGCGGCCGAAGCCCGTCACCGTTTGGTTCTCGAGCGCCACTGACAGGGCCGTCAAGCCATTCAGCTGCCCCCGCACCTGCCGACGCGAATGGGATGGCTCGCCGGAACAAGTTCGCAGGTGGCAAAACGGCCTCCCCGGATACCGATGGCGGCTTTGGTGGACGAGGAGGCCACCAACATGGACCACAACGCGCCAGCCCATTCGCAGGCACGAAGCCCTTCGCGAAGCAGCCGAACGGCTCGGCGACGGAGACGAGCACGAAATTTCAGCGAGGCGGTCGAGGCAAGCAACCGGAGCGTCAGGCCCGCTATCAGCCGCCTCCAGGCAGGCAGGGTCAACCGAAACTTGCGAGCGGAGAGCCGACCGAACGGACCAAGCAGCTCTCGCCCTTTGCCTTCAACTATGCAAACAAGCTGTACAGCCACCTGAAGAAAGAGAACGTCAGCCCGCCCCAATGGCCTGCCGAGCCGGGGAACCCCGACAAGCGCGGCGCTATCGAGAGCTTAAAGGAGGCCTTCAAAAAGTATCGAACACGCGTCTACTCAAGCTTGAGGAAAGCCGACCTCATCGACGACCCCGAGAAGAGACGGAAACTCGAAGACGCCCTCCCCTTCAAGGGTATCTGCGAGGACATGTGCCCGGAGTTTGAGAAGGTGTACCGTATCGCCGAGTACGACGTCAAAACGGAGGAGAAGGAACCATCACCCGATGGCTTGAGCATGTGGCCGGATCCCGCTCGGATGGTCAAGAAGTTTGGCCGGTCCGCGGCAGGCCAGGACGCGCCCTTGCCAATGGACGTCCGCTCCGTGGATGCGCTGCGGCGGACGACAGACTACCTCTTCAACGACCTTCTCCAGTCCGAGAACAATCTGCCTTCAATGCACAATTTCCTGTGGGATCGGACAAGAGCGGTGCGCAAAGATTTCACATTCCACTCGCAGAAGTCTCCCGAAGAAATGAAAGACATGGTCTATTGCTTTGAGACCATCACACGATTTCACGCCACCGCCCTGCACTTGTTGTCGCGGAAGGGGTTTGCGCTCGAAAGTTTCGACCAAAAGCAGGAGATTGAGCAATTGGGCCGGACCATCTTGTCGCTCATCGAGGCCTATGATGAGTGCCGCGACAAGCGTGTCCAGTGTGAGAACGAGCCAGAGTTCAGGGCCTACTATCTCCTGCTCAATGCGCACGACCCCTCCATAGCAAAGAGGATTCCCGCGTGGGGGAAGGAGTACTGGTTCGAGTCTGAGGAAGTTCAGACGGCTCTGTCGTTGATCCAGGCGATGGACGATGTGCGGGAACTCAAGGGGCCCATCAAACCACGCCGGCCGACCACACTGTCCGATGCTTCTTTTACGAACTACTTTTCCATTGTTGAAGACCCGCGAGTCTCGTACACGATGGCCTGCATCGCCGAGATTCATTTCACGACCGTGCGACAAGGGATTCTCAGGAGCCTTGTCCGGTGCTATGCTAGGCACCGCGATGCGCCTCGCACGATCACGGCTTCAGACCTCAACGCCATGTTGAGGTTCGATACGCCCGAGGAAGCCGTCGAGTTCGCCGAGCTCCACGATTTCGAGTTTTCTACATGGGTCCCAGAGGGGAAAATTGCTGTGACTGAGCCATATCTACTTCTGAACAACAAGAAAAGGATTATACCGTCGCCCCGAGTCCGCCAGTCGTTTTCGGGGAAGGTTGTCGAGCGGAAGCGCACGACGCAATCTCTGCCTCATGTTATATACAACACCATCTTTGAGGAACCGGCGGAGAAGCCTCCGAGCACCGAGGTTCCCAGCGCCGAGGACAGTCCGGATGGCCTGTTCGTTAGCCAGGCTGACGCTTCGAAGGACTTTTCTTCGGGCGGCCCAATGTTTGTACCGCCGGGCAAGCCGTTGGTACCGTCATCATCGACACCGTCTCCCTTTATTGCAGCGACTACGAGCACTGCTTTCATGACTGGGCTACCTTCTGTTGGAGCATCAGGGGCAACGCCGCCACCGGCGTCCCAGGCTTTCCAGGGCCCGCAGCAAACCTCGACTGTGTCCAGTCCGTTTTCAGCGGTCAGCCAGCCTACACCACAGGCTCCAGCGGGGAAGAGTCCGTTCTCATTTCTGAATCCGCCACCGTCAACCACCGCGACTACCAAGCCTGCCTCATCCTTGGGGCAATCATCCCAGGTTGGGCAAACCCAAGCATCCCCTCTCAAACCCGCAGAGGCTTCGAAGCCGGTTGCTTCGCCCAAGGGCTCTAACTCCACCGCCGCTCTATCGCTTGCTCAAGCAACACAACATCCTCTGCCCGCCACCTTACCAACCGCACCCTCGCAGCCGGGCAGCGCTGAACTTAACGCAGCCACATCTTCTGCACAAGCACAGGATGCCACCGTACAAACGAAGGCGGACCAGTCAGCCTCCTCGACTTCCATGTCAGGATCAGTTCCGCTGGCCGGAGCGAACCCGTTCTCCACAGCACCGCCTGCACGGCCGCCAGCATCGCAAGCCACCACTGCTGCGTCAGCAGTCCCGTCGATCTTCGTCTCTCCGCCTGCGACAACCGCACCCCGGTCACAAGGCGCACCATCTGCTTTCACCAACGCCCTGTCCAGCCTCCTTGGGACACCTCCTTCCGGTCCATCCTCTACCGTAGGAGGCCTTGCCGCGATACAGACCACCTCCCTTCCGGCCCCGTCGCCTAAGCGTGACTTGATGGGCGATGTGACAAAGTGGTACGTCAAAGGTGATTACGGTCTCATGGAGGATTTCACCGAGAGCATTCTGGCCGAGATTCTATGGGGTGTCTGGCAGAATTTTGAGCGAGAGGAAGCCGAAAGGAAACGGAGAGAGGAGGACGAAGAGTCGTGGCGACTTGCGCGTGCACACCAACAGCACCGCTTGCAAGTCAAGTACTTTTACCGTTGGCGCTACATGGCCCGGTCACTCGCCACAAAGCGCATCCTCCGCGAAGGCAAAGAGAAAATGCGCCTGTACCGCGAACAACAAATGGCTTTTCAAAAGCAGCAGCAGGAAGAAAAAGAAAGGGCCGAGCGTGAAGCCCGCAGAGTTGCGAAACGACAGCTCATGGAAGACGCCCATTACCTCAGTCTGCTCGCCTCTACTACCCACCGCCGCGGCAGCGTCGCTCACAGTGCCGACCACAGCGACCCCGAAGAACAGCTCCTTGCAAGCGGCATCTTCTCAGGCCTGCGCAACGACCCCCGCGCTGTCGCCCGCCGCGTGGTGCGCGAAGCTGCCATGGCAGCAAACGGCGGTGCAGATTTTTGGGCCATGGCCAGCGGCGGCTCCCGCTCCTTCCGCTACCCTAAATCCGAACTCGAACTCGAACTCGAGCTCGAGCAACCTGTTGCATCGCCCGGCGACTCGCCCGATACCAGCAGCGCCGGCGGCAGCAGGCGCGAAGGGTGGAAGACACGCTCGCTACGCGAGAAGTTTGGCATTGAGCCCTGTCGGAGCCTATCGGCTAGTGGGTTGGTGGTCAATGGCGGGACGCATTTGTCGTCGCTTTCGTCCAAGTTTCGGCAGTCGCTGCCGGGGAGCGGGAGGGCGACCAATTTCTCGCAGAAGAAGAGGTTGCCGGAGGAGGACTCGGATGACGAGCCCGGGGCGAAGAAGAGGCAGTCGCTTCATTCTGGTAGCGTCAATTCCGCAACGGTGAATGGGGCTAGTAGGTCTAAGTCCCGTCACTGGGATTTACGTGCGAGGGGCTTTGTGCCCATGCCGGATGGGAATTGGTTGCCGGAGGCGCTTGCCCGCCGGTCGACTGCCGCCGCCACGACCACTGCCGGGAACGACAGTCCACACGACGACCGGTATTCTAAGAATATTGGCAATGAAAGGACAGTGTCCTACGACCTCGACTTTGGCTTCGAATCGGCGTCCCCAGACAACGACCACTACCACCACCCACAGCCACAGCACGATGTCCTCCCAGACGACGACACCAGCGAAACTTCCCGCCGCCGGACGTCATCCCCGACACCGACGCCCTTGGACCTGCGCCTGCGCCTGGCGAGGCTTAAGAGACCCGTCTCGCGCTCTGGGCAGGGATATGGCCATGGGACAAGACGGAGTGTAGACTTGGGCATGGGGTTGTCGGGCGATACCTCGCCGCATCACCCGCTCTTTTCCGGGCAAGCGTCGTCGTCGTTGGCGGCGATGGGGATGCTTCCTCCTCCCACGGCAAAGAGCCGCACCGGGAGTGTGGGGGTGGCGAAGAGGAAGCGTGGCGGGGATGAGCATGGGGATGAGTTGACGGGTGGTGAGCCCGAGGGGTTTGGAGACAGGGACATGTCGCCCTTGTTGGCGAGAAAGCGGGCGAATCTGGACGCTGGTGGTGGTGGGGTCCCCGAGGGTGTTCCTGTACTTGGCAGGAAGGAGACGAGTGCCATGGTGGCGAATACGAGGAGGATGTTGCGCGAGCTGAGGGAGGCGATGGACCGAGCGGATCGGGATGTTGTGGATGGACAAGGGAAAATTTTGGAAGGATAGGGTAAGAGGTGTATGGTTGTGGTTTATAGGGGGCATGAAACGCTTCACTAGGACGGACTGATGGGGAAAAGAAGAAGGTGTCTGGTACATAAGCAGCGTGCAATGAAAAAACAAGCGAGCAAGCAGAGCAGAGCAGAGCATTTCCCGGCGTTTCTGGGTGAGGTGGACGGTCAGACTGGGTTAACATGAATGTCAGGTCATTGTTTCTTCCCTGCACATGAACTCCTCGAAGACGGGCGAATGGGCTGGGTGGGTGTATTTACTTGGACCTGACTCTCCTGAGGTGCATTGCGCGTGTGCTGGGTTTTTGGGATGGGCAAGCCGGCGGATTGGATGAAATAGAAATAAACTACTACTACGCCTGTTATCTGTATATCCGGGCTGTGTCCCGGCGGTTTGCCCTATGCGGCTGGCTGGTGGATATGAGGCCAATGGGAGGAATGTGGTGTCGTGGTTGGATGATGCTCAATGTTAACATTGGGTTCCCATTACAGGTGTGCTTAGGGAGGCGGCTCAGGCGGTGTCTGCTTGGCCAACGCTGATGTGAACGCCAGCTCATGTTACACTGCTACCGCGGAGAAGGGTGTAGAGCGTGGATGGTTGTGGCTCCCGTTATGACATGTGAGGATGCCCGAGGTCCATTTGACAACCCAGGGTCAGATGACGATGGAACAAGGAGCGTCCGGGACATCGGGACCAGACGTTGCTATAGCGCACCGCAGCGTGGTACCTCTTCGTGTCTACTCCTCCTGTCTGGCTCCAAGAATTTCAACACCATGCTTCGGGGCCGAAAGAGTGCTTTCGCACCCCTTGTTTGTCAATAAAGGGTAACCAAGACACAGTCGTCAAGCCACGTACTAGGTATAGATTTGACCCCCAATGGGCCAGCCAGACTTCAATGGATGGCTCTCAACTGCAGTAGGACGGCTCACAGGTCAGGGTGGAAAAGGTTCTATTCCGATAGCTGGAGAATCCAGGCATCTGATTTGAATCACCCATCAGACCTTCTCATGTTGATGGACTTGTTTCCTGCCCAAACCCGCCGGTTCATCTTCCTTCCCTCAAGATCAGGGCCAGTTCCGCGTTCCCATCGTTCAGGTTACCACCTGCAAGATAAGTTCAGCAGTTACCAAAGACTCGAAGTTTTTTTATCCCGTTTACCTTGCCTAAAGAGAAGTAAACAAAGCACAATTCCATACTATCACAATGCTCGCCTCCCTATCCTTCAGTATCCTCGGCGCTGCCGCGGTCGCCCTCGCCGTCCTCGCCACCCCAGCCTCGGCCGCTACCTACGCCGGCGTCGTCGATATGCGGCAGGCCTGCGTGTGGCGATACGGCGATGGGTGTTACAACGTCAACGTAAGGCAGCACGATCTGCCTACGACCGGTATTGCATTCACCCTGTCCTGCCTAACTACTACCCCATCAACGTCGATGCCTACTGTGCCCGACGGTACGGTAATAACGCCTACGCGGATCCGCAGGGCGTCGGCATGTATGACTGGGGATGCTTCTAGCCGTGAAGCGGATGATGCGTTGCTCGATTAAGCATGGCTGGGAGTCTGATTTGATGAAGGGATCCTCTGGCGGTTAGCTCCAATGGGTGAATGTACAGGCACCTGTCCGGCGTGATCAAGAGGGGGGGGAGACAGACACTCGGTTGTTGATCCGCAACAAAAACGCGGAAACTTCTTATATCACCAGCTATATCGCAGAGGGCGTCAGGTCAATGATGGGCAGCTGTCTCTTGCTGGTATTAGTGTGGTACAGCTATGTCCCGCCGGTCCAATCCGCATCCCGGAAACTATATCATCAGCAACTCCATGACGCCTGTTCACCTCCCTACCGTCCCTTGGTATCCATGCTCCATTCTCGTATAATACATGACGACACACCAAGGAAAAATGACAGTGACGGTGAGTATAACTATATCACACACACCCGCTCCATGTCAGCATGGGGATTGTTTCTCATCAACAAGGGCTTAAAAGCCCATCACCGCTTCGGGGGGGCGGCAAAAGCAGTCTGTATTTCCCACGACTCGACGGGGCTCCCCGTGCCCACGGTCTTGGGACTCTTCCTGCCCGTCAGCAACCCACTGCTCCGCGACGTCTTGAGCGGAGGCGGAGGTGGAGGGACGGATTTGTCGAAGGTGATGATATTCCTTTGGGGCTTCTGCTGCTGCTGCTCTTCACGGCGGTGATGTTGCGGCGCCAACGACGGCTCTGGCAGCGGCCAGCCGTGGCTCTTAAGAAGGGGCGTCATCCCCGTCCCTGTCCCTGCGCCGCCAGGCGTGGTCGGCGTCGGGCTGTCGAACGTGTTATGTGGGCTGCCCTGGACGTGCACGCCGTGCTCGGCGGGGACGTATGGTTTGATGGATGGAAGGAGGGCGGATGTGCTGCGGACGGACTCGGCTGAGAGCGGGGACCGGAAGTCCGAAGGGGAGTGGTACACTTTCTCCGAAGAAGGCGAGCTGTAGGCCTGTGGTGGTGGCAGGACAGTGGTAGTAATCTGGTGAAGCGGGACGGCGGCCATGGCGGCCTTCTTGGAGATGTGAGCGGTGTTGTCGTCGAGTTCAGATTCGTGAGGCTTCCAGATGGAGGAACGGTGCGCCTGGGTGTCGGGACTGTCCATCGCAGGTGTGGCCACGCCGTCACCGGCTGCCCCCGGCCAGAAGCGGGGTGATATCATATGGGTCTGACATTGGAAGGACATGGAGGAATGGTGCCTCCGGACTTTGTTGTAGAAGTCGGCTTCGGCGCTGGCTCGGACGCGCTTGTTTCGTCGCTTACGCAGGCAGACAAAGGTGACAGCGGCGATGATCAGGATGAGGACCACCCCGCCAGCGGCGATACCGGCAATTGCGGGCGTACCCAGTGTTGGTTCTGACTTTTTGTCCTCGACGAGCGTCGTCGGGTCAACAATACTGATCCGCGCACTGGAAAAGATGGTATCATTCAGACCAAGGCGCAAGCCAGGCGCAGGTTGTTGGCGGCAACCGGCTTCAAGAGCCACAAAGTCTAGTCACTCAGGATTAGTACCGCATGGTCTTGGCAGAGTGCGAGATACTTACAGTTGGCCAGGTATTTTGCGGTACTCCCAGCAGAAATGCACGGTATGCAGTGCTCAAAAGGGGCCAAGTCCAAGGCTTTGCCGCCGACTGAGCAGTACGAATAGGCGGTGCTATCGCTGGGCTTCAGAATGCCATGCTCTAAGCTGGCCCGAAGGGGACCGCAGGCCGTCTCTGTGATGCATGGGGTAGACGAAATATCGGTGGCATTGGGAAAGCCAAAGAGACAGTAGGCAGCCGTGTATCTGAGGTTATCTGGTGCAGAGGTTAGCATCCGGGTTGGCGGGCGAAATCGAGAGACGTACAGAGAAACCACTTCATGTCACTTTCGCTCCCCTGAGAGAAGGTGCTGGTCTGCAGACATGTCATGCAGCTCTTGAACTTTGTCCCTGCGGCGCTCGAGTAGGCGGCATCCTGGCAAGTGATGTCGGAATTCCTTGTGCTGGAGGAGTTGGGGTCCGAGGCGTCGAGGTCGAGTGAATCCCGGCATACGGATGAGCAGGGTGAATTGGGTGCTACTTGGAGCCCCGAGGCAAGTTGTGAGGCCGAGAAAACGGCGAGGAGTGTGTGGAGGGCCAGTCCCGCCATGTTGTTGAACAGTACAGTGTGGGAGAGACAGTGGGATTAAGGATTGTAGTAAGCCCAGGTCCAGCCAGGGTAGTTATCAGGGAAGAACTTAAAAAATTGAGAGGAGAATCTTCGGCGAAAGGAGAAAGGAACAAGCAAGAACAACAAGAAGAGGATGGAAACCTAACAAAAAACCATGGCACGAGAGACGTGGAACCGATCACTACGAGGGGAAGCAGACCTCTATTTGATGTAGGGCTACATAAAGAGCGAAAAAGGAAGCAGTGGGAGCATGGCTCATTAAGGCACAATCGCTGCTGCCGCCCATGGAACGGTCCATGGACACAAGATGGTTGGGTGGATGTGACGAGATGCATGCAAGCTCGAAGCCTGGGCAGAACGGATAGAGTGGAGGCGGCGTCAAGCGGCGAGGAACTGCTCAGGTACGGCGCTGACGAGCCGCTGCGTCCTAGGCCGGATCGGGGTGTGACAGCTTAATGGCGTTTCCCGTCTCGCTGTGCTGCCGCTGATTCCTATGCGCTTCCAGGCTTCCAGCATCTCCCCGTCCAGGCGTCCAGCGCCGAAGATCGGTAAAGTTAGAGGTCTGTTCCCGGGACGGCGTCGAGACTCGGCAGCAAACAATTCTCCAACCAATCATATTGCCGACGTAATGCGATGTCTCAGAGCAATTCGTGGACCATCCAATCTGATGGTGAGGGAGATGTTCCCTCAAGTGCTGTCAGTCCGTTCACTTCGATTTCCGCCCCGTTTCCTGATCTCGCGAAGATGCCATTCTACACAAACAAACCAGACCCGGTGGCCATTAGCCATGTCGGCCGACCTGAGCGGCCGGGTCAGATCCCAGCCGTCCGGTTGTTACGCCTGGGGCGGCCGCAGTGTTTCGACGTTTTTTGTTTCTGAGTGAGTTGTGACTCGATCGAAGGAAGCAGTGTGGGGCGGGGCTTGGCGGGCGCTTCGAAGGCCTGCCAAGACACTGGACGCTAAACCAGACCGACATGGGAGAATCGGGAGCTTAACAGAACAGCACCCCGCTGCTCCATCTCATTGGCTTCTTTCCTGCATGTCACCGCCAACATCTCACACATCACTGGCAGCGCGCTAACCAGCGGAAGTGTTCGCAATGTCTCCAGACATCACGGGGAGTATTTGGATGCCCTGAAGACCATGACCTAGGCATTGAATGAGTCGGACATGAAGAACTTCCCGTCCTTTGCGACCTGCGCACGAGAACCCTCGATGATGGGGATGCTGCTGAAGAACCTTGATGATGGGTCTAGATCAACCTCGGTAACTCCGTCCTCGACAGTCAATTGCAACAGTAGTTGAATCTCTAGTTAAGAGGGGTTAGAAGAGAGGACAACTATTGCTTACTTTAATTCTGGCCTGCTCTGACACACGTTCACTTCTCTCCCTGCGAAACATGTGCAGAAATCTGCACCGGCCTGCATCTCCGTGGTCCAAATGGTTTGACTATACGGAACTGATCTCGACGGAAGAAGGTTCACTCAAAGTGCCAATTAATAAAGTGACGGTTTCGTGAACTCGGATGGCACGAAAGAAACAACGTGGTTATCCATCTGAACGTTCAGAACACACGGTGCCCGCCACAACCGCATAAGACGAAACAGATCTGGCATTCATGCACGATATCCGTATGGCTTAAACGCACTCTCTATCTGATCGTATATATTATTCGTACCAGCTGACAAGCTTCGACCAGCTCGCCCTTTCGAACATTACACCCGCATGAATCCCATCCCTTCCCGAACTCCGCAACACCATCACGACACAGCAACTACTCCTCCTTTCACCTCCAGTCCCGCACCAAACAAACACCTCCCCTGCGGACAATGCCTATGGAACAGGATCTAGCCACCACCGGGCGCGCTGGCCGCTCCGCCCGGCGCGGTGACATTGAACACATCCCCCGTCCTAATCAGAAAGCCCCTCGTCCCCTCCGGCCGCTTATACGGCCCCGTGATATTCCGCGCCACCGCGTAACTGACACTATACCCCGACCCGTCCCAGCAATGGTTACTATAGAACAGCAGATACCCCCCCTCCCGCCCGTTCTCCCCAAACCCCTTGTCCAAGTACACCAGATCCGGCGCCTCCACCAACGGGCCATCCGTCTCCCCATTCCGATCCAACACCTCCACCCGTCCCCGACGGCAGTCACTCCGTCCGTGGCGTTCACCTCCTGCAGCACGATCGGCGTCCGCATGAAGGGCGCCACGCCGTTGTTACACTCCTCTCTCCTGCCCATCGAATTCCCGTTCACCTTGTACAACAGATACCTCCGCCCCGTAGCCGGGCCCCGTAACGCGGCCGGGTCGATCGCGCCGCCGGCGTGCAGGGGGCAGATGACGGGCTGCGGGAGCGGGTCGTAGGGCCCGAGGATCCCGCGCGAGGACTTGGCCGCGCCGATGCAGTGGTAGTAGGAGTAGTTGCCTGCCAGCTGTGCCGCGTAGTAGAGTATGTAGGTCGACTGGTTGAGCTGCGTGACCGCGGGCGCCCAGGTCTGCGAGCCTTGTACGGGATCGGCCCGGACGCCTGGGGTGGGGAGTGGGTCGGCTTCGGGGAGATAGTTCCAGTCCCATGTCGTGGGTGACGATGACGGTAATGTTGACGATGACGGAGGGGATAGGGGAGCGGAGGCGGACTTGGACGTTCTTTCAAGTCGACGATGGGGGGAACGTGTTGGTGGTTGCGGTACTGTTTAGCACCCAGGAACCGGATGCGAAAGCGTACCATGTCCCTAGACGTATCCTGTAGGATGCAGGAGTCGGGGAAATTGAGAGGCAGCAAAGGGGCCTTTGTTCGGGCCGTGGGCGGGGCCAAGTAGAGGACGAGGACGATGGACGTTGGGATGAAGCGCGGTAACATGAGGATAAAGCGCGGGCGGTGGCGCGGGCGGTGTCCGCACAGAAGGAAGAGCAGCGAAGAAGCTTGCCTGCTGAGGGACCAGAGCAATGCTCGGGTTGCGGCCACGATTCCCATCTCTTTGGAGGGTATCGAGAGAGATCATGTCGCGGATACGGGGTCGGAGGCGTGGTTCGGTCGATGGTAGGGCCCGCTGGTTCAGATGCTTGGAGCATTGAGCGTGTTCAACGGAAAGTTGGTATTATGGTAAGTTCAAAATGTGGGTGATTGATTTGGGCTTGACGAGCTCTTAGGCACAGAAGCCGCTGTGCATGAGGCGAAGTGATGATTGACTGAGAACAGAGACGTGTCAGTGTGCCGTCGAACACATATAATAATGGTGCATATCAGCATGATGCACATCTGAAAACAGTCTTGATGTTTGACCAAGTCCAGCGGCTGCAGGGTTCATGTGAGCTTGAGGTTGGGCCCTGGAAAACTGGCATAACAAACAACGCGTCAAGACGTCTCTGTATATCTCTGACAAGTGACGGCTCATCCAATCTTCGACTTGCCTGACACTTCAATTATGGTCGGTGACGTCTGGAGACTGGCGAATGCACTGTTCTGGCAGATTGGGCAAGGTGAACAGTCCATGAGAACAGCTGCATCAACTCCGTACTCGTAGGTGCAAGATATTCCCTATTGGCATCAATACGGATTACAGCAGCGGACCAGGCAGCAATTCATTCACTCGCCCTGCCTGATGCAGGCAGCATGCTGAACCAGACCGCAGATGCCGTGTTCTGGAGACCCTGGATCAGGATATGAGTTCAGACGACAGCATACTCGCCGTGTCGCTCATCACACGGCAACTACCCATTTGTACATCTCTTTTATTCTAGCTGCGAGAAGTCTTGCAGTGATATGAACGATCAACCATTAACAGAAAACCCACCATGAACGCCATCATTTTCCATGCAACAGCCGCAGCCAGCAGAGAACGCCCCTCCATCCAGAAGAGACAAGAATGAACACCTCACATCATACACCCACATCAGCCCCCAACCTCTCCTTAATCACTGTCATCCTTCTCAGCATCCTTCCCCTTCTCAGCCTTCTTCTTCTCCTTCTTCTCCTTCTTTAACCGTTTCCGCTCTGCCTTCTCCTCGGCCGTCTCGCCGTCGTGCTTCTTGCGCTTCTTCTTGTCTTCGTCTGCCTTCTCCTCGGCAGCGGCTGGCGCATCCTCGGCCTTCTTCTCGGGCGAGGAAGCAGCCTCTGGCTGCGCCGAGGTGGCAGAGGCGGCAGCAGCGGCCTCGGCCGCGCCGTAGTCGGTGTAGCTCTGCGTCCACTTGGCCGGCGTGGCCTCGTTGGGGCGGCCGTACTTGTCGAGCTTGCCGTCCGCCTTGAGCTTCTTCTTCTCAAGCGCGACGGGGCCCAGACCCCAGCGGCGTGGGTAGAGATCGCGCTCCATGATGCAGCGCTTGACCTTGGCGACGACGCCGTGGTCGCACGTGGACATCCTGTGCGACGGTCAGTGAAGTTCCATTCAGACAAAGCTGTGTGAGGATGACATACTCAACAGTACTCATCTGGGCAATGCCAATGGCGATGGCTTCGCCCTTGGTGGTCATGAGGACAACCTCCTCGTGCGTGTCGATACCAGGGTCGTACCGCAGCAGACCGGGAAGCATAAGCTTGGCGCCGTAGCAAACGGCATTGACGGCTGAGTCCTTGACCACAAGTCGCTTATACGTGCAGAGCAGTGTCTCGAGCGGCTGGATGACCTTGCGCAGGTACGACTCATCGCCGCCGTTGTCATACTGCCACTGCGCATCGAGGACGTCGTGCAACGTAACCAGCGAGCCGTTATCCTCGGACATGACACCGGAGCGCACACGGCGCAGCTCCTGCATGTGCGCGCCCACGCCGAGCAGCAGTCCCAAATGCACACAGAGCGTCCGGATGTAGGTGCCGGCCTCGCACGACACCCAGAAGACACCGAGGTGGCGGTCGTTGTCGAACTCGATCAGCTTGCTCTCGTGGATCGTGCGGATACGCAGCTGGCGCTTGACGGCCGAGATAAGGGGCGGGCGCTGGAAGAGGGCACCGGTGAGGGTCTCGAGGGCCTTGGCGAACGCAGCCTCACCGCCGGGGACGGTGTCATGGAAGCGGATGACGGCAACGTACTCCTTACCAGCACCCTGCTGAGCCTTGACCAGGCGAGTGGCACGGTCGATGCAGACAACTGTACTGGAGTTAGCACAAGCGGCCATTCAGCGAATCAGAGCCTGGAAGCACATACTCAAGCAGCCCGTGACTTTTGGATCGAGAGTGCCGGAGTGGCCAGTTTTCTCAACACTGCGGAACAGTCAGCAACCTCTCAGATCATATTCCCCGTCTGCCTTCCCCAAGTCCCACATACCGAAGCATCCGCTTTAGCCAAGCAACAACCTCGTGGGAGGAGGGGTTTGACGGCTTGTCGAGGTTGATGACACCGCTCGAAATGTAGGACTTGATGTCGCGCTTATAGGGCGACGAGCCGTTAGGGATGGGCGTGAAGTGGCCGGACCGGACCAGCATCTTGTCATAGTTCTTGAGCAGCAGCGGCCATTGGCTCGTGTCGACCGAGGGCACCGTGTTCTGCGGCTTGATGACATACTGTTCGTCCTGCTCGCCCTTCTTCACCAGCGCTTTTGAGTCGGCCATTGTGGCGATACCGTGTGATCGGATGCGGTGTTGTAGTTATGTTGTAAAACGAAACTCCCCCACTCAAACCTCGGTCGAATCCGACAATCGAAGCACAAACAAGGTCGAGTCTGCGTGTTTGGTCGAGCAATTGGCCGAGACCAAAGGGTAAACAAAGGTTATAGGTGGACCGTGATGAGTCTCACGCGTTCGGCCGGCAGGCTGGATCGAGTAGTCGGACAGTTGCCGTTCGATTTTCCACCCTAACTTGTGGGTTGTTGACGGTTCTCTTCAACTGTCCCCGAAATTTTTTTGAGCCAAAAGTACGTGTGGGGAAGCGATAGCCTCGAGGTGGCGCTAAAGTTGACGCTAGTGGGTCGTTTCGTTAAGCGGCCGCCCACGTGTAGATAAGAAGGTCGATTCACTTATGCAGAATATATGCAACAGCTCGGTTGGTGTAGCGAGGTGATACATAAAAAACTGAGGTCTGGTAGAAAGGGGATGAGGATTGCTTTGTTGAGTAGATATTGGCAACTATCCAGCCAACGAGTATAAGTATAAACCGCAACCTTATGCGCCTGATATATACTTCTCATCCTCCTGAGGTTGTTCCCTCCCTTCTACAAATAAAACGAACTCAGCCGTGTAGAGGCTCAGGTATCTCCAACTCCATCTCCATCCGGGTATTATAGTGATATAGGCCAAAAGCATACTCCAAAATCCAGTTTCACCTTCCAACACGACCCTATGAGACGGCGAATCCTCTCTGGCCCTGCCCATATTCGCCCGTGTCAAGCCCAAGACTGGCGCCGGCATTCATCACCACCGTGCCGCTTACGCCGCCCGATCCGGGCCGCCCGCCGTGATGCCTCCCGTAACCGGGGTGATGCAGCACCGGCGCCTGCGGCTCGGCGGGCATGCGGTACGGGTACTCATACTGGCGGCCCGCCGCGTCGCCGGTACCGTTACTGTACGGGCTCTCGACCTCGTGCATCTCGTACGCCTCGTCTCGCTCCTTGCCCTTGGACTCGACCGGGTACCCGTTCGGGTTCAGGTTCGGGTTGGACGCCTTGGACCGCAGGCTGGCCTCGTCCCCGCCCAGGGCGATGCCAATCGCCAGTTCCTTCTGCCGCTTCTCGTGGTGCGCATGCATCTGCATCAGCATCTTCTCCTGCCCCACCGTCGGCCACTGCGCAAAGGCCGGCGGCGGCGAGCCGTGGGTGGGCGATTGAGTCTGGATCAGCTGATCGAGCGGCTGTTGTGATTGTTGCGGCGCCAGGGTCGGCCACTGGGCGTTGCTGGGGCCGGGGCCCTCGGGTCCTGTCACGGGACTGTTGAACTGGCTCGAGTAGGGGCTGAAATAGCGCGGGAACGTCCCGTCGGTGTGCGCACTGACAGGGCTCTCGTTGTCCCACCCACGCAACGGTCTCTGACTGACGGGCGTCTCGAACATGTCAGGTCCGACGCTGCCACTGCCGCCGTATCGCGTCTTGGGGTGGGGGTAGACCTGGCCACCCTGGCGGCGCTCGAGTTCGCGCAGGTAGGCGCGTCTCCTCCGCTTGCCGTTGCAGACAATGCAGAAGCCTGCAATGGCGAGGAGAAAAGCGAGACCGCCAAAGGCGATGCCGACTCTTGCGCCGAGCGAGATGGGCCCGTAGTCCGGAGTCGGCACCGACGAGTAGCTCACCTGCGGAGGGACGACGACAATGGGTGTGGTACCGAAGGGATCGCCATCGATGGAAACGGTAGATCCGGGCGCGGGCTTTTGCTCGCATGCCGCTTGCAAAATCGTCATATAGTTGTTGATGTGGATTCCGCCGTCGAGTCCCTGGAGGCATGGGCCGCAATGGCTCATCATGTCCAGCTCCCAATTCGAGCAATAGTCGTAAGCACCCACGACGGTCGTCATGTTTTGGTATTCGACAGCGTCCCTGAGTGGCTCGCATGCCGTGCTTGGGTGGCTGTTAACCTGGGGTCTTTCCAGGGCAATGCACTTGCCAAGTGTCATGGGGACGACACCACACTTACCGTGTTATGCATGGGTTGGTCTCGCCGCCAAAGAAGCATTGTTCCACGTTGAACCTGAGGTTATCTGCGGGAGGCCTACGTCAGTCTGGAGGCACGAGGTCAAGCCGACCGCAAGACATACAGAGTAGTGCTTGGAGATCTGTCTTGTCTCCAGACACGTGGTTGCTGGTGAGCAAACAATCAATACATTGCTCCCATACCAGGCCAGTGGATGTTCCCGTAAGCGTGCCGGCATCGCAGGGAATCTCGTCGGCAGCAGTGGAGGAGAGGACATTGCCGCAAAATTTGGAGCAGGGCGAGCTCGGAGCAACGTAGAGCGAAGCGGCCAGCGATGCCGACACAGCCGCAGTGATCGAGAGACGGGGGATGCTAACCAGCATCCTGACGGTTCCGTCTCTCTGCTACCAGATGTGTCAAGATGTTGTTCGATAGGCTACCGATAGGTAGTCGCCCCGTTGGGTTTGTGAATCCGGGTCGCGGCCACCTATGTCTGGTCGTGGATGCGGGGACGCAGCACTGCAGCTCCGCGAGATGATTATTGCCGCACAGATTTCCTGTACGACATAACGACGGCGACTTGTGACGGAGTTCCTCTAGGTCCGGGAGAGCCGGTAACTGAAGCGGAAGCGGCTTGTGAATATTATATGAGGATTGGTACGTTGTGTTGTTTGGGCAGTCCCCAAGCCCCAGTGACAATGGCACGTTTGATATCAGGTATAAGCGCGCATTTCATCCGGGGTGTTTGTTGCTCGCAGATGGCAGCGAGGCCAACAGGTATGACGGAGACGCGAGATTTGGGGAGGGCGGCGCAACTCAGCGAGATGCCGGACTCCGCGACCCCCGGCACTCAAGCACTTCAATGCTTGAACGCCTTCAAAGTGACGGGCGGGGATGCCATGGTGTGTGATTGGAACCCGGGACTGGCCGTGCAAATGGGCGATGCGGAATGGGATTCCTGGATGTCCCCGATCGACCACTCTGCTCGCAAAGCCTGCTTAGCCCTGGTCGGCACACCATTGGCCGCAGCTAAGAAGCGGGAGAGATGCAGCTCGAGGGCACAGCGACGCTAGCCATGCATGTGCTTGCAACATCGACCAGTCGCAGTGCAGGGACCAGATGCTGTCTGCAAGTCCGCAAAGGGCCTTCACAGCCCCACTCAAACTGACCTTTTTGATTGGTTGTTACTGCCTTTATCCGTCACCCCAACTTGCCGAATCCGGCACGAGCTGACCGGCCTCGAGGCCAGCCCAGAGCTTTATCACCACACGCAGCAGTGCAGCAGAAATGCTCGCGGTGAGGGGAACAGACCCCATTTCGCCGCCATCTCAAATCATCACCACTCAGCAAGGCCTCTTTATCAACGGCTGCCGTGTCCCCGGCATGCATCCCACGCCCAACATGCGTTGCACAAAAGGTCTCTGCTTTCTGGCAGTTTGCCCCCGAAATGCATCGGATTTGGTTGGACCCCCGGTGCCACTCATCGGTGCCGGCTGAACAAGAACCCCACAAAACCGTGGGAAGGTGCCTGATCGTATCCCCCATGCTCGCGCAGAAAAACAAGAGATCCAGAAAAGCTTGGTGTTCCTGACGGCAAACCCCTCGCCGATGTTAAGGCGACAACGGGACCTCGACTCCATCCACAGCTATACAGACCCAGATTATGCAATCCCAAGTGTGACGCGGATGCGCCAGCTACTGCATGCATTAACCTACGGATACACGTCAACGTTACCCATTGTCGTTGAGCGTTACTGTTCGCAACTATACCCATAGAGGTATGCAATGCTTGGAACGGGGACGTCGCTGGGTAAAGGGGCAGTCACATCAACCGGGAAGCAGATTTTGCCGCGCCAGGGGAACTACAATAGTTAGCTTGGTGCCATGCAACCCGACTCAATGGGGGTGCTCAGAGCCCGGCGGCTACCCAGGCTGCCGGGTCCTCTGCAGTTGCACATGGAACCGTGATGAGTAAAAACTCTGTACCGTACATACAAACAAAGCAATGATCATCCCATCCCCCTTCACCAAGCGGACCGGCTGGCTTGTGTCTCGATGCTGGGAAAGGTCCCGAGCGATGCAACCTATCTGCCCACGCCAAAGCGAAGGTGCTGCCGGCGCTTAAGGGATTGCTCTTCTGGTCCGGCGGCAATGAGCTTGTGCTTCTCCTGGTAGCCCTGAGAAGTTTACCAGACGCAAGAAGATATGGAAACTCCCTATTGAGTGTACGTTCGCAGCCAAGGCCAATGGGATGAAGAAGCTATCCCCTTCACCCCTAGCGTCCTAACTCTGCTGGCATCACACAGATGATCGTTGATAGCACAAGAAATCGAACATCGCATACACACCAGGAGGAGTCCGAAATAGAGGATTCAAGGGAAGAGTAACGGACTCAAATGGCTAATGACATAATAAGATGAAGGAAGCAAGTGTTACTATACTGTGTATATGATATGTCATAAATCCCCCTTGCCTCTCTTACCGCGACGCGCCTCAGTGGCCCCGACATTGCCATGACGCCTCCTCTTTACCCAGGTAGTCTAACGCCCTTCTACCTCCCCCAGCACCGGTCTTTTGATCCCCACTACTCCTTCTCGGGTTAAAAAAAAACACCATAGTATCATAATTCATCGTCAACAGCGAGCCCTATTCATCAATTCCACTGAATCCAACCCAGCCCAGCCCACCACGGCCACGTCTTGGCCCTTCTTGCCACGGAAAACATCATCGAACCGAAAGTGCTATCCAGGTTTCTCCGTATTGGTCATTCTCTCGCCTAATTCGCACACCAAATATTCCCATCCTCATGATCTCCATCGCCATCCCGTTCCCCATACCCATACCCATACACGTCCCTATACCCATACCCATACCCATACCGCTTCCTCCTCAACACAGCCTCCGCCCGCTCATCCTCTTCCCCCGTTAACCGCTCCTCCCGCTGCCTCTGCTTCTGGTACTGGTCACTCAGTTCAACCTCCCCATGCTCCCAGCCGCCAAACCCACCGTCTCCATCTTGTTCCGGTTCTTCATCAGCCTTTCGAACCAAGTCGGTATTGTCCAAGTGTTGATGATGAGGAAGGGTTCCCAGCGGCGACGACACCGATGCGGCGGTAGACGTCGCTGACGTTGCAGAGCAGAGGCTGGGTGTGGCGGTAATAGTTGGGGTCGTGGTTTCCACCAGGAGCGGCAGGGCGTGGGCATGCGGGTGGGCAGGGCTGTCGTCCGTGTCTCGCTTGCTTGTTGCGCTGTTGATTGTTGCCGCTGCATGAATGTTGCTGTACTCGATGGTGGTGTTTAATTTCTGGGAGTGGGTGATTGGGGGCGTGTCGTCGTCGTCGTAATCTGAGCGGCCCCATTCCGCTGTGGCGTTCGCTGTTGAAGCATGCTGCTGCTGCTGCCTTGATCCTGAGGGTGAGTCATGTTCTGCGGTTTGTTGCGGAGAAGGTTGTTGGCCGCGGCTGATGCTCTGAGGGCTGAGGTCGTTGAGGCGATGGTGTTGATGATCTGATTCGACGTCAGGGTCTCGTTCGTAAGCTGGCCCATCTGGGAAAAACAGAGCTTGCCGTAATTGGGACGACAGCCGCCGGCCTGTGCGGGCCGTATTTTTAGACAGGTTGGAGCTATCAAAGGAGTTGTTCCTACTCTCAACGCTTCTGTGTGCTGGCCTGCTTCCTGGCCGCTCCACTGTCCCGGGAGACAAGTCATGGCCCTCGCCGTCCACTGGACCTGATCTGATCCGGGACTGACTGAAATCGGAATCAAGAGAGCCCCACGCCGTGGATTCCCATTCGCCATAGCTCAACTCAGAAGGCTGGAAGATCTGAAAAGGGCTCGCGCTCCGGGACAGGTTTCGCGATTTGGGGGAGTCCGGCCTGTATTCACGGGATGATTTGAAATCGAATGCCGAGCCGGGGCGTGCTCTTAACCCTTCGAGCACCTGCGCTAGATCGGCCCAGTCATTGTTGAGGGGCGCTTCGTTCGGCTCTCCTTCTAACGCTCCTCCCAACGCAGTCTTTTCTCGTTTGATCTGGCTGACGCTCGATTCCAAGCACGGAACTTCTCGCATATCCACGGACTGCGGCTCTTGCTCCCCCTCGAACGCAGATTGAACTTGTGCCAGCTGTGGTCGCTCCTCCTCCTCCTCCTCCTCCTCCTCTTCCTCCTCTTCCTCCTCTTCCTCCTCTTCCTCCTCCTCCCCAATCGACTCCTGCAAAGCAGACAACGTCGGCTCATGCCTCCAAAACCACTGCGGCGGCCCCTTGGGATCGATGGGCGTCGAGCTCCAGCCGTCTTCGTCAAACGGCGTGATGGGGGTCATGGTCGCCCCGCCACCAAAGACGGCCGAGTGCGAGCTGTCTTGGCGATGCCAGGAATACGGGCTTGCCACCTTGCTGGGGAACCTCCACGGCGACGCTGGGACTGCCATCTGGGACCGCAATGGCCGCCGGACCAAGCTTGGAGTGGCGGGCAGGGCGGGTGTGGTGACGATGTCGTCTGTGATGGCGCTGTCGATAGCGATGTACTCGTCGACCGCGGGACGGGTGGGAATCTGCAGACGGGTTGGCGACCGGCTGTCTGTAGGTGCCCCTCCGGGTTCCTGCGGCTGAGCCAGCCAAGGGAGTCTGGGAGACGTTGGCTTCCGGAGGCTATCGAACCCATGGCCGGATCCAGAGTCGGCCAGATGGCATTGGCACACTTCATTTTCTTCACTCAAGGGGTCGTCTGATTCCCGGTGTTTGGGCTTGTCATCCATCCTGGTGTCTAGGGCAATCTTTCCCGAAACCTGGGAACCGACCTCAGCAGGCTCTGCATCCGTCAACTTGCTCCTTGGTGGCTGATCGGTGTCGACAATCAGAAGTTGGTTGACCCCGCGCCCGAGCACACCGTAGACAAACACCTCACCCCGAGTGACACCGATAACAGCACTTGTGCCGGTATATGTAGCTTCCTCTTCGGCACCGGCCCTGTTGCAAAAAACGACAATGACTTCCTCTTCCTTCTCTGCGCGGATCAGGGGCTCGAGGCGCTGGACCCAGTAGACCAGCGTCTCGAGGTCTGGTTCTTGAGGGGCCTGGTTGAACACGCCGGGGTCTTGATGGGTTTGCCAGGCCATGGTCATTATCACAAGGTTGGCCTTGGCCTTGAGAATGTGGAATCCAAACTCGAAGGCGTCCCAGGGGGCTTCGAGTTTGTACGGGCTGATGTGTCGTCAGTGACCCAGATTCGCCAACATATGCCCAGCAAGAACATACTTGAGATCGGTGCAGATTCCCAATGCGACGTCCCCAAGTCCGGACACCTCGCCCTTGAAGAAGCCATTTGGGCCCTCGAGAGCCCAAGTCTCGTCGGTGTAGTACAGGAAGGACTTCCTGTAGTTGGCGACAAGATCGCCGTCCCCATTGACGACGAGGGCAGAGTTGTAGTACTCGGGAGAGGCGGGCCACTTGGCCGAGACGTCAACCTTCTCGGGATACCCCACGATGACGGTCATGTCATGCTTGAGGGCCGTGGTCCGAGCCCACAGTGAGGTGATGCCGGAGCCAGCCTCTTCGAAGCAGGGGGCGATGTGTTGGAGCGACCTGAAGTTGTACCCTTCGACACGTGTTAGTGCTTCACGCCGGCAAAGCTGGGTCCAGGTCGCGAGGTCAACATCAGAGAGAAGATTGGAGTCGTACCAGTGAAGGCAAGCTCCGGCAGGACCAGCAGGTCTAGGCGGTTGAGATCATCCGGGTTTGCCTTGCTGAGGATGTCGTCGGCGCGGTTCAGATTGTTGTCGACATCGCCGACTTGGGGGTCGAACTGCAGACAAGCGATCCTCATGATGCCAACTGAGTGCCGAAGCGGCGCAACCTCCCTTTCGGGAAGAAGATTAACCGCAACTTGTCGATCCTAACACCGTCAAAGCAAGGTTCCTCAAAGTTCAACACTGACAGAAATGGCCATTGTTCTGGTTAGCAACGGGATAGGGCCCGTGTGGTTCCTGACGAGCAAAACAAAGGAAAGGACTTGGATAGAAGAGGCCACCTGAGGGGCAAGGGGCAGGTAAGCATTCCGCGGGGAGGCGGGGAGCGGGAGTGGCATAGAGACGTTTCTAGGCGGTATTTTCTGGTACTATAGGTAGGTATTTTTGGCACTGCTGTACTCCGTACTCCGTGCCACAGCGACACTTAGATCTCAAGCTGGCTGACGGGCCATGGGTAACGGTCGGTTGGCTGGTTGATGATTGGTGATGGTGGTCGGCCAGCACTGCCGGCCTGTAAGCGCCCAACATTCGGTGTGACCGTCATCCCCTCCCTGCCCAAAACGCTGGCTCCGGTCTTTCTGGGTATGCATGCCAACGGCCCCTGGAACAAACAGCTGCAAGCCATCCCACCAGTGCCGGACGGAAAGGATTCGAGTGCAGATGGTGGCTGGGACCCGGAGTTGTCGCCGATATATGCTCCGTGCGGAGGCGCCATGTGCGTTTCAAACGCTCGACAGTAGATTGATGTCCTCTCGGTCAGCAATCCAAGCTTTGTCGCACCGGTGTGTGCTGGACTAGCACCCTAGTGTGGGCGAGGTGGCAGATGCTTTTCCTCGAATTTTTGATGGGTTCTCAAAGGTCGACGCTTCAACCATACTGTGTACAGAGGAAGGTGCCCTTCGCACCCGGATCCCTGTCGTGCATGCTGCGATCGAAGCGGCGCAGCCGAAGTAAGGCATCACATGCTGAGTGGAGCTGGCTATCCATAGATACAGAGCTTTAGCCAATAAACAGACGGATTGTTTGAAACGAAACATGACTTAAGGCCCCTCATTGGTCAGCCTGTACGGTGATGAAACAGGGCCTGTTTTTGGCACGTTTTCGCGGTCACCTGCATCCAATTGCCAGCAGCCATCGCATGGCGTTCACTCGTCCTCTCAACAAGTCCAGTTTCTCTGCATGAAAGACAGTCTATACGGACTACGGATAGCGAGCATACGGATCCCATGCATCTGATTGCTAGCCAAACGGCCCGCGATCTTGGGATGCTCACCATCTCCATGACCAGGTCCAGCGGCATTGAAGACGTCACGCCTTGGCCTCCTCAGCTGGCCACAAGCCTGGGAACCAAGATGCAAGGAATCGGTGAGCGATCGCATAGCAAGCGATATCGCACCGAAGCGCAGCTAATATTTCTGCACCGTTTGTTAGCGGCGTGGGAAGTAGACCCGGCCGAAGGGAGGATGCAACAGGGAAACGGCTTCCCATCCTAGTGTGCCACACATCACCAGGTTCCCCCATCTGACATAAAATCCCTAAAGCTTTGCTTTCCCTCGGCCCGCTCCTCCCGATACGGAAGAGTCTTGGCCCGCGCCGCCAGCATCCAGATCGCCGCCTACACCTCCCGTCTTCCACGCAACCAGCCACGCCTCCAGCGCCTGCACCAGCCCTTCCACCTCGCCCCGGGTGTTCCCCGCGTGCAGACAGACCCTGATCCTCTCTTTCCCCCTCGGCACAGTGGGCGCCACGATCGGACGCACCATGTACCCCCTCCGCTGGCAGTGCTCCGCCAGGCTACGAGGTCGCGAGGTGAGAACGGGGATGACGGGCGACCTGGGCTCTTCCAGGCTGACGCGGAACAGCTCCGCGGGCGGGTTGTGGCGGGCGCACAGCGCCAGGAGCAGCGCGTGGGTCTCGCGGATGAGGAGACGCAGGTGCACGAGCAGGGGCTCGGCCTGGCCGCTTGAGAGGAAGTCGTAGGCGGTTTCGATGCCGGCGAGGGAGGGAAGCGCCATGGCGGTGGTGTATATGAGAGTTCGGGCATAGTTGATCAGGTAGGCGCGGGTTGTTGTGGTGCAGAGGATGAGGCCTTTTTTGGTCCGGTTCCAAGAGATGATGGTTAGTGTCGTCCTCCTCCGGGAGTACGAGTTCGGAATACTAGTACTGGTATTACTTACCTCCAGCGCAACCCACGGCTTTTCCAAAGCCGAGAACTCTAGCCCACACACGGTTCTCAAGACCTAGTTCGCACACTAGGCCACGTCCGCGGTCGCCAAAGATGCCCGTCGAGTGGGCTTCATCCACGATGATGTAGCCGTTTCCCTGCGGCAGACGATATTCCACACACTCGACGATCTCGGTCAAGGGAGCCAAGTCGCCAGCCATGCTGTAGACAGCCTCGACCGCGATGAAGACGTTCCTCGCGCCGGACTGGAAGAGGGTGCCCTCAGGACCTTGGAGCAGAGATTGCAGAATGGTATCGAGCGATTTCCCAACAGGATGATTGTCCTTTGTCTCAGTCACCGAGCTCGAATTCCGCTCCCAGATGTGGCTGTGAGCAAACGGGATCCTCTTGCTGGCCCTGCTCAGCCGCATGCCGTCGTGCACGCTGGCGTGGATGAGCTCGTCATAGACCACCACATCGCCCGGCTGCGGGACGCACGCAAACAGGCCCATGTTGGCATCCATGGCCGAGTTGAAGAGCAGAGCGGCCGGGGCCCGGTGGAATGCGGCGATGGTGCGTTCGAGGGACTCAGCGCGCGACGAGTTCCCGTCCAGCAGGCGGGAGCCGCCAGAGCCCAGCAGGGGCGGGCCCCCTATGGCTGCCTGTAGCCGGGCGAGAAAGGCCCGCTGCACGGCGGGCTGGGAGGAGAGGGAGAGGTAGGCATTGGAGCTGAAATCGACCGAGCCTTCTGGGACAGTAGTCAGCTTTCGCAGTTGGTTTCGAGATTGTCGACGTTCCAGCAGGTTGGCGAAGATGCCGTCGAGTCGATTACCCTGTTGAGGCATGTTGAGGGACCCCGTGGGGTAGAACGGCTTGTGGTGACCTTGATGGTGGAACTTAAAACGCCACAGCGCGGGTGGCCGCGGATCGCCGAATTCGGCTTTCCCAGCGTCACATCCCCAACGCTTTCGGATGCCCCATCCACAGTCATCATGGGCGTCAGTCAATAAATATCGACCAGAGATATTGTCCAACGTCTTAGTCGGGAAACAAAAATGAAAGAAAATGCTTCGAATACCAATACCAGCGCCTACTGGTTCCCTCCTCTGGCGCTCACTGCGCGTGTACCAGATCTACGGAGCCAACACTGATGTCGGCAAGACTATTTTCACTACCCTTCTCTGCATAACAGCTCGCAGGCACTGGCGCAATGAGGAGACGGTCTTTCTCAAACCTGTTTCGACAGGCGCGGCTGAGGATGCTGATGACCGGTGTAAGCTCTTTTAGCTTCCCACATCATTAAATGTGGCTAACTGGCCTCCCAGAAGCTTGGCTCCCCATGGTTTGTTCGCTATGAGTCACGGAAAAGGATTTCGCTCTGACCTTGTGTCGTTCCATCATGGAAGACACATCCAGAGGTTTGCCCCTGGGACCGTCGCCAAGACGCTCTTTCAGTACGATCTCGCCGTGAGCCCCCATCTCGCGGCCCGTCGCTCGAACCATGTGAGTCTTCATGAAGCACAGTGGCAAGGAGTCACACCGCTCATACCGTAGTAGGCCATCCCTTCCGACGGCGCCCTTCTTGCTGAGATCTCTGGGTTCGCCGCCCGCCATGCTTCTCGCGGTGGGGGATGGCTCTTCGTCGAGACAGCAGGCGGCGTGCACTCGCCATCTCCCTCGGGCTCGACCCAGGCCGACCTGTACATGCCGCTGCGGCTGCCCATTGTCCTCGTCGGCGACAGCAAGCTCGGCGGCATCTCGCAGACTATCTCAGCCTTTGAATCGCTGAGGATGCGCGGCTACGACGTCGAGACGGTGCTGCTGTTCCGGGAGACACAGTACCAGAACCATGTTTATCTCGCCGAGTACTTCGGTGAGCGCCACGGCATCCCCGTCAGGACTGTCCCTGCCCCCCCCAAGCGCGCCGATGATCCCAGGGCAGACGCCCTGCTGATGGACGGGTATTACTCATCTCAGGAATCCGGCAGCTGCGCAGAAGGAGGAGAACTGCACTCAACCCTGATGCACCTCGACGCCCGGCACCAATCCCGGCTCACCCGCCTCGACTCCATGGCCATCGCCGCATCCCAAAAGATCTGGTACCCCTTCACCCAGCAGCGGCACCTGACCCCCTCCCAGATCCTAGTCATCAACTCGGCGCGCGGCGATTACTTCCAGACGCTGGTCTCCTCTACCCCTTCCGGCCCAGCCCCCGCCACCGGCACCGGCACCGTCCCGTTTCCCAGCAAGGCATCGCCGGTCCTCCAGCCATCCTTTGACGCCTCCGCGTCCTGGTGGACCCAGGGCCTGGGCCACGCCAACCCTTCCCTCACTCTCGCCGCATCCTATGCCGCCGGGCGCTACGGGCACGTAATGTTCGCCGAGGCGGTGCATGAGCCTGCGCTCGCGCTTGCTGAAACTTTGTTGGATGGTATGGCCTCCACATCATTTCGAAGCGGTGTTGGTGGTGGTAGTAGTACAAAGAAGCACAGTCCTCCTCGGCTGTCGCGCGTGTTCTTCTCGGATAACGGGAGTACCGGGGTGGAGGTCGCGGTGAAGATGGCGCTGAGGGCCGCCAGGGTGAGGTATGGCTATGGATACGGCCGAGAAAAGGTGGGGGAGGAGGAGGAGGGGTTGGGGGTGCTGGGGCTGCAGGGGAGTTACCATGGGGATACCATTGGCGCCATGGACTGCTCGGCGCCGGGGGTATTTAACGAGAAGGTGGAGTGGTATCGCGGTAGAGGTTTTTGGTTTGGACATCCTGTTGTGGAGTGCCGCGGTGGGAAGTGGATGGTGAGCGGGTTTCCCGAGGGGATGATGAGGGAGGATGGTTGCGGGGAGGTTGAGTACCCTTCGCTGTCGGATGTTTTTGATGTCGAGGCGAGAGAGGCGAGGGGGGAAGGGCGGGTCTATGAGAAGTTCATTCGGCGCACGCTGGAAGAACTGACCGGCCAGGGACGCAGGTTCGGGGCGCTCATGATCGAGCCTGTTGTCCTCGGTGCGGGAGGGATGCTGATGGTGTAAGTGCTCTAAGTGGCGTTTGTGTCCGGATTTTGAAAACTGACAATCCTCTTCAGAGACCCTCTTTTCCAGCGAACGCTCGTAAACGTCGTCCGGCAGAGCTCAGCCCTATTCAGCCGTAACGGGACCACATACCCCTCGGCTGACGACGACGGAACAACCTGGACAGGTCTGCCCGTCATCTTCGACGAGGTATTCACAGGCCTGTACCGCCTCGGGCGCTTCAGCGCCGCGTCGTTCCTCGGCGTCGACGCGGACATATCTGTGCACGCCAAGCTGCTGACCGGCGGGCTGGTGCCGCTCAGCGTGACGCTCGCGTCCGAGAGCATCTTCCGGGCGTTTGAGAGCGACGACAAGAGCGACGCCCTGCTGCACGGCCACAGCTACACGGCACACCCGGTCGGGTGCCAGGTGGCGCTTGAGAGCATCCGAGAGATGCAGCGGATGGAGGCGCGCGGGGACTGGGACTGGGCGAGGGATGCGAGCGGTGCTCAGACACTTGAGGTTCTCTCGGCCAGCGATCTTGTCTGGTCCGTCTGGAGCCCAGAGTTTGTCCTCTGGGTCAGCCAACTGCCGGCGAGCTTCGTGGGTGGTGTGTGGGCTCTCGGCTCCGTTTTGACCATTCGGCTGACCAGCGTGGATGGCAATCAGGGGTACAAGGGCAGTGCCGCGAGGGCCGTCCGCGATGCGCTCCTCCAGGGCCGGTCGGGCGTTGGCGAGGCCCGGTGGAACGTGCACAGCCGCGTGCTGGGAAACACTCTGTACCTCATGGCAGGCCAGAAGACGACTCAGGAAAGCGTCCGACTGGTTCAAGATCTGTTGCGGGATGCTCTGCTGAAAGCCCAGAATGCACAGCAGCATTGATCGAGCTAGGAATATGCATCAAGGAGCCAGGATCGCTCTTGGGGGCAGGTCAGGAAGCGGCCGTTCTTGCGGAAGACTGCTGCTGGTACAAGAGGCCATGCAGATCGGGCAGGTGTCGTGGTGCTTCCGGAACCAGCGAGAAATGCACTCGGCGTGAAAGAGATGGTGGCACGGCAGCTTCCAGACCAAGCTTTGATCGTCTAGGTCTTCGAGGCAGATAACACTGAGTGAGTCCAAAGGGGCCACTGGTCAGCTGCGCGACTGAATACCTCCGACACAAACGCAAAGGCAACTTGCCACTCAACAGACACGCCACACTGGTTTGGTGGAATCTCAGCAGCACTGCTGTCGGCTTGGAGTTGCTTGTAGGTCCGGCCGAGTTTGACAACTTCGAAGCTGGGGGTCGCGGCCCGGTAATGGTGAAGTCGAATGCTGTTAGTACTAGTTGTAGTGGTAACGTGAATGACAGGCCTTTCGCCCCTTTCCGCCAACTCCGAGTCCGAGTCGTGGACGGTGTGAACGGTGGGCGTACGTCTTGCTCTCCGGGTGCTGGCGGTGGGCCGCCCGCGGCTATCATATTTGATGTGTGAGTGCGTACGCCGTTTGACCGTGGCATCATGGTCTGGGTAAAACATACAACCAGAGAGCGCAGAGTACTACGACGATGACCCCAGCAGATACGCCAAAGACGATGAAGCCAACCACGTTGTCGTTTGAACCGCTATTGCCATTGCCGCCAATGTCGTCCGCATCGCTTCGAGACACGCCCAGTGACGAAGACGATCCCACGGCGGACATAGCGGTGCCCAAAACGCTTGTATCTGACAATGTCACAGCCGAGGAGCTGGGACGTGGCTTGGAATGCTGTGGCGGACAACGGTCAGGATTTTGGTGCGGTGGAAGTGGATGTGTGGCTGTCGTAGGCAAGATCAGAGCAACACGTGCATGGCACCTCTTTTCATTAAGAGCCGTACATCTCATCAAACCATGCGAGTAGGAGCTGCCTCTTGGACGCCCTTCTCAACAGCCTTCGCCACCACCATCACAACCTCGATAATGCCAAGCCCGTCTGACTCTTTGTTCACCAACCCAATCCCCTTCTAATTAGTACGTTATCGTCAGATGATGCGCCAGTTGGGTCAAACATGCCATTGGCCTCACTTTAAAGGTAGATTGTCCTTGAGAAGCCAGTACTAAGAGTTGGGCGTGTCAATAAATCATTACTTCAGGGGCTAGGCCTGGCCGTTCTCTTGGCCTACTCGTCGATGTGCACTGCCTCAGCTATGCAGTCAACGAAACCGACGTCAGACCTAGACCCTCCACGTCATTCCATCCTTTCATTGTCTCTTTGGTGGTGGTGGCACGGACATTGTCAACTTGTCGCGTGTCACGCGCTCATGAAAGTTGTGTACTAATAGAGTAATCCATGCCCCTCGAAAGTGAAGGTGGTTTTATAGCAGCGTATCCATTGTCTCGGGCACGGTTGGATGGAATGGATCAGATACATGGAATACACCAAGACAAAACCCGGCCACGGTCCGACGTTCCGCCCATCAATATCGACACCTCCGTGGCCGGCGGCAGTCAGCCCGGTGGGCGATTCCATTCCTATCTTACTTCAAGCACCGTACGGTTCGCCATTAGTTTCACTGACAAAGGACTGCCACAGCAGGGGCTGAACCACGCACGGCATCGATCCAGCCCAACCCAGGAGACGAGGCCCTCTTCAATATAGAAAACAACCCCTTCACTCTAACCCCCGGCCATCTCACCAAGTTAATCGATCCCAAGTCCATCACCGTCCTGCACCAGCTGGGCGGCTTACGGGGGCTCGAGACCGGCCTACGAACAAACGTCCAAACCGGCCTCAGCGCCGACGAGACCACCCTTCACCCCTTGGCATCGTCACAGCAGCCACAGCCCTCCAACCAAGCAGCACCAGACAGATTACCCCTGCCCGTACCCGGCCACAACAAACAAGACGACAGCGACCAATACGCCTCGCGCCGCCGCGTCTTCGGGGTCAACCGCCTCCCCGAGCGGCAGTCCAAATCCTTCCTCAAACTGGCATGGATCGCCCTGCAGGACCGCGTGCTGATCCTGCTCAGCGTGGCGGCCGCCATCTCGCTGGCGCTGGGTCTTTATCAGACCTTTTCGGGCCACCACAAGGAGGAGGAAGGCCAGGCGCGAGTCGAGTGGATCGAGGGCGTAGCCATCATCGTTGCCGTCCTTGTCGTGGTCATTGTCGGGGCGCTGAACGACTGGCAAAAGGAGCGGCAGTTTCGCCGGCTGAGCAAGAAGAAGGAGGACCGATGCGTGACGGTGGTGAGGGCGCGCAAGGCGGAACGTGTGTCGGTGTACGATGTGCTCGTCGGGGATGTCATGGTGCTGGAGCAGGGGGATGTGATTCCCGTGGATGGAGTGTTGATTGAGGGGCATAATGTCAGTTGTGACGAGTCGTCGTCGACGGGCGAGTCGGACGTGGTGAAAAAAGTATCCGCCGAGGGGGTCCCGCAAGCACTGACGCGGGAGGCTGAGACGGCCAAGAAGGACCCTTTCTTACTCTCTGGCGCCAGGGTGTTGGAAGGAGTGGGTAAGTTTCTTGTGACGGCGGTTGGGCCGCACTCGAGCCTGGGGAGGACCATGATGGCGCTTCGCGACGACCCGGGCATGACGCCACTGCAGGCGAGGTTGAATGTCCTTGCTGGTAGGTGCACAGCGCAAACCAGATTCTTGGGCTTGGTGCTGACCAGATCCGGCAGGATACATCGCGAAGCTGGGTAGCGCGGCGGGATTGCTTCTCTTCACGGTGTTATTGATCGAATTTCTCGCCAGACTTCCAGGCAATCCAGCCAGCAGCGAGGAAAAGGGCCAGAATTTTCTCAGGATCCTCATCACATCCATCACCATCATCGTGGTGGCCGTCCCTGAAGGTTTACCCCTGGCCGTGACGCTCTCCCTCGCCTTCGCCACCAAGAAGATGATGAAAGAAAATAATCTCGTGCGGCACCTGCAGTCTTGCGAGACGATGGGAAACGCGACCGTCATTTGCTCGGACAAGACAGGGACCCTGACAGAGAATGTCATGACAGTCGTTGGCGGCAGTCTCGGTACCGGGGAGGTTACGTTCGGCGACAGAAACTTCACCCCGGCGCCAGACAGCACCGGAATATCAGACGCGGCGAAAGACCCGGAGGACGAGGAAGGATGTACAGCTGGCCCAAAACAACTCCCAACAGCCAGCCTCGCATCGGCTCTCCATTTCGAATTCCAAGCGCTCATCAAGGAATCCATCGCATTCAACACGACAGCCTTTGAGGGTGAAGAAAACGGCAAGCCGGTATTCATCGGCACCAAGACCGAAACTGCACTCCTCGACTGGGCCAGGCGAACGCTCAATCTCGGGACTCTGGCGAGCGAACGAGCCAAGTCCCCCCTCGTGCAGTTATTCCCTTTTCACTCGCAGCGAAAATACATGGGCTCGGTCATCCACCTGCCAGGCAAATACCGCCTGCTCGTCAAGGGCGCACCGGAGGTGGTGCTGGAGCAGTGCAGCAGCGTTGTCGCCGATCCGACGGCGGCGCTCACTACATCGGAGCTCCAGAAGTCAGCCAAGGCGCGCATCTCCAAGACGATTTCGCGGTACGCATCGCTGTCGCTCCGCACGTTGGCCCTGGCGTACCGAGATGTCGACTACTGGCCTCCAGAAGGCGCTGCCGGGAGTGCTGAGTCTGACCAGGTCGAGCCCGCCGACGTATTCCGCGACATGATTTGGATCGCTGTGGTCGGCATTCAAGACCCGGTCCGTGAGCATGTACCGGCCGCAGTGCGCGACTGTCGGCGCGCGCAAGTGGCCGTCAAGATGGTGACGGGCGACAAGGTGGAAACGGCGCGGGCCGTTGCTCGGGAGTGCGGCATCGTCACGGATGAGGGTGGCCATGTGATGGAGGGCGTCGAATTTCGCCGCCTTAGCGAGGAGCAACGGCGTGCCCGGGTCCGGGACCTTCAGGTGCTGGCTAGGTCGAGCCCCGAGGACAAGCGTGTGCTCGTCGAATCTCTGCGCGCATTGGGCGAGGTTGTGGCCGTAACGGGCGATGGGACCAACGACGCGCCGGCGCTGAAGGCGGCCGACGTAGGCTTCTCGATGGGCGTCATGGGCACCGAGGTAGCCAAAGAAGCGTCCGACATCATCCTCATGGACGACAACTTCTCGTCAATCGTCAAGGCGCTTGCCTGGGGACGGGCCATCAACGACGCGGTCAAGAAGTTCCTGCAGTTCCAGATTACGGTCAACATCACGGCCGTGTTCCTGACGTTTATCTCGGCCGTGGCGAGCAGCGACGAGCGGTCGGTACTCAACGCGATCCAGCTCCTCTGGGTCAACCTAATCATGGACACGTTCGCGGCGCTCGCGCTCGCCACCGACCCGCCCAACGGAAGCCTGCTCGACCGAGCACCAGAGCCCAGGACGGCGCCGCTCATCACTTTGACTATGTGGAAGATGATCCTAGGCCAATCCGTGTATCAGCTCGCCGTCGGGCTGACGCTGCATTTCGCGGGCCCGTCCTTCCTCCCTTACCCGGAGCCGGAGCTGCGGACGCTCGTGTTTAACACGTTCGTCTTCATGCAGATCTTCAAACTCATCAACAGCCGGCGCATCGATAACAAGCTCAACATTTTTGAGGGTCTGCACCGGAACCATTTGTTCATCTTAATGATAACCATCATGAGCGCGGGGCAGCTGCTGATTATCTTTCTGGGCGGCGACGCTTTCGTGGTGGTCCGCTTGAACGGCGCGCAATGGGCCATCTCGCTCGTGCTCGGGCTCATGTCGATCCCAGTGGGCATTCTGATCCGCCTGATTCCCGACGACTGGGTCCGAGCATGTGTGCGCTGGCTGCCGAGGCTCCCACAATGGCGGCGAAAACGCGTCAGGGTGCCGGATGAGGAGATTGATGTCAGAGCAGATGCTGCGGCCGGCCGAGACTTTGGGGACGCCTTGATCACGGTGCGAGATGATCTCGCGTTTTTGAAACGGGTGCGAGGGGGACGCATAGTGGCATTGAATGAGGCGATTGCGATTCGCCCGAGTGTCAGTGAGCGGCGGGTCGGGCAGACCAGAAGGTCCAAGTCTCCCATGCAGTCGGCGGTCGGCATGCCGGGTCTTCTGGCTGCGAGCATCGCCGCGTCGCCAGTCGCAAGACTGCCTTCCTCGCCAAGTCCTCTCAGTAGGGAGCAAAGCGGGGGTTGATGGATATCTAGTGGTCAGGCTCTGCTGTCGAAACGGTGTCTGACGGTTTCAGCCATCGATATTTCCCCCAAGCACTGGCAACTCCAATGTCGGCACACTTGCCCCTCCTCATGTTGGCAACTATGTCCGGTATGCGGTCAGCTCTGCATTTAATCCCCAAGGCAAAGGGAAAGGGAACACATGGTCAATGATCGAAGTTCATTGCTCTAAGAAATCAACTGGGACGGTGTTATGCAATAAGAGAGAAAAAAGTGGACGCCGATTTGAGCCACAGCATGGGATCACCGCGTCATCCCTACACGTGCGTAGGCCGTACATGAGAAGACGGACGGCGAACATTGAGGCTCCAAATGACTTGTATTCAAACCCGCATGCACCGAACTCACCGTTTGTGGGCGTTTGGGCGGCCAAGACTGAGTGGGCCTTTGGCGCGGTAACTTACAGTTCAAGTTCAGTCTCTGGGCTTCCAGGTTTTGTTAGAGCACACATGCGTGCACCCTCGGAAGGAAGGAGCATGTCGATAAAGAATCTGAGGAGCATAAGTAAGCGAATAAAGACGATAACAAAGAAGGGGATAGATAAAATGATGAAAGATGGATATAAAGCTCGATTACACAACGAGATAAATGATCTTCTTCCATCTCTTACATACCTTAGTAGGCCACGGCCTAGCAAGTAGGTACCTTATGTAATCCGTAAGCCAACGTGAAGGTTAAAGTGTACAGGTTTTGCTTAGTATGGTACCTTACAGTATTCCAAACTTGCTACCCTTGGCGGGGCACTTGGCAGATTGAGCCCTGATAATACCTATTCCAGCCGGATTTCGGAGATCATTTCAAACTCGAAGTTGCGGCCAACGGGCCGACCCGTTTTGACCTTCACAAGCACTGCCGACCAACAAGCTCACGACCTGAAACCGGCCAACCGACACGCGACCCGGAGCGTCCGTTCTTTTTTACAGTAGTATCTCTTGCCGGGAACTTTGCAGTATGTATCCCTGACCCGGAGGCAATTAGGGACGCCCGGTTTTGGCTCCTTTCTGCCGTTCTTGGGACTGCGGATGGCTTGCATGTTCCTGCAGCGACATGGCGACCACGAGGAATTTCCATCCTTCTGGATAGGTAAGCGCTGACATCCTCCTTTGGCTTTTCTCGGCAATCCAAAATAGGCGCACTCAGTTCCATTTCCGTCGTCACGATCTTCCAATCTCGTCACTATCGGTTGCACCGCACCCGCCAGATTCTGGCGTGTCTCTGTCGGGGTCCTTGAGGACGACGGTGCAGTTCCAGTTCGGCATTCTCACGAACGCCGCATGGACCCCCGCGGCTTGCTATGTTTGCGTATGACGTCGGTTGGTGCAAAGAGACGCCTCTTTATAGCGGCGCGGGTGGTCTGAACCCCTTTACCCCTGAATCAAGGGGCGACTGTCGGATGGACCCAGCGGCACGTAGCAGTCTGTCGGACTCGGCACAAAGCTCGCAACAGAAACTTTCCACCTACACGTTCGAGGTCCGCAAACCTACAACACCAACCTGCCCTTCACCAGGTTCTGCTCCAACTGGCCACCCAGTTCAAGCGCGCCGGCGCTTAAATCTGTTCCCAACACGGGTCTCGACAAGGAGGGTGACATCCACGATGCTTGGCTTGCGTAGGTACCGCAGTGTTGTTGCCGAGCCCTCTGTGCCGCATCGCCGCCGGCGGTATCACCCTCCCGGCCTATTCCTGTCCCTGGCCTCAATGCCGTGGGCCAACCGGGCTCCGTTCCAAAGAATGCTCGCACTTGGTTTGGAGAGGTGAGGCATGAGGCAGAATGATGTAGAAGACGTCTGTCTGAAGTGGTTCCTCTGCAAGGGGTTCCGGCTTCCATGTTGTCATGCGGCTCGGGACGCCATGCTTTCAGTTATATCCTGGGCTCCCGCACGGGACGGGCTATGGAGGCCGGATGCTTCCTCTTGGTCCCGGGAACTATGGACAGTCTACGATGCGTAATCCGTTCAGTCTAAGGCTTCGTGATACTCTGCATCTGGACCAACACGCAACACTGTCTGCCAGTGCCTTGCCCACGTTTGAGATTACCAGCAGCATATTGACGGTCGACGTCGGTTCGTGTTGTCGGTTGACAAAACCACCAAACGTTGGGCCGACGACTGCATCCAGTCCATCGCAAACCGCCGGTCCGATTCCGTCTGGCCGACGCCTTCCTGCTCTTGCCGTCGCTGCCATCACCGTGGGTGGAGCCCTACTTCTTCTGGCCGTCATTTGCTCCCTCTTTGCCTGCCGGCGCCGGGCCGTGAAACGCGGACGAAAAGAGAAGATGCACCGCGATGTCAAGGAGTACGCCGTTGCTACCGCCAGACCAGGCACGCCTCCATCTCAGCCGGCATCACCATCACTCCTCTCCCCGCTGTCGACACGGGCGCTCCTTGACCAAAGACTCTGCCGAGAGGAGCTTGGACTCTCCAGCCCGCCGCAGCCTCATCAGAACTGGCCACAATCTCCGTTCAACCGGCGGAGCGTCGACACCATCTTCGCCCTCCGTTTCTACAACAGCCCTGAGCCCGAACATCACTTGCAGGCCCCGTCCATCGCCGAGTTGCCCGCAACACCCCGTCACCGGCCGGTTCCAGCTCCGCCCCCGACGCCGCCGACATCAACAACACCGCCCCTACAAACACAGGCATTTCCAAGGCAAAAACAAATTCCACAGACAGCAACGCGCCTCCAATCAAAGGGCGAGCCATGGGCCAGCGTGCTACCCCCGACAATGCCGCCTCTACACATGAAGCCATACCCAGGACGAAGACGAGCTCCGCAAAGAACAGTGTACCTCAACCCGGCCGGCGAGCCATGGGTGAACGTGCCTCCCCCGGCCGTCCCACTCCCAGCACCGCCCCCGCCGAAACGGCCGCCCCCCCGATTTCCGGAGACCCAGGCGCGGCCTACCTTCTCGCTGTTCCCACCGCCTCCCAATCACCATCACCACCAACCGCCAATCCAGTCAAGGCCAAGACCAAAGCTACGCGTCCCCGCCCAGAACCAGAACACCTCAGCCAATAACAGTCCCGTCAACCGTAACTTCTCCCGCCCTTCCCCCATTGCCATCCTGCCTCCCACCACAGTCCTGACATCGACGCTCGGACCAAATAGCGCCCCACTTCCAGTTTCGAGTCTACACTCGGGTGCCGGTTCAGGCACGAGGCTGTCGACGAACCAGATTCCTCCCTCGACGGCGGCTGAGCGTAGGAGAACGCCCGCTGTGACGACACATTATCCTCCGCTGCCGGGCCAGGAGGACTGTAGTGCCGGCGGGAGGAAGTCGTTGCCTAGTCGGTTATGGGATTGGAGGGGCGGGCTGGGATTTGGGTCAGTTGGGTATGGGGCTGCTGCGGCCGGGGGAGGGAGGTTGAGTTGTGGGATGGGGTCGACTGATTAGAGTGTGGGATTACGCGGGACTAATGCTGTGCTGGATTTTATCGTAATGTATATTATTGTATTCTAGAACGTGGAAGTGGGATATGGGTGGGTTTTACGATGGGGTATGTGTCATTGTTGTTTGTATTTTCTGTCTGTTTAAGTAGTGGTGACAGATTTTGGGGAAAAGGTGTGGGTGCATGTCGGATGAGGCATGTTCATGTATGGGGAATCAACCAGCGAGGAGTCGGCTGGTAGATAAAGATTAAATTGATTGCATGAGAGTAACCGCATACATAAGGAACGGTTGCCAAAAGGGGCATGCTAGGTTCTTCGGCTTGGCAAACGGCGGGTTCTCTGGGGCGCCAAAAGCAGGAAACCTACCCTTGGGATTGAAGCCCTCGGTTGTCACCACTGGACGAGAAAGTTTGATATGTTGCAAGCCCGTAGACCCTGAGAAGAGCAAAGCATTCACCTACATCGTAAATCACCGACACCGAAGGTCAATGTCTCATTTTCCCTATTTACTCCGTACTTTGGCCCCTTGGCACAGCGGTTCAACCGGCCCGACCGATCAACGGGACATTCAACGCTTCCATAGGACGCAGTACTGACATTGCCTGCACCAACACCGTCAGGCGGAATGGAGTCAAACACTGTAAATACAGAGTCGTTGCCTTGCTGCCCCCGAGTCCGTCTCCTGCGATTCCACGCACTCAACCTTTTCAACTTCTTCCTCTTTAAGTTTATCAACCGCTTCCTTCACCCTCGCTACTGAGTCCGGAACTCGGTCGCAGCCCTCAGACCTAAGGACCCTTCCATGCAGTCTCAAAACCACATCAACTCCGATCCCCACTCCGTCTTCAAAGCTTGCATGGACAACCCTTTCCGGTCCATCATCACCTTCAACAAGGAAAATATCACCTCAACCATCCCGCAACATGGCGAACACAACCTGCTCCGGCACCGTGATGCCGGATATTCATTAACCTCCCAGTCCCCCAGAACACTAACATGGTTGTGACGAGCAGCGCAAACCTGACCGGATCGCATCTGGGCATGGAGGCCTGCTTCTAGCCGAACATCGTTCAGGTCATCGACGAGTGCTGGATATGGTGCGAAATACCCAGGTCCTACTTCAACGGCACATAAGGATGGCGCAGCTTGCCAGATGGAATCTTAGCTTGTTCCATAGGAGCAATGCCAGGGGGAATGGGATCATCGGTTTCCAAATGAACGCGGCAGCTCGGCCTGAGATGGGCTCGGCAAGGAAAGCGGTTTTTGGGCGCTGGCGTTGTCTGGACTCGTTTACATTTTGTAAAAGACAGATTGTCGAAGTCGCAAAGGCCAGCGGCGTCACACTTCTTGGTCGTCTTGGGATCTGGGAGATCCAGTACATACTATGTGGAGGCCAATTTAATACTGAGTGGTGAGGTGGTAATCCGTGGTTACTTAAAAGTTATGCAATGCTACAAACTAATATCTGTACATCCGTACATTCGCCACAAAAGCAGTCAGTATGAGTCACATCCTGTCCCACCTACACAAAGCTTGTTGTAATGATATAATGCCCTGTTTGCGCCCTGCTTTCAATCATCACTCAGGATAGCTCAGTAGCTAAGGGGAATAGCGCCGGGCTCATAACCCGGAGGTCACTGGATCGAAACCAGTCTGAGCTAAGAATAAATCTTTTTCACCCTATTCCGAGTGACATCATGTCCCTCGACTCATGACTTGCTTATTGCAAAAGCAAACAAGAGTTGTCTCGCGACATCTCCAATCATGCTTCACATTGACATACTCCGTACTCCACTCCCTTTGCCGTCATGCTCGCATGGTCAACGTTGCCCTGCCCCTCTTCTCAAATACTATCACAGTTTCACGTGGAAAAGAATTCCCGGTCCCGGCAATCGTACCGTTGCGGGGTGGGTTCCCGGGCAGTTCCGCCCTGCTCGTTCCTTTCAACAGAATCTAAACACCGATCCCTGGGGTAATGAATCCAGCGCGGTACTTAGGCCCACTTCTTTCTAGTTTTCGGTCACTGATGCATTTTGCCACCAAGGTAACTTTTTCAGCAATTTCAATAGGAAAAGGCCTGCAAAATAAATCCCTACATAGTCCACAACTGGGTACGGATTACACCATCTCAATCGCACCGCCTCGACCGCGATTGGAAGCCATCACCAACTGCATTAGCTAGCCACAGCTATCTTCGACTGTGGTTTGCAAACACCTTTCTTTTATCCTACTTTTTCCACCATATCTATGCATTTTAATGCATTGCTCAACTACACCGACAATATCCACAATTCGCCATGCGCGCAGCGATTCTACCTTTTTCAATTACAACGGCAACACCCACCACAACGGCCAGGCGGAGCCCCAATTTACCGTGGCTTACGGCATTCAACACCATTGACGCGCGATGAAAAGCTCGAAGTTCGAACTTCACGCAAGTTCAATGGCTGGAATTACTTTCAAATAAGCAGAGCCACCGGCAAGACCTTCCACCAAGTGCAAGATGCCCTCCATGGCCCGCTAACTCCGCGAAGGAACCGGTGCGGCCGTCTCCCTGAACTCAAGACCCCCGAGAAGAATGCCCTGGTGGAATTGCTCCGTTCCGACCCGCTAATACGGAAGCTCCCATGGGCCGATTTGCGGTACTATATCCCGGGTTTCGAGCGTCACGGAGAGCGCGCCATCACAACGGCATTACGGTCCCTCGGTTGGAAAAGGATCGAACGGCGACGGAGCATTCACCATACCCAACGGCACCGGGCGAACCGCCTTGCCATTGCTCACGAGATGCTCCGACTACTACCCCGGCCGGAAGATTGGGGAGGATTTCCTTTCCTCTGATGAAACGTGGGCTACCAACAGCCATATGCGGAAGCAGTGGCTTACAATGCATGGCTCAGAGGATCCAGAAGCATGGGCTTCACTCCGTCAGAAATCCCATGGGTGGATGTTCTGGGGCAGTTTCGCGGGAGGCACCAAGGGTCCTTGCTTCTTCTGGGAGAAGGAGTATGGTGGCATCACGGCTGAGATGTATCAACAATTCATTATCCCATTGGTCCATACATTCATTGAGGAACAAAGGGCTCGAGGAAGGAACTTAGTTTTCCAACAGGATAACGCGTCAGCCCACTCAGCCTGATCAACCAAGACACTGCTGGGAGCTCTGGGAATTCAGGTGGTTAAATGGCCTGCACGAAGCCCAGATTTGAACCCTATTGGAAATGTGTGGTTTTGGATGAAGGATTGGATTGAACGTAACTATGATATTGAGCGGTTGGATCTTACTGGGCTTCGACAGGCAGTTCAGGCTGCATGGGATGCAGTCCCCGAGGATTTCTTCGATCCCTGGCCCATTCAATGCCAGACCGGTTGAAAAAGGTGATAAGAGGCCGAGGGCGGGATGATTCGGAACTGATACTTCGTTACAATAGAAAATATATGGCATTAGAAGTATATTAACTTTTTAAAGGCCCCTGACTGTAAGAGGCTTAGAGGGTGGGGCAAGAACTGCGGTAGGATTCATTTACCCCGGGACAGGTGTAGTAGACACACTAGATACAAACACCACCCGACCTCAAACCTCCCCGCCCAAAGATGCTCGGACTCGCCGCAATCGGAATCATCGCCTTCCCGCAGCCCGCCGGCGACAACACGCCCGAATTGTTCCACCCACCGCTCCACGGCGACAGGGCCAGGGTGTCGCTGATGCCGAAACGGACACTCACGCCCAGACCGCCCCGCTCACACCCGTCGTCATTGTTGCCGTTGTGCCAAGTGAGCCCGTACTGCTCGTCGGGTGTGTAGACGTCGACGAGAATGTGGATTGCCGAGGGCGGCCCGCCGTTCCAGGTGGGGTGTCCTTCAGGTGGTGTTGGTTGTGGTGGGGAGGGCCGGAGGTGGTGGTTCACTGGGCGTTTGGTGGGTGAACTTCGGGGGGGAGTTGGAGATGAGAGGTTGGTTTGCACGGTGAGTTTAGGGCGCGGCTGACTCAAGGTTCTTCTTCCGGTGCTTTGTGGTCGTGGGATTGTTGACGTTGATACGCTTGGCGGGAGAGTTGGGTGGTTCCTTGTCGGGTGCGCGGCGCCGGCAGGTAGAGTAGGCGAGTCGGCATATCCGGATGCTGCCGCTGGCGCTGGACCGTTGAACGGCCCATCTCCGTGGTCCTCTGCGGGTGCCGACGGAGCACCGGGCTCCCCGTCCACCGGCACCTCCGGGCGGTCGATAATTTTTCCAAACGGCGGCCTCTCGGTGTCAATGACCAGCAGCTTCTCGACGCCGCGGCCGAGAATGCCATACACAGAGACTTCGCCGTCCTTAATTCCCAGCACCGTGCTGCTGCCCGCATACGTCGCTTCGTCCTCGGCGCCGCTGCGGTTGGCGAAGACGACAATAGTTTCCTCGGAGTCTTTCGCCCGTATGACGGGTTCCAACCTCCGGACCCAGTAGCTGAGCGTACTCATATCTGGCGCATCGGGACACGACAGGAAGCTAGCTTGTTCGTCGTTGGTCAGCCACGCCGTCGACAGGATGACCAGGTTTGCTCGGATTCTGAGGACGTGGAAAGCGAACTCGTAGGCGTCCCATGGAGCTTCGAACTTGTAGGGGCTGGGTTGTCAGCACCTTGACGCACTCAGACCAGCCAGTGGCTTACTTGATATCCATGCCTGGAAGTGTCAGCCAGCTTAGTACTCAGAAAAAAACCGAGCACATACATATACCAATAGCGGCCTGCCCCAGGCTGCCCAGCTTCCCTCCATAGAAGCCCTGGCCTTCGCGGGCCCAAGTCGCGTCTGTGTAGTATAGGAAAGACTTGCGGTAATGAGCGATGTTCTCGCCAACGCTGTTAACAACGATAAGCGAGTTGTAGTAATCTGGCGCCGATGGCTGCTCTGCAATGTCCGCCTTCTCAGGGTACCCGACGGCGACGTTGCAGCGGTACTTGCGGGCGACAGTGCTCGCCCAGCGAGAGCTGGCGCCAGACCCCGTGGGTTCGAGATACGGCAGGATGTGTTGTTGGGATTTGAAGTTGTATCCTAATTCGCCTTAATGGCTAAGGTTCTCCCTTGGGGTATCTTGGGGTGTTCCATACCGCTGAACGCCATTTCAGGGAGGACAAGCAGGTCCAGGTTGTCCAGGTCCTCCGGGTCAGCCCTTGCAAGGACCTCCTCGGCGCGCGTGATGTTGTTAGACACGTCGCCTACCTTTGGAGCAAACTGCAGGCACCCGATTCTCATGTTTACGCCGGTTTGTAAGTGTGAAGTAGGCACTGGTAAGGATCCAAACGCGAGAGTCAAGCGATATTTGACGTTGAGTGGGATAAGATGGACCTGCAGTCGCCGATAGCGGTGCTCTCCGTGCCCCTCAGCTCTGTTCAATAGGTATCCAAGACAAGCAAGCACAAATCTACACGACGGTGGTGTCCCAAAATACAAGCGCGGATATTTTTATCTCGCCCCCCGGGACGCCGGCAGTGAAGGGCGAGGCGCAATTATGGCAGCACATCAACCAGGGCATCGGACAATGTCACGGTCAAGACTCAGTAAGGGTTGGGATGGCGTAAATGAGCGTATCGCCCTGTGAAAAGTGGTAACTTACCAGTTTATTCGTCGGGTGAATGTTACAAGCTAGCTCTCTAGTCAGAATGCCGGGCAAGGGTCCGGTTGAGCTTTTGTTATTCTCCTTCCTAATCTTACCCTTGATATTTACTTTTTCTTTTCTCTCTTCCATTTCCCGTTCCTATTTTAGACCTTAGCTCTCCAATCCCTTTCTTATAATGGTAAGCAGGACCTGCAATGTGCCTAAGGCAACCAGCAAACGCTCGGGGAATTGTATCGATCATCGACATCGTCACCGTTTCGCCCCGAGGTCGATTCTCATGACCTACTTCGACCGAGAGCGCCGCGGCCAAAAGCACAAACGGAGATTGTGGTACATTTCGCAGAGAAGAGGATCCACGAGAAGCGGGAAAATGCTCACCAGTACGTCGGCAGTCCAGCAAATCGGAACAGCCGGATGTGCAGTCCAATGAAGATGGCTTTGACGCCGACTCCCTCCGGACCACCGAAGGCCATTCCGTCCACCGTGACTAGCATATTGATCGGTACGGGGTGACCTCATTGCATCAATATTCAGGCCAAATACTCAAGATCAATGAGAGAACAGGACAGGTACTGTCTACCGCTCGACGTTTCCCTGCACAACAAAGTACAAGCATACTGTATCCTTCTAGTTCGTCCCTACGCGCAACCAGTCCAGTAGACAGGCTCCTGCTTCGAGTCCCCAAGCTGCTGGTTGCGACTGACCTGCTCGTACCCAAACCAGGCGGTTGTCCCGTTTGGCGCGCTGAACACAGAGTCAGACTTGCTTCCTGTCACCAAGGAATACCGGGGAAAGACTTACTAGCACACCGTCATGACGGCGCTGTCTACGGCGCTGTTGTAACCCCATGATATTCTAAAGTTAGCCTTGGCATCCTGGCCGCAGGGCATGCCGTAGAAACTGGCTGTCGGGCCGCTGTTGGGGATAGCCTGGGAGCAGTTCGCTTCCTGTCCGGTCTGGATGTCGAGGATGGAGAACGCCCAGTCGGTGGTATTCTGGTCCGCATTAGGGGCTGCGGTCATGTCAGTCTCGTCGCCTGCTTGACACGCCAGCGGAAAAAGGGGCCATACACCACGTTAGTCCCTTGACCTGCCACTCTTTCTCGTCCTCCGCCGCGCCTTTCTCTGCCCCATTCACCCCCGTCCTCACGTTCAATTGCCCGACATCTAACCCCCTCGACTTCTTGATTCCCATGCCCTGCCTCCCGCCCCTTTTTCTGACCATTCCGTCCACTACACCACCACTCGCAATCGTCTCAACCCCCTCATCCTTCCCATCTGCACCAGCATCGACGTCAACAAAACCAAACGACCCAACGTGATACGCATCCCCAATCTTCACCGCACCGCTTTCTCCAGACGAAGTCAACTCGGCCTCTCGAAACCCAAAGAACGCATACGCGTCCCGTGCCATGTCCGTCACGACAAGAGTGAGAAACTCGTCGCCCGGCACATCGACGTCCAACTCCCATCCGCCGTTGAGTCTGTACCGTCCCGTCTCTCCGCAGGCGACCGAGACAAAGTCTGATTTGCTCGCCGCTGATGCTTCCAGTTCAGCTTGTTCCGGCTGGCTTACTCTGGCGGGCGGCTGTTGAACGGAGGAAGAGGACGGTTCGGCGGCGATGAGGGAGGTGGTGGAGGCCGGGGAGAGGACAGTGAAGGAGCATGTTGTGATGTCGTCGTTGCGGGAGTTGTCGGGGTGGGTCAAGTAGGAGGTGGTGAGAGTCAAGGTGTAGGTACAGCTTGTATCCTGGGGATTGCATTCTGGATGGGATAATGTCAGTCTGTTATGTTGTAAGCTTCCCCCTTACCTGGGTGCGTGCGTACGTACGCCGGGTGAGGGCCGAGATGGTCCAGGAGCCGAGGATTTCGGCTGCGGTGAGGCCCGGGAGCAGCAGTTGGAGGCGGCGCATCGCGAGTTAGGTATAATGGGGTGTTCTCGTTGCGAGGTTGGCGATGGCTCGAAGAACAGTCTGAAAACGAAACGCCAGAGTATTTGAGGAGACGCGCTGTCTGGCGCTACTATGCAGGTCCGCCCGAGACACGGCAACATGGCGAGACTTTATATTTTCCAGCAAGAACGCGGCCCATTGCAATTTGTGGCCGTGCCAGCCGGCAACGGACGGTGACAGGAACGAGCGAGTTTGCAGAATCTCCAAAATCATGAAGATCATACCTCGTATCGACGGGTGCGACGGTGAGGCGAGCACAGAACAAGGGTGGCCTCTGGCACGCGCCTCAGCCAGACTATCTCCAGGACTCGCGTTGACCGAGGCTGTCAAACGGAGCTGGTACCTAGCATGTCTCGAGCAATTGCTAGCAGTGACCGGGAATCTCTTTGCATGTCTACGATGTCTTTCTGCCCTGCCCCTGTCCTCTAAGGGCGGTATCATTCAGAAGGGTCAGTGTCATGGGCAGGAAGCACAACCCACAGCTGAAACGCATCTATCCTTCTCGAGCGGAGATGACAAAGCACAGTAAGGTAGGAAGACGGCAAAGTGGTGCCTGATGTCGGATTGCTTGATCCTTCGATGTCTACAGGCCCTCGGAGCTGACGAGTCAAAGAGGCACCAAGTGGTCACATGCCATGCCCATACTCCATAACTATCAACGATAGCCATTTGATCGGAGAATGTGTGTGTGATACATCGATGCTCTCGCAAACATACTGCAAGCGAAGTGGTGTGGGCAGTACCGGCAACAGGACTAAAGAGTTGCTCGGAGCATCAGGGGATGGCGTGCGGCTTTCGCCCGACTTTGCCTTGCATGAGGCTCAGTTTCCTGTCAAGTCGTGGCCTTTCCGGTTGCTTGTGCAAGTTGACTGACGGCACAGGCGACCACGGGCCGTTGCTGGTGCCATGGCAGCACAACTTACTCGAGAAGAATGCCAGGTAGAGTGATACACGAGGGCTAAGAATCGGAGGTCCCGGACGGTCTGATTCTCTACATGACCGTTGGCTCCCAGCAATCCCAATATGCCATCGCCTGCTTGACGTCTTATGCTGATGTCTGGTTGTGAGACATTATATTGCTGCATGTCGGTCCTCGGCCGGCGCTGATTGAGCGGCAGCTGCAGGTACGGAAGAAGTGACAGCCGAGAACCGCTGCCATGTGAATGTGGCCATCCGGGACGAAACACTCTGTGTGAGGTAGAGAGAAGAAACCTGGCAGCTTGGAGCATGAACGAGCGGTACGTACTCCGTACAACGTCCATGACTGACTTGATGAATTGGCTGTTGATATAAGGCAATCGACACAGTTCCCAGAAACACCTTCGAAAGCAGCCATCCTGAGCTCGAAAGTACTGGGCAGGCCACCTCCCGAGCACCACCAAGAAGAAGACGACCTCGGAGCGAACCAATGGTGGGACGGCGAGACGACGCCAGTTTGGATGTTACACAAGCTAGGGCCGCGCCGCACCAGTACGTCTTGTCGGATTGGTCACACCCATTCTACGGCCGCAGACATCGTGCGGCCTTTCGAACCGGAGTGGCGACGGACGCCTCTGCTCTGCGCCGCGGGTTGCTGTTGCTGTCCAAGGAGAGGAAGAATACCTACACAAACTATCAAGGGCAAATCAGGCAAACGGCTGATAACGGCCGAGCTCGGCAAAGCTTGATCGTCAGTCCGGCGGGGAAAGCGGGAAGGGCGTTCCCGACAGAATGGTTCTAAGCGCCGGGCGACACCATACTAATGCAGCGTGTAGATGACCTGGCCACCCGCCAAGACTGGCTCTCTCCCTTCCACGTCAACGCCGACTCCATCGAGCGGGGCACTGCTTACGGCGTTGGTTATGAACGCCCCGGGACCGCCAATGCGTCACAGGCGACGGGAAAAATCGAAAACAAGTGGGATCAGATCGACGGCCAAAGGATTGAGGAGAAGCACGGAGTGTGTTGGCCCCCACTTGAGCGATTGGAAATTTCAGGGGCCTAAGTTGGGCAGGAAATCTAACAGAGAGGTGAGAAAGACATAGATCTGGTGGCGGCCGCAGTGTGCTTGGAAGCCTGACCCGGGCACACAGCATTTGGAATGGGCATGAATTCATCGACGAGAAAGTGGACGAGAAGCGGGAATAACGGTTGAGGATGTGGAAGCTTGTTTGCCTAGCCCCAGGCAATTAGCCTTCTATGGACGCTCCCGATTGGCTCCCGCTTTGAGCGGGTCTGCGCATATCGGACAAGGCTTTCGCTTGCCCAACCAGTCATAGCCCGCGGAATCTTCCGTTTGTCCATCGCTGCAGTTTATGCGCCCGCCAAACGAAACATCAGCGTGCTTCCATTGGCCGGGCGCTGATGGTATCCTGCCATCCGCCCACCACCTTCTCGTCTTGATGCAGAGGGCCGCGTCTGTAGCGGCACCTGATTGGTTTGCGTCTGCATCCGCGCCGTGCAAGGGCTGCCCGATGTCCCCGGGAAGAATCAAGGCTGCCTCTGCAGCCGACCCAGTGCGACCGGCGGCTTCAGACACAGTTGATCTCAAGTTTGATGGGTAGGAGAGAGATTGAAGATGATTGAATTCGCTCCAAGATGTTAACAACATGTGTAGTCATGCTATGCTCTCAAGGGCGGGCTACTTGTACTTGTCTAGCTTGAGGACATGTATGACTATCCCTTTCGCCGGTCCTCCTGGGCTTCTCAATTGCTGCAACGTGGTAAGCTGGACTTCCAGTTGTTTGCTCACAGTTCAGAGAGGACTGTGCAACCGGGCTCGCACCCGGTGGGCAAGCAGAACCAACTGCATACACACCAGCAGCTAGTCCTGGCTTGGCCTGGTGGCTGCCTTTCTTTTTGCCGGTAGCCCTCTTTATTACCATCTTCAAGCCAACGGTCCCATCCTCTTCTCGATCGCCCATGTTCGTTATTTTAGTTCCTTTGGGCGATCGATCTAGGTGCTCTGCACCATCCAATTCAAGATATCTGAGCCAGGCAGGGCTCGGTTGATATCGTTCAGTTCGAGGGTCTGGATGGAATCCGAGCTCTGAGAATGGCCTCAACTGGATCTCAGAGCATCCCGCGGGATGCCGAGTCCGGAGCCAACGGCAACCTCACCACTGGCGCCATTGCTGGTATAGCATGTGGCGCCGGTGCACTCTTCCTGGGCGCTGCTGGCTTGTTCGTCGTGTATTGGCGAAGGCAACGACAGTTTGACCGGGAAGACAACTCGGACGGGGACAGCTTTGACGAAAGGCGGCCACCAGGCAACATGGCCCCCGCCGTCGCTTACACCATGGACTACAAGATGGACGATCCCCAGCACCACGAAGGCGACCATACGTCTTCATACACCTACTCGCCCGAGAAGTCATCTTATACCTTCTCCCCTCTCGGCGCACCTGACGTCGCCAGCGCGATGCCAACTCACCCAGCCTACATCCCGCGGGCTCTGGTCCGAGGATCAACGACCCCGAGCAACCGCTCAACAGCAACCACCTCACCACCGCCCTTCCCAAGCCCCCCTTTTCCCGCCTCGTCCTCCAACTCCAAAACCCAGCCAGGCGATGTCGTCATGCAAGCCTACCGGACCGCCGCAACCGCGGCTCAACCCATCCAACCGCAGGACACCAACAAAGACAACGTCAACCTCCAAGGGGAACCCGACTACTCGCCTTCAAGCCTCCCAATTCAGCCAGCAGGACACCACCGCCGCCCAACCCAGATCCCCGCGGTGGCCATGGGCCCCTTCACATCCCCACCGCACTCGGCCTCCTCCACGGACGGCACCACCACCAGCACCAGTAACCCAACCCCAGCAAGCAAAAGAAAACCTCGCGCCTTCCCCCCACCGCCCCTGAATCTCCTGAACAACAGCGCCAACGATAAGCCCCTCTCGGGCAAGGAATCCACCACCATCTCGGGCCCGCTCGCTTTCCCCCAGCACTACCACCACCAGTACCTCACCGCGACCCAAGGGGCCAGCAGCCAAAACAACAACAATAGCAACAGCAACAGTAAATCCAAATCAGGCTGGACGCGTGAGGACAACACCATCACCACCAGCCCGGAAAACGACTTATTCGGTTATGACGGCGACGAGAGGGAAGGGACGCAGTCCCAGTCCGAGAGTCGTCGGACGTTCCGCAGTCGGTTGCGGGATAGCTGGGGTGCCGGTGGTGCTAGTGGTGGTGGTGGGAGTAGCAGTGGCGACAAGGGTAAGAAGCACAGCCGGAAGCGGTCGGAACGGAACAGCGGTGGTGGGTACGGAGGGGGCACTCGGCATTATGCTGAGATTGAGATTGGAAGGGGGAGCGATATCTGGTGATTTAGTTCTAGTGACGACGGTACGGTACGCACTCTTTTTGTATTACGTATAAGGATCTCTCGGGTTGGGTTGGTCGGTCCAAAGGCGGATATGGCGTTATGTGTTTGACACTTTTGGATTCGGGTCACCGATGGCTTCATGGTGGTAAGCCGGCTTCTGCTTCGGGAGTTCCAGGTGTACTTCATAAGGTACCTGATTGTCACAGCGCGTCCAGTGGGAGAATGGCCCACCACAAGACAGATCCAACATCAGAATAAATGCTCGGTGATGCGTATTCAACGACCATTGTCCTAACATAAACCATTTTACAATTCTCGTACAATTACACTGGCCTCCCCTCACTTCAGCCCAGGCGATGCCCAGAACCTCTCGTCTTCCACGCGTCGGGGAGCACCGAGCCGGTCGACGCACCTGTGCTGCCCGATGGCTGCGCCCCGGGCGGGCGAATGGCTGTGCCGTAGTCGCGTTGCAAAACCCTGGGAGTCTGCACGAGGTACGAGACGAAGGACGGAGTAGCCAGCAAATTCCGGCCCCCTCCAAACTCAGGCCACAGGCGCGAGAGGAAATCGTGCAGATGAGCCGCAATGATGCCCGTGATTTGTAGCGGGACCAGACTGGGGCTCATGAGCAGCGATCCGAGAAGCATGCAATACGGGACCGCCTGCGCCGGCACGGTGAAGAAGAAATACGTCGACTTGACACCGCGCAAATCCTGATTCGCCGTGTAGGCAATGGCAATGATAAGCCCATGGAGGAAGAAGTAGCCTCCCAAGAACACGCGATTGAGGAGCTATGCTTAAGGTTAGCAGCTTTCTCTTCTTGCCGAAAACGCGCCACCAGGCCTTGGACGTCAAATATGTAGGGAGCAAAAAAAAAACCACCCGAGCGAACGGAGAGCTTCACCCGGGCCATCCATAAGACATCCCACCATGCCCGCACGTCGACTGACCCTAAATGCGAATGATGGGCCGGCCGACACACGGGGGTGATCTTCCTCGTTTCCAGGAACCGCGATAGTTGGGAGAGCAAGCACTATGCGGGCAGATATACGAGGTGTCGTGTCTGTCGTGATCAAGACAACAGTAAATGAGAGGGACCTACAATGATGAAACCACCGACCGTCACCAGGTACCAAAGGAGGTCCTCCTTCCTCGGGAACTTGACGTTGGCTGTCTCCAGCTGCTTCAGGCTTTGGTAGGCTGTTTCGCGAAAGTCAGACAACACTCGTCGCCAGTAAAATTCGCCGGGCCGCCCATACCGAAGTAGGGGTCCAAAACGATGCCAATTTTTGGGGTACTGAGCAAGAAGGCTGTGGCCAGGCGCCATATCTCGGGCGGCAGCCGCAACAACCTGTCCTCGCTGAAGTAGATCCACGAGACCGGTAGCAAGCCAGTGTACACTGAAACCGACGTGACGAAAATGGCGGTTGCCAATGTGCGTGCCATTGGCGGCGCTGCCCAATAGGCATCGAGGATTTCCGACGACATTGTGTGTTTGTTGGAGACGTGAAAGAGATGGGAACGGCTTTTCGCTTGGTGTGGACTTGTCTCAAAATTTCCCGAGAAGCCTTCAACCCAGAACACGAAGACTCAGAAATACATGGCAGGGGAAGTTTGGAAAAGGTGTGATGCAGGAAGGCCCAGACGGGCCGGGAATGGAAAGGAATGCAGCTCCTAGGAGACAGATGGTGATTCGTGTTCTTTTGGAGCGTGTCAAAGGAATGGAAGGAGGAAGAAAATTGCAGCAAACGGGATTGTTTTTATGGGGGCAGCTGGTTGGTGGAGTAAACGGGGCTCCGGCACCAAGTTCCGGTCAGCCACAGTTGTTTTCAAGTTTGCTGACACCGCCGCAGTGGCTAGAATGGTACATTCCCTTCCACCCCTTCTCTTGTTTCTCAACAAAGTTGCAGAGAGGTGATCTATCAAAGTCTTGTGTATGCCGTCGCGTCGGTACATGAGAGAGTATGAGTCAAGGAACGGCATAAGCTTTTAAAAGAGGCTCTGGGTCTTGTTTCCGACTTCCTCTTGTTGTGGACTTTTTGCACTCGAGATCAGCTCCGGTGTCGCTTCACTTTCGAAACAAGCCGTGACTTTTTGAGTTTGTGACTCAAACCGCCAATTCGCCTGCTCCTTCCCAAACAGGATCGCAGACGGCTATGGCGGGCGTCACTGGGTGTCTTCTGAGTCAAGCGAGGCAATCGCGGGTACAGTTAGCCCATCACATTCGGACGACGTCTCGAGCCTACTCTGCACCCTCCAACGGCTCGATTCCCGCTGCCAAGAAGAAGTATGTCCCGACTCATGGCACGTATCCCATCGGCTTCCGGGTCTCGGGCACCATAGTAGGCGTCAAGCCCAGCAACACGACCAAGCCGGACCTGGCCCTGTTGACGTCGGATGCGCCGTGTGCTGCAGCTGCCGTCTTCACCAAGAATAAGTTCCAAGCCGCCCCCGTCACCTTCAGCCGCAGCCTGTTGCAGAAAAAGAGCAACCAGGGGATCCAGGGCGTCATCATCAACTCGGGATGCGCCAATGCCGTCACGGGCAAGGGCGGCCTGGAGGACGCCACCAAGATGGCACAGGCAACCGATAAGTGCATCGGCCAGGCCGACAGCACCCTCGTCATGAGCACCGGCGTCATCGGCCAGCGGCTGCCCATCGACAAGATTCTCGACAACGTCCCCGCCGCGCACAAAGCCATGGGTGGGTCCCACGAGCACTGGCTGACGGCGGCCAAGGCCATCTGCACCACCGACACGTTCCCCAAGCTCATGTCGCGCACCTTCAGCCTGCCCTCGTCGCCAGGCGTCGAGTACAGGATAGCGGGCATGACCAAGGGCGCCGGCATGATTCACCCCAACATGGCGACGCTGCTCGGCGTCATCGCCACCGACGCGCCCGTCTCGCCGGCTGCCCTGCCCTCGGCGCTCAAGTACGCCGTGGACCGCTCCTTCAACAGCATCACCATCGACGGCGATACGTCGACCAACGACACGGTCGCGCTGCTTGCGAACGGCGCCGCAGGCGGCAAGGAAGTAGCTCGGGGCACGCCCGACTACGACGCCTTTCGCGACGTGCTGACTGGGTTTGCGGCCGAGCTGGCGCAGCTGATTGTGCGCGATGGCGAGGGCGCCACCAAGTTTGTCACCATCCGCGTGACCGAGTCGCCCAGCGAGGAGGCGGCCCGCAGAGTTGCCAGCACGATTTCCCGGTCGCCGCTCGTCAAGACGGCGTTGTATGGCAAGGACGCGAACTGGTGCGTGTTGAACGTCTTAGGTACGGTATCGTGGTTTCACTAACACGTCTCAGGGGTCGCATCCTGTGCGCTACGGGATACGCGCTCATTTCTGAGCCAGGCCAGCCGATTAACGAGGTCCCTGAGATCTCCCCGGAAAAGACCAACGTGTCGTTCATCCCCACCGACGGCACGGCCGAACTGAAGCTCCTGGTCAACGGTGAGCCAGAGAAGGTCGACGAGGTAAGACAAGTTGCACTTCTTTGATAGTAACCAGCCACTAACTTGGTATAGGCGAGAGCTGCCGAGATCCTCGAGCTTGAAGACCTCGAGATCCTGGTCCGCCTGGGCATGGGTGACAAGCAGGCTACGTACTGGACCTGCGACTACAGCCACGAGTACATGTGAGTTACCCCACCCAGCTTTTCTTTGCCCGTTTTCTGATCTGGTTTACAGCACCATCAATGGCGACTACCGTACATAAGGGTTGTGCCGTGTCATTCGATGACCGGACTAAGTGCAGTTATAGATGGCCCAAGACAAGAGTAGAAATACACCTAAATTATCAATAATTTCTAGAAAGAACCTCAAATTGCATTCTACCATGTTCAGTTGGATTCTGTGATCTTAACCAGGAATATGAAGTAAGCAAGGCCGGTTGAATGCGTTAAAGGAGAGTCAGAAACCGAAGGGTTAGGGTTAGAGAGCACATTCTGAACCAATTTAAATCCCGGACCTACGCGTCGCGTCGCGTCGCGACCGAACCAACCTTGAAGGCTAACTTGAACGTTATTAAGAGCAACCACATAGTGTGTACTCAGACAGTTTCTCGCCACTCGATCACTACACTTCCGGCTCGCTGCATCAATCACAATGCCGACAGCAAGGGCAGAAGAGAGAGGCGAGTCGTCGACGGCCGCCTATAAGGCCCTTACCGCGAACCCAAATGCCAGTCCCACGTACGAGTTGCCATGGTGAGTGCATAATTGTGGCTGACCGAAAGAGACAAATGCAAGTGCTGACCATGTGTCAGGGTGGAAAAGTACAGGCCTGTTTTCCTCGACGATGTTGTCGGCAACACAGAAACGATTGAGCGGTTGAAAATCATTGCACGCGATGGCAACATGCCACACCTTATCATCTCGGGCATGCCCGGTATCGGCAAGACGACCAGTGTATTGTGTCTGGCGAGGCAATTACTTGGAGACTCGTACAAGGAGGCGGTTCTGGAGCTGAATGCCAGTGACGAACGAGGTTCGTATTTTGCTAGTTCCTTCCCCTGACGTAGACGCTGACGACCGTTTGCAGGCATCGAAGTGGTCCGGCAACGGATCAAGGGCTTTGCACAGAAAAAAGTCACGCTTCCCCAAGGGCGGCACAAAATAGTCATCCTCGACGAAGCCGACAGCATGACATCTGGCGCGCAGCAAGCTCTCCGGCGAACAATGGAGATCTACTCCAACACAACCCGCTTCGCCTTCGCATGCAACCAGTCCAACAAGATCATTGAGCCGCTGCAGTCACGCTGCGCCATCCTGCGGTACGCCAAGCTGACCGACGCCCAGGTGGTCAAGCGGCTGCTACAAATCATCGAGGCCGAGAAGGTCGAGTACAGCGATGACGGCCTGGCGGCACTCGTCTTCAGCGCCGAGGGTGACATGCGGCAGGCCATCAACAACCTGCAGTCGACGTACGCCGGCTTCGGCTTCGTGTCGGGCGACAACGTCTTCAAGGTGGTCGACTCGCCGCACCCGATCAAGGTCCAAGCCATGCTCAAGGCGTGCTACGAGGGCAATGTCGACTCGGCGCTCGACACGCTGCGCGAGCTGTGGGACCTGGGGTACTCGAGCCACGACATCATCAGCACCATGTTCAAGGTGACCAAGACCATCCCAACGCTGAGCGAGCATGCCAAGCTCGAGTTCATCAAGGAGATTGGCTTCACGCATATGAAGATCCTCGAAGGCGTGCAGACACTGCTGCAGCTGAGCGGGTGCGTGGCGAGGCTGTGCAAGCTGAACATGGACCCGAAGAAGTTTGAGCTGTCCAAGAAGTGAGCGTTAGATAAGATCAAAATCAAGATACCCAAGGAAGCTCCGTTGGCTGGACCTGGATCCCGAATGGCATTTTATATACAGTGCTGGTTATTGTACACATGCCTTAGCCATGTCCAACCCGCCTTCTTCAACCTCCCTTGTCGATCCTCTTAACTACCGTCCATGCTCGTCCTCGTTCTTCCCAAACTCCTTCTCAAAGCTTGCCCAATAAGCTTGATCCCTGGCCAGTCGCCTCTGCGCCCTTACCCGCGCCTCATACTGCCGTAGCCGTTGGTCCGCCTCGATCATGCTCCCCAGCACCATGCCCGACATCTGGAGGTACCTATCGCACGAAACCACATCCAATCAGCCCGGCCTTACCCAACTCCAGAAGCCTGCCAGGTGCCACTAATGAAGGAGTTAATGAACGTACACTTTGAACTGAATCGTCAGCCCCCGGTATATGGGCGACAGGGCGTAGCCGACGCCGCCGAGCAAGGCGCTCGCGATGCCCCACTTGACGGCACCGGATATGGCGCCGCGAGTCGCTTCCCAGGAGGCGTCGACTGCCTCATCGTGTTTGCTTTCGTTGATCGAGGGCATCTTGGTTTGTCCGTGTTTCCACTTTCCCCCCGTTTCTGGAGCAAGGGCCTCGACGAGTGAGGGAGGGTGTAGATGGCTGATTCGGCGGGATCACTTTACTCTCGGCATGCTATGGCGTCCTGGCGACAGGCTCTTGATAATTTATCAAGTGAGATATGGACCCTCTCTCGTCCAAATTGATTTGAGTCGAGTCCTGGGCCAGTATCACCTGTGGCTTCTGTCGAAGTTTGGGTTCCACAACAAGACCCTACCAGGTGCTGGTATTGGTAGTGACCATGCGCCGATAATTATTTGAGGAAGTTGAAAACGCAGCTGATGAGTCTCGGATTCCCCTTCCACTACTCAATGAGTGCGTGATATGACTGTGAAACCCCTTCGACCATCCCAATGATGATAGCCTGAGAATGAGATGAATCCGTCCTGGTATAGCAGGTTCGGGTAAAACGTCATACCACTGTGGGGCTGTCATCTGATATTCGGCATTGCAAGAGACGAGACTGTCCACACGCTCAACGACGGAGGTGTTTTTGTTTTGAGAATTGCCCTTTTTACTCTGATTAGTTCTATAATTTCACTTTTGTCCATTTTCCTACCACATTCCTTTCCTCTTCCTTCTTCTAGTTCAGAAGTATGATTGCACTACATATACCACCCCGCCTGGGAGCCGTGCCCATAAGTGGAAAGTTTATAATATAAACGCCATCTAATCCCATTTCGCTCTTTGTCTTTAACGGTTTGACAAGGCCACCATATCCAGACCTAACTTCCCCTCATACACTCAGTGTTCCCTTCGTACTCGGCACCTCCCCCTCCCTCCCCGCGACCCTGCTTGTCGCCTGCCTCACGGCGACCGCCAGGGCCTTGAACGCGCTCTCAGCCCTGTGGTGATCGTTGTCGCCCCGCAGGCAGTCGACGTGCAGCGTGACGCGGGCAGCCTGCGCGAAACTTTGCAGGCAGTGCGGGATCATCTCGGTGCTGAGGTCGCCTATCTTCTCGCGCTTGAGCCCAAGGTCGATGACGCTGTACGGCCGGTTCGACAGGTCGACTACCGCCCGGCTGAGCGCCTCGTCAAGCGGCGCGTAGGCGTACCCGAAGCGGGCCAGGCCCGTGGGCGTGCCGAGGGCCCGGGCGAAGGCGTAGCCCAGCGAGATGCAGACGTCTTCGGCTGTGTGGTGGTCGTCGACTGTGTAAAGAAGATTACTGTTAGGTTCGTGGCGTAAGACGCGGGGGAGAGGCGAGCAAGGACTGACTGTGCAGGTCGCCTTTGCAGGCGAGCGCCATACTCCAACCGGCGTGCTTTGCAAGGGCATGCAGCATGTGGTCGAGAAATCCAATGCCCGTGTTGATGCTTATAGTTTGCGACTTGCTCGACTGGGAGGCATGGCTGTCGGCGCCGTTCACTTGCAGGCGCGGATCGGTGTCTGGCGGGAATGCGCCGCCGTCGAGGTTAAGGGCGATCTGGATCTTAGTCTCGTTGGTGTCGCGCGCAAAGGCCGCCCATCGGGGTGCGGGTTGAGACGAGCTCATTGTAGGATCCTAGAGGTACAGAGAGGTCTAGAAACAGCGTTATGTTTCTGCCAGAGTTCAATTGTCGCGAACTGTTGGCGCCTCTTACCAAATTTTAGCCTGGCACCGCGATCGACAGTGACAAAGATCAATGACCCCGCGCGAAGATGTTGCCTGCCGGGAGTTGCTGCCCGCGGACCCCTTGGAGAGCCCCACCCAGATTAGCCCCGATAAGGGACTGTCCCCGAAATTTTCTGAGCTCCATTGCATGTGGAAAAAGCCACTGCAAGGCGAAACAACGACAGCTCCCCATTAGGTACCACAGCCAACTTGACCAATGGCGCCCACACGCACAATAAAGAACAAGCACGCCGGCAGCAAAACAGGCGGCGCGGGCGGCGGCAAAAAGCCCTCGTCAGACGGCATCTCCAAGACGAAAAGCCGATCAGGGGCCAAAGCAAACCTCCCCGCAAAACAAGTTAAGGGCCGCCCCAACTTGCCAGGGCTTGACAAGAGCAAGAAGAAGAAGAAACCAATTTACACCGACAAGGAGCTGGGCATCCCAGAACTGAACATGGTCACTCCGGTGGGCGTGACCAAGCCGAGGGGGAAGAAGAAGGGCAAGGTGTTTGTGGATGACAAGGTTCGTTTCACCCCCCACGCATTACACTCTTCCCCCCTTCCACCGCCCAATTCAGTCATCTAACCATTTACGCCTTCTACAGGAAAGCATGACCACGATACTCGCCCTCGTCCAAGCCGAAAAGGAAGGGCAGATCGAGTCCAAGTTGATGCGGGCGCGGCAGATGGAGGAGATCCGCGAGGCGCGGCGGATCGAGGCGGAGAAAAAGGAGGCGGAGCGCAAGGCCAAGCTCGAAGATACCAAGGAGTCGCTGCGGAGGAAGCGAAAGCGGAATAAGGACGGTAGTACCGGCAAGGGACAGCACGAGGAGGAGAGCATCGCGGAAGTTGCTGCTACAGGAACGAAGGCGGCTAAGGCCAAGAAGAAGAGAGTTTCGTTTGCGCCAGAGTGAGGTTCTTACTTGGGGGTTTCTTGGTTTGTAACGGCGTTCATCTGCATGGCGGGCGTCTGGCGTTTCTGAGGGGGGCGGCTATAATGGGATTGTATCGGTTCGGGTTTAGATACCATACAGGGTCGTCAGCGGCGGTTTTCCTTGTCCTGGCAGCTATCTGTCTACAGTCAAACAGTCGGATTTAAGGGGTTTGTCTGCTGTCAAGCCCTGAAACCGGAATTTTATGTGTATTTGCATATGTGAGGATTGTCTAACTATGAGTCTAGCCTAGCCTATGCACATCATCGCGACTGTACCTGTATGCCGTCTATTTCTATATTCACGCAATACTAACCCAGTTGCGCAAACATATCAATTCCTTCCGGTCAGTTGTCGATGACTTGCAACTTCCGCCTCATCGGGTCAAAGTTGGTGACGAACTGGTACTTGCGCCCTGCTCCGTTGGCATTGGGCGTAATAGAATCGAGATCGATTTCGGTTGTCATTTGTTTGAGGAAATCGCAGATCTAATTCGAGTTAGGACATTGTCTGATATCACAGATGGGCATCACGTACCGGTTTCGCGTGCCACCTCCCGCCGCCAACCTCAAACCACGAAAGGTGCCCGCCCAGTGAGGTTGTGAGTAGGACTGTGTACGGATTCTGCTTGAACTCTTCGAAGGGAATGGCGTCAAACACTGCAATCTGTGGATGGGTAAGCAGGGGTCCGGTAATCAGGGGTAAGGGGGCCGCCTACCGGATCATCCAGGGCCGAGATGGCAAGGAAGGGAATCCTGATGGCGAGGACTGCATCTGATGATGAAGCGTCACGGTAGTAGGCATTCTCGGTCGGGTAACCCCAGGTCACAGTCCTGGCGACGCCTTGTTAAACAATTGACTCGACATGCATGGAGTTTTTGGATATGTACTAACTGTACTTCTCGGTCAAACTCATGCAGAAAGGTCACGTTTTGGATCTGGTCGAAGTTCAGGTTTGTGTGCGTAAGCACTGCGTCCTTATGGAGGTTGATGAGCTTCTTCATATTCGCTGTAGCATGTTAAAATCCTTCCTCAGCGGTGCTGTTATGACGCCAACTTACTCCCCATGACGCGCGAGTACACCTGCTTTCCTAACAATGTCCGTTGGAGAGCCTTGTTGGCAACTTCCAAATCAAAGGGGTTGCCGACGGCGATAGCACCCTTCAATGGGCAGCTCGCGCCCTCCTCGCCAACATACTACGGAGTGTCATCAGAAGGATCTGCCATTACCATCCATGAACGACAGACTTACGTTGGTCAGAATATTCGCGCCCAGCGAAAACCCAAGGCCGAAGAGAGGCCGGTTTGGGAACGTCCGTCTCGCCCACTTCACAATCTTTTCAACGCGTCAGCATACTCCCGTGCTGGTTGATCCATATCGGGGGTGCACGAACCTGTCGGACATCCCAAGTGGCCCTGGCATTGAAGAGAGTGCCGCTTGTCACCTTGCTGTTGGCGCACCCACGAGAGTTCACTACACAGATCTCCCAGTCTCCTCCATCCATTACCAGAGGGGCAATGGAATGACGGAGATAGATCTCATGGGATCCGCCTGACAAGCCATGAAGCACGATGAGCATGGGCCTGGTGTCGTCTGACCCGATCTTGGCGAACTCTTCTTCAGAGAAGTAGGAAGTCCTTGGAGGCAGGGACTCGTCGACATCTTGGTGCGGGTCGACCACAAAATCGACGGCGAAGGTACCGGTATACGTCTTGTGGTCGGCATCGAAGATCCTTCTGCGGTAGTAGATGGGCGGCCCGTGCTGCTTCACAGCAGTCCACATGGTTTGGAGATGACCATTGAAAAGCAGCGGGTTGAGTTGGCATGGAGGAGTGCTTGCTTCGCACACTGTCGGCAAGTCTGTCGCAGTGCCGTCTTTCCTTCGCAATGGCAACGGCGAAGGTGAGTGAGTGAAGGCGATCTTAGCACGGCCAAACCAGTCCATGGCTCTGGACAGGCGGGTAGCCCAGGTGACAGCTAGAGGACACTGGTTGATGGCAAGAAATCGCAACCGCGGAGACGGGGTTGAGGGGACGATCGGTTGTTGATGAGTTGAGTCGGCAACAGAAAGTATTAATAACAAAGACGAGCAGCCGTTCCTGGTTCAGACGGAGCCGCCCAGGACTTCAACGTTTGTGACAACAGCGGACCCGACACGGGGAAATGATGTGCGTTTGTCAAATTCGCGCTGCGTTTGAATGTCAAACGGTTATAAGAACGATTTCGAGGATACCAAAGGTCTCACAATGGCCAAGAGAGGCAACCCTGAGAACGAACGGAGAGACGAAACAGGAATATTTATTTTCAGTAGAAAGTACATCCATCAGTTGACAACGGAGTAGACTGAAATATATTCTTAACAAAACAGCACAGAACAAAACTGAAAGAATACAGTGGAACGAAGATCGTTGTCGGAGTTCTTGCCGCTTTGGTTGGGGACCTGGCGCCTGCCGAGGTACCGTATAATGTATCGGGATTCGGTGCAGGTGGGGCATCCCGGAGATCGGGCTTTATCACCGCCGACGGCCCACTTTTGCCAAGAGTCAGATATGCTTGGGCCTCGAGGGCCTGTTTGAATTGGATCCACCATTGCAAAATGTCTCGGCGCACGGATCAGGTTGTGGATGGGTAGTGCTGCATGGCGCCTTCCCCGGCTTCGCTGCATGCAGGTGAGCGCTGATTGTGCCGCGAAGGCGCGTGCTAACGGACGGTACTATTTGGTCTGCCGCGTTTCCTCCACTTCAGCTCCATACCCATGCCTTTCTTCTCGTCGCTGGCCAGCGGGCTGTTCCGACAAATACGGGATATCGCTTGGCCCTCCGACAGGATGCCTCCAGGGGAGGCATACGGCAGCCAGGGCCAACATCAGCAGCAGCAGCATCAATTATTCCAACAAGCGGTGCACCAAGCCCAGCAATTCGAGCACCAACATGGGCACCCGGACCAACACCAACAACACCACCCATCGCTGCAGCATGGCCCGCAACCGCAAACACTTCTACCGCATCCACAGTTCGCGAATCCATATCCCAGCGGCAATCAGCAGTATCAACATCAACATCAGCCGCAACCGCAACCGCATGTGCAATATGTCCATCCGCACTCGGCATATGCCCAGCAGTCCGCCCAATTCTACACCAGCGCCGCTCCGCAACAGCAGTATCCGAACTACAACAATGGCGCTTTCCAGCAACCCGCCACCCCTATCCAACCAGCATCGGCACCTATGTCTGCTCAGATGCAGTTCGTCGATCCGTCCTACCTCCAACAGGCACCCTTGCCGAGCCCCCATAGCAATGCTTTCCCGGCATCACATCCACAACAGATTGCCGCGATGAGTGTCCCGGTCCACCGTGCGATCCAGCCGCAGGCGCACCGACCAATGCCTCTGAAGGCGAGTCCGAAGCTGGAAGAAAGCCGACCTCCCTCTCGCGGCACCCCGAAACTACTTTCAAAAGAACCGAGGCGCCCGAGTTCGAGCGCTGGAGTCACGAAATTGCCGGCCACGTCCCATGCAGCAGCCCATGTCGAGACGCTCCCGCTTCTGCTGCATGTGGCTGAGGATTGCTTCGAAAAGGCCAACGCTGCGACCCACCAAGTCGCCAGGTCCATGACGCCGAGCGAGGTTGCTGAGCACCACAAGTTGGTAGCAACAGGCTTAGCGTGTCTGGATGTGGCACTGAAGTCGAATAAGTTATGGCCGCGGCTCGAGGCTCGGTTATGTCTGCGCTATACGAGCATATTAATTGAGGAGACTACCAACGTTATGGAAGCCGAGACGACGTTGACGAGGGGTATCTCGGTTTGCGAAAAGGTAGAACGTCTGCTTGCCAATCCAGGGATACTCTAGCTGACTTGGAGCTCAGCACCGTTTCCTCGATCTCAAGTACTGCTCCCAGTTCCTCCTTATGAAGACGCTCTTTCAGCGGAATCAAAAAGCGGCCTTCAAATCAATCGAGAGTCATATCGCGGACTGTACAACGTACGCCATTCCGATCGGCTCCGTCTGGTTTTTGGGTGATGCTGACAGCTTTCAGCTACAAACATGTCCCATGGATATACGCCTTCCGCTTCCTGAAGGCGGCATTTCATCTCCAGTCCGGGACGGCCGCCGACAACCACGCCATAGAAAACCTGCGCAAAATCGCCGGTATCGCAAATCAGCGTGGAGACAGGGCCATCTTTGTCGTGGCTATGCTGCTTGAAGGCCTTGCCCACCTCAGCACTATGAAGGACGACTGGGCTACCCGCGTGCAGATGTGCATCGCTCAGGTTTCCAAGCTCCAGCTCGACGAATCCACCCGTACTCCCCAGACCGATGTATTGCTACTGCTGCTGGACTTGGCGTGTAGCCTGCACCAGAAAACCCACCACATATCGGCTCAGAAGCTAAACACGCTCCAACGGAGGCTGGAAGAGCTGAAGCAGTCGCAAGACTGGTCGCCACAGTCAGGCGAGATGATGTTGCCCATCAACTGGACGCAGAACGCACAACAGATAATCAGCGCCGACACGAGCGCAGTCCTGCGTCCCGGTGAAGACGGCGTCGACTATCTGATTCTGTCGGCATTAGGGAAGCAAGAAGCATGGGCTTTAGCGTAAGTGTCTTCGTCTAGTCTTTGGAAGCAGAGCCCTGACCATGCACTAGATATGCTTTCAATGGTATTGTAGCTCACTACAAAGCCTCGACCCCGGGCCGTAGCTCAGGCATGTGGGGAGAAGTTACCAGGTTATTGGAGGGTAAGACTCGTTCACTTTCCTGGAATGCGCGTCCTCTGACTCGATCACAGACAGCAAGCCTTTGGCATCAGCACAGAGCCTTCCTGAGGCCCTGAAGCAAGCAGAGTGGGCACGAGAGCTCTCCTGCTACGCGCACATCCTCACCGGGCTTCAGGCCTCGACCTTGTCCGATTGGGCAAAGGTCAAGACATGTTTGCAGGCCGTCGAAGAAAACGAGCCTCGTTCAGAATTTCTCAGTATACTGGCATTTTACCTTGAAGGGGTCTTTTACCAAGGCACCGCAGCGCTCGAGAAGGCAATTGCAATCTGGAAGGACAAGCGATTCGACATGGACTGGAGCGGCGCGCCGAAACCCGGCGCCAGCCGCATCGAGACGGAATTGTCCATCCTCGCCGCGCTCAACCGGCTCTGGATCATGCAAGAGCCCAACCAAACAGACGACGCCGAAACGGCGGAACTTATCGAGCTGCTCCGCCCGATCTGCGAGGACAATCCGGACCAAGAAATACGCACCGTCTACAACCTTGTCTTATCTGCCATCCGGATGAACCCGCCGCTTTCAATCAACCAGATCAAGCGGCACATCCAGCAGTCGTTGAGCGGCGCCCAGCAGACGAGCAACACGCAGTACCTGTCGATGGCACTCAACATCATGCGGGCTAGGTTGTTTGAGAATGTGGTGGGCGAGCAAGCGCTCAAGAGCGCCAAGGCTGGCTCGGCGCAGGCGCGCAAGAGTGGTAATGTGCTGTGGATGAGCGTCGCGGACGGCATGCTAGCGCAGTCGTTTGAGATGCAGGGCGCGCTGGCGGAGGCGAAGGCCACGCACGAGGCCGGGGTGCGGCTGGCGAATGAGGCTTTCGCGAAGACGCAGGTATGATTTAGGGCTGCTAAGGTATGTATTAGGATGAGCCGTCCTGGCTTGTGTCGAATGGGAGAGGGATGATCCAAGTACTCTGGGCTGGGATTTGGCATGCTATGGCGCATGGGCATCATGACCGGCGTGGAATGGGACTAGAGGGATGTCGGCGCTTATATCTGAAGTATACCCTATGGTATTTGCCACTGTAACTTGCCATTTGAATCGAGAGGCGCATGTCATGTTTGATAGCTAGGTCAGCATGGAGGGACTGTCATGGTTTGTTGATGTTTGTTCAGGGGCCTTTCATGAGCGTCGTTGAACCAACCAACGGGCTTAGCTACCTTATCGATAGCATTTACAGCTGAGATCCCTGCACCGATTTTCCATCAAACATTGAACCAGCCTCACCTTTGAAGACGAACATACTGCCTTTCTCACCTTGTTACCTCAACTGTTGTAGCGCCAATATTGCGCGGCAGTATACCTCCACAGACTGGCAACAAACGACCATCACACGCAAATCCAAAATGTCCTCCGAAACCTCACAACCACGACCACCACCCTCCTCCGCCCAATCCCCCTCGGAACCACCGCTCCCTACCCCAAATTCGATCACTCACAGCGCGGCCATTGCAATGTCAATCATCTGCCCCATCGCCCTACTCCTCCCGACCCGTGGTGGCCGCGCGAAGTCGACGCTGCAGAACGCCGTCCTGGGCGGCGCCGCCTTCTGGGGGTTCAACACGCTCGCGCACAATTACACGGGCAAGTCCATCACCGCACGGTCCAGCGAGCGGTGGGCGGCCATGTTTGGCTTTTCATCATCATCATCAACGACACCTCATGACAAGGACAAGAAGATGGAAATGGAAATGGGGAAGAAGGGGGACCTAAGGGTTGGTCTGACGGGTCATGTGCCTACGGAGCGCGCGGCGAGGAACAGGGAGTTGATGGAGGCGGAGCGGAAGAGGAGGGCCGAGGCGGAGGGGAGGGAGTACACGCCCAAGAGACAGGCGGGGTGGTTTGAAAGGTGGTGGATGGGTGAGGAGACGGAGGGGTGGAAGGAGAGGAGGTTGGAGGAGGAGAGGAGGGCGCTCGAGAGCGGGAAGGGTTATGGCGGGTTGATTATGGATCAGATTAGGGAGGTTTGGAATGGGGAGAGGAAGAAGGGGGGTCGAGATGGAGATGGGGAGGATAAGGGGAAGGAGAAGTGATTACTATGATTTTAGCGGTGAGCGTCAGTTGGAGCCTCAGGAGAGTGTGAGATGGATAGGCGGAATTGTCGCGAATAGGTTGTGTGATTAAGAGTGTATCTTGGATTCTATCTGCTTGTAGTTCTATGGTCAGCTGTCATGAGGGTAGCGGTCGCTATGCTTGCCCTCTGACTGACTGCTGCATCTCCTTTCAAGTTCGTCGATAGGACCTTGACTCTGACTTTGTCCGCCCGGTATCAAGGTGGCAGGTTTTTTTATCAGCTAGCGCTTTTTCCCTTCGCGCTTGCTCCTTCTCATACGCATCAGGCGGCGCGAACAGCTCCCGCTGCTCCTCTACAAAGAGTGCGGGGCACCTTCTTCTGGTAATGGGATTTTTCCAGTAGATTTCGGGTCTGGGAGGTCTAGCCCTGCTTGTTGATGTAGCCGGCGGCGATGGCGGGCGGACGGCGTCGGGTAAGCGCCATTTCTCTCTGATCTTGCGTTCTTCCCATTCTGGCCCTCGGCCTAGGCGTAGCGGTGCGGTGTGATAGATGGAACAGGAATTCGGGAGGGAGAGTGGGCGGCGTTCGGCCGCTGCGGCGGACGATAATAGAGTTATTGGAGGTCGAGCGAGAGCCCCGCGACAGTAGAGGGCCGGGAAATGTCACATTGCCCGGTTGTGGTCGGCGTGTTCACAAGTGTGGGACGGGGAACTGTCACTCATTATAAGGCGACTTGGACTCTGGATTTGGAATTTAGATCGGGTTTTACGAAAATGGATTATCAAACAAAGTCCCTAACTTAGCTCAGGGTAGGTGCCTTAGGTAGTCAGTCCCGAGGGCCTTGACGGCAACATTTGTGACACAGTGACATTCAAGTTGGCAGCCAGAGTTGCTATGCTAAGACAGATAGATATTGACATTCCACCAGTCGGCCAGGCCTCTGATTACCTTAGCCTCCAAGTTCTACCTAGCCTCCCGATACAATTGGCTCCAACTCCATACCCCCTATCTCCCTAGTTCCCCCTAACCTCTCGTATGGCCAAGACCCTCCTCGCCCACATGTCAAGGCAAGCCAACTCGACGACGACCAGGATCTTCTTCAAAGGATTTAGGGATAATCGCAAACTGTCCTCTTCTATTCAAGTCCTTCACACCTCTCGACATCGGATAAAAGGAGGGTACAGCCGCTTCCCGACGCAAGTTACGCAACTCCACGTTGCAGCATACTGGGGCTTACAGAAGCTCCTAACCGTCCTCTGTCAAAGGGCCATTGACATTAACGGTCAAGACAGCTATGGAGCGACTGCGCTGCAGTTGGCTGCCCAAAATAACCACAGCCAAGGAGTACGATTACTGCTTGAAAAAGGAGCCAAGATCGACCTGCGCAATGGTAAAGGCGAGACGGCTGTAGCCTGGGTGAGCAGACACGGCCACCTAGCAATCGTCGAACTCCTTATTCAGAGTGGAGCAGACGCATTAGTGGAGGACAATGAAGGATGGACAGCGCTCCACTGGGCTATCATGGGCGGGCATAACGAAGTGGTGAAGATTCTCCTTCAACACTACGCCGAGATGGGTAGGGGGAAGTGCTGAGAGAAACAAGGGGCTCATCCTTGTCGCCGAGGCGGGCAACGAAGAGATAACGCAAATGCTCTTAGATGGCGCCGCCGACAGAGACTGGAGAGACGAGGAGGGGAGCACAGCACTGACCTTCGCAGTACCCCTTGGGCATGAGAAAACGGTACATTGGGCCGCCCAGGAAGGGCAAACTGAAGTCATGAGCATACTTGTCCAGTTCCGCAGCAACGTCAACGCGAAGGACAAATTCGGATTCACACCGCTCCATACTGCAGCCCTCAAAGGATATGAGCCTATGGTGCAACTTCTGCTGGAAAACGGGGCCGATCCTAATAAGAAAGACGACGATGGATGGACGCCACTCCACGCGGCGGCCCTGAAGCAGCACGATGGCATATTGAACCTACTACTCGACAAGGTGCAGGATGGACAGGAGGTACGTGAACAAATGATGCTACGGCTGGAGGGTGGAAACGAACGAGACCTCCCGCCCAAGAGAAAAGCAAGCTCAGCACCTCGGTCGTCCTCGTCTTGATGGACCCAGCCAGAATCCCTGCGTAGGTCGCAATCTCGACCGTAGAACCAGCCGCACGGGATATCTAGAAGTGGCGCCGTGGATAGCGACGTTTACTAGGAAGGGCCATGCCGCTTTTTTTAATTGGGGTAAGACTTAAATCACTGGAGATATCCACTTACTACATACAATAAGTCAAGGTCCACTCACCGGCTGTGGTTAGCGGTTAGGGTCCGGAAGGGTGTGACGAAGAACTGGCACGAAGGAGAGAGCAGCAACAACATGGCGAGCTTTGTCCAGTTTTCAGCGTCATCAATTCCGGAGACGTGGTTTGGGAGAGGAGACATGCTCAAGTCCTTATACAGAACAGCAGTCTGAGGGATTGGTTGGCTGGCACCGGCCATTTGCTGCGCGATGCCACCGGTCCGCACCTGGAGCTATCCTCGAAGGTACGAGATATGATCGCTCCATTTTCAGTTTGCCGTATCTCAACTTAAGGACAATGCAATACTCGAAATCGGGGTTAGATAATGTTGACTATTACGGAGCCCTTGTTGAGCCAAACGATCTTGTTTTGGCGGTCAATTTCGATTGCCGCCCTGGATCATTAAATACTTTTCCAGCCGATAAACAACCTCGAGATGGCCGCCCCGGGAAGCTGCTTGGAGAGTTGCAGCTGTGGCCTGAAGCGAGCAGTCACCTTCGAGAAGAATATCGAGCAATTCGATTTCACCTTGAGCTGCTAAACTCCACATTTCTGACGTTTTTCTGGGTCAGATATCCCGCCGTAACTCTCAATAAGACGTATGAGAGCGTAGTGGCGTGATTGTAAGCTCCAAGCCAGTAGGTCTGAGTCTAGAGCGTTGAACTTTTGCTGCTCCAGATCTGCCGCGGTGTCGGGGTTCGCAGGAGGTTGCGGGCGGGTGGCCATCGTGTTGGAGACAATCGGCTAGTGGGTAGGAGCTACGTAATGTCACGGCGGGACAGGCGGACAATCCAATGACAATTGTATTCGGGCTAAACTACAGTCTAAGCTCTATTCCGTCAGGTACGGGCAGGCTTGATTGTCAAGACGTAGCTCGAGGAGCTACGAACAGATCTCGCGGCAGCGAGGGGCAGAATATTTAACCCACAGGGGCCCGTGCTTTCCACATGCCGGGTTCCACCCGTGGGTCCTAGCAGGCACGGCGCAATCGCCGTGACAGCTGGCTCCGAGGCGCAAGGAAAAACCCTGTACGCGGGGCAACGCACAGACCAACCTGCAAGCTCTACTCCAGGGCTTGCAGCTCTCAGGTGCAGCTAACCCTAACCCTAGCTACGACACGTCACAGGACCATCCTGTGACAAAAGTCTTCGATCGTCAAGGTCCATAGGGTCCATGGCCGCTAAGAAAACGCATTAGTTAAAGAATAAGTTAACGTTAGCCTTATCATGTAACGGGCTAGGCCCGGTGTGGGCCTCGGCGGCTCTCGGCCAGCACCAAGACCCCTGGCAGAGCCATCCCCCTGATGAAGCTATTCCCACTCGCCCCACAGCACACCGAATCCTCTAGCAACGCGCCCAGACCAGCGCGCCTACGAGGATAAGTATGCTCACGAGCTATAAGAGTCTCTTGTCTTTCCTTTTCTTCTCCAAGTTCAGTGTACTCGTAGAGTCGTCACCAGCTAGTTGCAATATACTCCTGGGACCGTTACAAATAGTGGAAGGTCCGGCACGCCCTAGGGCATAGCGGTATAGGAATAATAATAATATTTAGATAGGGTTACCTTAGTTCTCCAGCAAAATTATATAGTGTAGCTAGGTCACTCCGTCTAGTTTAAATCAACGTTACTAACATCAGTTCAATTCAATATGCCCGACTAGACTCCTTGGCGGCTGGTTGGTTCGGCGATTTTGGAGCCCCGACGAGTAGTCCGTACGACCTACATTATCCGCTGTTCAACCACAACGCCTGGCCTGCCCCTCCGAATCCAGGTCAGCAAAGCGTTACCCAACAGGAGCTGATCTCGCAGTCACGCGCCGGGTATTTCGCGGATGCTTCACTTGGGAGGCGGAACGATGAGTGGCTGGCTCGACAAGGCGCCGCTGCAAATGTCACACCAGATTCTCGTCGGCGTCAAACTGCGAAGCCTTGTCTTCACCAGATGATGTGGAAGTTCTGCTGGGGGATGTTGCCTGGCGGAGCGTAGGCCAACAAAGTCACGCTGCGTTGAGCCATGAGCACCTCATGCAGCTGCCCTGTGCCCTGCGTTGCACATTCACTGGCGGGAGAACCCTCCTGTTGGACACGGCATTTGCGACCTGCATAACCGTCCGGTCAGCCAACTTCGACACCCCTGAAGCGGGAGCCGGAGGAATGCCACACCCTCGTCTCGGCTTGACCAGCTCGACCAGCAAGGGAGCGAAGAGCCAAGAAGGAAAAGAAAGATCCACGACAATCGCTCGGCGCGGGGTACGGAGTACGGATACAGTCACAGCGAGGAGCCTCAACTTGGTCACCTGTCTCAGCCCAAGGCTTCTCGCTCGTATTTTCATTTGTAAGGGGTGCCGCAGATCATTCTTGATCCGCAAAGGCACATGCCGCACTGTCGCTCAAAATCGAGCATTCCATGCTTCATCTTGCAGTGGCCGGGTACTGCTCCCTCGCGCTGTGGACTCGATCCAAAGGCCCAGACACGCCACGCGGATTCCAAACTGAGACGCGACCAGCAAACGTACTTTCGTAACGTTATTGTAATCATGATGTGCAAGGTGCTGCCCCAAGGTGCCGTGTGCCGTATCGGTCACCGTGTTCCTACAATCAGAACAGGTTTCACAATGCCCCGCTCGTCTTTCGCGTCATTCGATTTTGCATGGCCCAGGTGTTCCAATTGCAACCAACCGGAAAAGATCGGGCCACCCAGACATCCCCTGGCCTGGGCTCACTTCTTGGCGCGAGATTCGAATGGGTCGGCGGGGCGAGCCAGGGTGACTGGAGCGGCCATCTGATCAATCAGAAACCGCAATCGCCGAATCTGGGGCGTGATGTGGCTGGACGAGTGGAGACGCGTTTCTGCCCACATCAGCTCCCTTCCTTTTCTTCTTCTGGCCAACTTCAACCCGGCTCCCGTTCGGCGGCCCAACCAGCAGCCAGGGCCAGCGAGGCCGAGACGGCGGCCATGTCTTCCGTTTGCGGCAAGTCACATGTTCCCACAGGGCTGCCGCCCTGCGGCTTGTCCTTCCACGATCTGATCTCCGTCCCCTACGGTAGTCGTGGGTAATAAACTCCGTAAGGCACTCTCCTCCACGGACGACGGATCATTATCGCGGCCAGATAAGCCAATGGAAAACGAGAAATAAATGGAGAAGCAAGGTATAGGTATACCAGGAGAAACATGGCCTTGGGTGAGCCGGTAGGTAGATTCAGCAAAGGAACGACATGCAAAAGTGTATAGCACCGCCCAAGTACACCTGACAAACGCATCGAGACATCCTTGTTTCTCAAAGCGTAGCTCGCACTTCATCATCGAATGACATACCAGATATCCAGATAGCGACCTTATTCCAAAGCGGAGCGTCTCATCAGTCGTGATCATCAGTCGTGATCATCAGTCGTGAGATTTTGGAGTACCACGGCGGGCACATACAGTCATCATTCACTCCAAGAGCCCCTCTCCCTTCGCAAAGAAACCCGTCACAGTCCCTCCAAGCCCACGCCCCCCTGCGCCCACTCCATGGTCATGGCCGTCCACAAGTCATTCGGCAGGCCGGCCCCAGCAGGATCCATCCCGGCCTGCCTGAAGCCTTCTTCTGCGCCTCCTTGCCCTCCTGCGACGGCAGCAGCAAACGTGCTGCTGGGAGCAACCAGGCCGTTGTTGCTAAACGTCTCGTCCCAGTACTGGTAGTACGGCTCCATGCTGCCGTCCATCATCGGACATCCGCCCACGGCCGAGTCGTGGGGTACAGACACCGGGTACGGCGCCGCCCCGGCCGCTGCAGCTAGCATCGCCGCCACCTGCTCTTGCTCTTGCTGCTGGTGCTGCTGCTGGTGCTGCTGCCGAGTGGCTGCTAGCTTCTCCAACTTGGCCACCCTCCTGGTGAACTTCGTCTTGACCATCTCGAGAACGACCTTGCTCGCGCTGAGGACATCCATGCTCCGCTGCGGGCCGCTCGACGACAACGACGCCTGAGCCAGGCCGGCCTTGATATCCGCGGCGTTCCTTCCGCCGTCCTGCATGCCGCCCATGCTGCAAAACCGGTCAACATACTCGCCGAACCTCACCGTCTCCCTCGCCGCGCGGTCGTCCCACTCCGGGCAGACGGCCAGCGGGAAGGACATGCGGAAGCCCAGGATGACAGACAGGATGAGGGCGCCCCACTCGATGCCGATGAACGAGTTGACCTCGGCCGGGTCCAGCGACAGGAGGTACTCGTAGATGTCGTGCAGCGCGGGCACCACCGACATGAGGCGCTGCGGATCGGCGCGGAACGCCGACGACGCGTCCAGGGGCGGGAGCTTGACGGACGGCAGCTTCAGGAGCGGGGCGCCCGAGAGGAAAACGCGCGTGAAGAGGACGCCGATGCGGATTGAGGGAACCGACGCGATGTCCGGCGGCATGCGGGCCTCCCACTCCGCCAGCTGCGTCTCCATGCCCCGGATCATGAAGCCGATCTGGTACTCACTCTGTGAGTGCCCGCGTTGGGTGCGGCGCAGGTCGTTGGTCTCTTCGATCAGGCGCTCCAGGCGGACTTGCCAGGCTAGGACCTGGTCGCCCTGGAGCGGGCTGTGGCGTTGAAGTAGGTCGCAGCAGCGGGCGGTGTATTCGGTGTAGGTCAGAGAGGGGGACCGGCCCCAGGTGGAGGCGAAACTGGGAATTATTTTTTTTAGTGTGAGCGGGAATAGCGGCTGGCGATGGGGAATAAGCATACGCTGAAGCGAGGTAGTAGCTTGCTAGATAGATCCTGATTTGATCGAGTCTTACCGGGGTAGGGGGCACCTCCATCGAATCGGTGCCAGGGTCCTCGTCCAGCTCGAGGTCGCTGACAATGTCGACAACCATGCGTATGTACTGAACAGCTGGCTTGTTCTTGGGCCGCAGATGGAACGGGTACCTAGAAAGTCAGCAGAAAAACAAAGGGAGGGGAAGGAGAGAACCAGACAAGTAACCCACCAGGCAATATAAACCACCAACCCCTGAAGCAGCTCCAGCGTCCTCTCACCCCCGGCCACAAACTTGAGCCCGAGAATCTTCCTAAACTCTCGTCATACAGACTGTGGCCCTGCAGCGTACGGCTGCCGCTCGCAGCCGCCAGCACGGCCAGCAAGACAAACGGTCTCTCCCTGGCCATGCTCGCCACCGTGTCCTCCTCCGTCACGACAACGCAGTGAAAGTGGCGCAGCATGACGGTCCGAAACGTCTCGAGCAGCTTTCCCGCCGAGTCGAGGTTGAACTGCGGCTGCAACCTCAGGCTCGCGAGCGTCCTCGACTTGGGCCCCTTCCCGCTGCCGTCGCCAGGCTGGTCCTGCTCCCGAGCCTGGGCTGGAGGGACGACGCTGCTGGGCGGCGTGGACAGCGCGGACGCGCCCACGGGGAGCGACGAAGCCTGTGAGAGCACTGAGCCACCGGCGCCCGATGCCGATGCTTGGTCGAGCCAGTCGCAGTCCATTTCCCCTCCCTCCTGGGCGTAGTCATACTCGTCATAGTCGTCGTCCTCGCCCTCGGAGATGTGGGGCACCAGCATGTCGATGGCTTTGTCGTGGGTCAGGCGCAGGGCTTCCAAGCTGTCGGTGATGTCGTCGTCCGCGGGCATCGGGATGTCGATGGTGAAGGTCTTGGACGGTCCTGGCAACGGTGGGTAGCGAGGGGGTGCCGTTGTAGAGGATGAGGACGTGGAGCCGGCTGTTGGGTATGGCCTTGGGGGCGGTTAATGTTACGGAAAGGGGCCCGAGACAGATAGAGAATACGGCCCGAACGGGTACCGAGATAGGTGGCTGTGACAAAAGAAGGGTCTCACCGCTTGGGTTGGCGAGGCCGCCGGGTCCTGGGGCCAGTCTTGTAGATGCACTCGCGCTTGGAATCAAGACATCTGTTGCAGGGCAGGGTCAGCGAGGTAGGGAAGAGGGCCCAGAATCGCCTTGCTTTTTAGCTAGCTGAAGAAAGGTGGCGCCACAGAGAATAAACAGCACACGGAGTAGGTATCCGGGCCCACTCGCCTACAACCGAATTCACCTACCTCTTACATATTCCCAACTGGGTGCTTGCCTGGCACTTGACCTTGGCGAGGCGGCATGCCTCACAGGCGTTGGAGATGCGCGGGGCGCGGGGGGCTGGCCCGGCCTGGCCTCGACTTTCTGCCGTCTCCATGCTGGGGACTCTTTTATGAAATCGAGTATCGGAATCAGTTATCAGGTATGGAGCGATCTCTGGCCAGAGCCAAAAGGAGGATGGCTCAAGTGAAGCTTCGAGTGAGGCTGTGAGTCTCGGTCCCTCAACGATGCAATACTGGTATTCCGACGTGACTCGGCGATTGAACCGTTGGTGCGATTCAAGATCGAATGGTGTTGTCGGGACGGGCCCGGAGGTCGGCCAAGTGGATAAGTTCAAGACTTGGCTTCCGAAGCATCACGGAAGTTAACAGATCGATGTCGGGAGTGGGGACGAATTTGCCGGTGCCTGCCGGGAGGTGGGGCTTCCGTTTCTGTGTCCGTCTACGCCGCAGGCGCATGACTGACCAAAACTACTGCATCTATTGTCTGTGCATTGAGGATTTTAGTTCATATCTCTAAATCCCTTATTATCAAGACGGCCCATCCCCGCTAGTCACTAGTGTGCTTTACGCAGACTAGTACCAATAGCCTAGCGTGACTACAAGTTTATCAGTCGGAATCTGTCAATGTCGGTTGCAATTACAAATCCCGCTCTAATCATCCCTTTTCCACCCTCCATTGTAATAATGTCGTACAAGCGCCCTGCGATTCTTGCGCCAGATATTGAGACCCCATTCGTCCGCGAACTCAGCCCGAAACTTCTCGACTGGCAACACGACAATATCCCCAATGTATCTCGGCGACCGGAGTCCGAGGAAGTCGCGGAAGCCCGAGACCTGCGGGTCGCGCTCCCTGATCGACTCGGAGACGACGTCAGTCCACGCTAGAGGACCGGTGGAGTTCAGGATCTGGAAGTCCGAGAAATCGGCCTGGTCCAGTGTCCTGCCCTGCTGCCGCGCCACATAGCTCAGCGCGGCTATAGTATAGTTGACCATCCTGGCTAGGACGGGATGGTTGGGCGCCGCCGCGATCGTCCACTGGCAGAACTGCACGTCGGGCGTCCAGGGATCCGCGTAGTGGCCGTCCCGTGCTGCATCCCACTCCAGCCCGACAACAAGGCCGATCTCGCGCCGCTTCCCCGCAGGGACCCAGTCCTCCAGCGGAACGAGGGGCCGCGTGTCTATGTCGCTGTAGGTCCCTCCGCGGTGCCACAGCAGGAGGTAGCGGAGGAAGTCGGATTTGAGCGCCGGGTTCTTCAGCGCATGGAATGTGGCGGCAATCTCGGGGCGGGATGCAAAGCTGCCGTCGACGAACGCGGCGGCCTCCTCGTTGCCCAACACTGCGTACCCGTAGCCTGGGGCCATCGACACCCAGTCGGAAGCATATGTGCTGCCTTTGTCAAGCGTCTTGACGCCTGGCGGGGGGAAGAATATCTGCCATATCTGCCGCGGGATGGGGATTTCGGAGGCTGGTGGGTGGATGCTTCCGACAGGGGTTTCCGCTGATTCTGCTGCTGGCCTTTGCTGTCGGAATTGCAGGGAAGCAAACTCAGAAGCGAGGAGACAGAAGGTGGCGGCGATGGCTATCCACATAAAGTATCGGTAACAGGCGCGGGGCGCCATTGTGGCTGTTGAATAACCATAGGTCATAGAAGGAGTAACGTATGAAGTAGAGATAACTTGGAAACTAAAATCTGGTCTGCAGACTCCAGACTGGACGTGAGATCAGCAGGGTAACACGAGTCACGTGGGAATTAGGCAGGCGAGGTGCCATCCCGAGTTCCCCGAACACCACCTTACACTCACACACACACGCACGCAATTTATTCCGCCGGGCAAGCTTAACCCGAAAGGGCAACTAATACCAATGTAACCATACTTTTCGCAAGATATAACCTGATCTCCTTATCTTGTCCGGAGGACAATTTTGTTCTGAAACTCGAGGAAATTACTATGGGAAATTCGCAAAATTGACCTTCGATATCCACTTGATCACGATCCGGCGACGAGTTCTCTGAAGCTGGGCTGCAGCCACCTGACCAGACATGCACAATGTGAGACAACATACAGAATTGGGAGCGCGGCGTCATCTCCTTTTGGGATCCTTGCCCTCCGTTTCCTTTTGCAACACGAAGCCTTGTTTCGAGGACCCGGCTTCTGTTCCGCTCCACCATCTATCCTACAAGCAATTCTGGGCCTTTAATGCAGCTTCCTTTTCTATTGAGACAGATTCCTTTTACTCCCACTCTTCCTCGCTGGCAGCGTCAATCACTTGCCTACCACAGGCAGGTCCAGGCCACCATCATCCAGCAGTCACAATCCCACTCTTTGACGGAACTGCTGTAGCACCTCCGGACATTTTTCGAAATGCGCAACAGCTCCCAGCTATTAAGCTCATGCCCATATCCTGCCCGCTTGACCAGGTACTCCGACCGCCCTTTCCGCCGTCGCCGGTCCAGAACGTCCTCAACTTGAAAATAGTCGCCGTTTTGAACCTCTTGAACCGTGGAAGTCACTCTTGAAGGGCGAGCGCGCGCCGTCGAGGAAGCCTGCTCTGCTGTTGGTTTGCGCCGCTGGGTTTCCGGTGTGTAGTGATCTCGTCCATGAATCGTACAAGGGTTCCACGTGAACTGCATCTGAAAGTTCGCTACCCCGTCCACCAAAACGCGCTTGAGGACCGCGTCAAGTGGCCATTCCTCAAAGCTTGCGGAAGCGACCTCGACTGTCTCCTCTTCCAAAACGGACCCCGCTGAAGATCGCGGCTTGGAAATGCTGCGCTGACTTTGGCGGCGCTATAAGCCTTGAGTTGTTGGTGGTCTTTGAGCCTGTAGTGAAGGGGAGTCGGTGCGACGCAGACGTGTCTGCCGCTTGGGCACTGTTCTGCGGGTTGTAGGGGCCGAAGTGTTTACCCTGCGACGCTTCCCTCGTGGCGGCTGGACGACATCCTTATCCTTGACCAGCTTGGCGTTACTTCCCACAATGGGAGAGCAGTCCTCCATGCCGTCGATATCGCAACGTCGACGACAACCGATGTGCTGAATGTTGGCCTGGTTTTGGCTGGCGGATGGCTGTATGGACGGCGCGGTATTGGCCAGCTCACCTTCGTTGCCGCTCTCATCGCCCGACACACTTGGCATGCCTACCAGACTCTCCTGCGCGTGCGGCGGCACGACAGAACTCTCTTCATCCTGCTTTCCTCCGTCGTCCGGAACCTGAGGATGGCGGTGTTCTGGGTCGCTTGTCCGAACGCTGTCGCCGCAGTGATGGTGCTGTGAGAGGCAGCGGCTATCGGACGTCTGCTGTAGCTCACCACCATGACTGGAGGCGGCCCGGCGTGGACCTTGGGGCCGACAATGAGGATTCAGGGTAGACTGCGGCTGATCGGCTTCTGCATCGTTGTATCCGCTCTTGGCGGCACGTCTGGCTTGTAACCTCCGCTGGAGCGCCTGGTGTGAAAATGGGGACCGCCTTTCCCACAACTCGTTCTCAAGGCATATGGAACCGTCGTGATTCGACGTCGTTCCGCATGGCTCTTCGGACGGCCGAGGACCGTGCTGCATTCATGACCATAGCATGTGGCCCCGCGTTTGGCGAGGGAAGCAGCTTCCGTTTATGGAACAGTGGTATCGCGTGAAGTGTTGTTGGGAGTGGATGGTATCGCGTGAAGTGTTGTCGGGAGTGGATGCCTGTCCTGGCTCAAACGCAGCACAGCTAGCCGGAACGGGTTGGGTCTGCGTCGCGTATACAATCTCAGGAGAGCCAGTAAATGGCTTCAGAGAAGGTCCTCGGCTATCTATCCGTTGCTGCTGGTTTGCAAACTCGTCGTCTGGGCCAGGCCCAATGGTGACTGAATGCTCCGGCGCGTCGCTCTCATCGGAAGCAGCGTCAACCCTTCTGCCTGCTTAGACATGTTAACGTACTGGCCTGCCTGGCGATGCGAAATTTGGGCACATACCTGAATTAACACTGCAGGATTTTTCAACCTTGCCATGTGCAGCTGATAGAGAGTCCTCAGGCGGCGGGAAAGACGTGTCGGATCGGCCATCGTCGACATCGTCATCAGACTCGCCATCGCTGGGGATCAGGATCGCATTGTCGAGTGACTTCCCAGCACTGCCGTGTTGGGGATCGTTCGCATCCTGGAGCGGCGGTGGCGGGTGTGAAGGAGCTCCAAAGATGGGTGCAGAAGGGTTCCCCTTCCGAACCAGAGGACCGCGGCTCACAGGCTCGGGACCTGCCGCCACAGTGGGGTTGTAAAAGATCTGGCTGTCGAGACAGACTGTTGCCATTGCACTACCGGTGATACCGCGCGTTGTCGAATTGCACAAGATGTCGACTGGTATGGAGAGAGCAGTTCCGGAAGCATTGGCGTTCCAACTTGCCATCTCCGGTTCTGGGGCATCGGGCACGAGCGAAATATATCGACGTGCGCGGAGAGAGGTGGAGTCGGCTGCAGAACTGGCAAAGAGCTGGACCCAGCCTCCAACTCCCTATCCGCTCTACAATCCCAACGGGCTTGCAAGGAACGTGCTCGGTTGTGAAACGCATCATCGCATGCGGTTCACCGAGGTGCGGGCTGAGACGAGACATCGATTCACCGGTCCCTCGTACCTCCGCCAATCATGCAGTTGCCGAGACCAGAAAGGAGAGGCGTAGAAAAGGGGAGCCAACGCAAACGCCTGCGCGTCTCTGTCCGCATGCGCCTCCCCTCCATTTTTCGCCTCGGATGGCAAGGCAGAACCTCGTTAATTCTACCAACCATTTGCTCCTCGGGCCCGATTTGCCTCGCCGTCGTTGAAGCAGAGGCAGCCAGGCCACGTCATCTCTTCGGGCTACATCGGCCGCCTTGCCGGCGAAGCCTTGCGGCCCAGTTCACTCCAGCCCGAATCCGGTGGCGTGTGACCCGGAAATTGATTGTAGTCGGGTCAGAACCTTCATCTGCCGCTTTTGTAACCAGCGGCCCACATGTCTCGCCGTAGTCGCGCTGGCATTCGATCCGATTGTGGCCAAGGGAGGTTCTCCGGTGCGGGATGGGGCGAGACATAGGTTCACCGGTCCCTCGTACGTCTGCCAACCATGAATTGCCGAGACAGAGAGGAGAGGCCGGGAAAGGGGATCGAAGGACATCGTATCGCTGCGAATCACGACCCTTGACTCGAGGCCCGATGAAACATGATCTCGATGGAGGCTGCTCAGACCGGCTTAGCCGAAGCGATGTTGGCGTATGTTCTCCTGCGACGCCTTCACGCGTTTGTCCGCATGCGCCT